TGTAAAATAGAGTGGCTTCCCCTGAATCTCGCGCTATAAGTTTACAAAATTTAAAAAAAAAAGATGGTTTCTATAGTAAATGAGGATGGTTGCATCTGTTGGAAATATCGCTAGTCTTCATTTATTACCTACTGAACAGTTTTAATTCAATTGTTTAAAAACAGGTGCATAAATGAAACAAGAATACAGTTTTGTATTTTTTAAAAGATAAATCCTCCTCAAAATGTGAAATAATTATTAAAATTTAAAAAGTCGCCTGTTTTTCACATTACTAGTCACGGGCGATTTTTACGTACCTATAATGATAGATTACCTGATTTTATTTCGTATTAAAAAAAGCGTTTTTTTTAACAGGATTTTTTTCAATTTCTGTGATTGTTTTTGGTTAGCGTTAACTAAAATTGTCATAGCCTGTAAACCTTGCGATCTAATTTGTTATAACTTTGTTGTAACTTTATTTATATATGTTAACATATAATAAAAAAATAAAAAGAGAACTTCATAGGTAGAATTCTAAAAAAAACTGGAGGGGAGGAGAAACCCCCTTTTTTTTGCATTCACAGTGCTTTCATACAATCAGTTTAAGTATTTGAAATATCAAGCTGAAAATAGCTCAGAATGTGTGGCTATGGATGAGATAATTAATACCATCAAAATATTGATCATAAGTTTTTTGTTCAAAGTGCAAATGAGCTAATAAATTATGCATTATTACAAAAACCGAAATCTGTTTTGTGTGAAAATGTCAAATTTAAACTCTTAAGTATTTGTCTCAAAATTGGCTTAAACCTAAATAGATACAATCAAATTGTATGATGTTTGCCTATAATAGGGGGTGGAAGAAGGTACCCCCTATATTTTTAACACCGAAACTTTTCACACAACTCAAAATTAACTCAAACTATTTAAAATATCAAGCTGAAAAACTGATCAGAGTGAAGTTCTGTAAGTGTGTCTGTTAATATTATATTGATATTGGTAAGTTTTATCAATGGCTATAGGTGAATTCTAATTTTTTAAAATATATAACACCATATTTTAAACTATTGTAGTTTGTTTTAGAAAATTAAAGATGAACAAGTTGTTTATTTCCATCAAAGAAATTTAATTTTCATAACTGTTTAAATTAACATAGCTCTTCCTTTGCATGTGCTGTAGAATTGCAGTTTCTATCTGGAATATTGAACATTACTTTACATGACACCCTTATTAACCCACGTTCAGCCATGTCCAAGCAAGGTAGGATCCCCCCATGGGATCGTAACACCTCCACCCTCTAAGAAATTAATTCACCATTTGGTGAATTAATTGAACAACACATTGATCACCACAACAAATCCCACACTATTTCAAAAGTCCCAGAACAAACCCAGTCTGGACAAAATCAATCTAACATCATTATTATTAAGAAGATAAGTAACATCAATGGTTTAGTCACAATAACATGTTTGACTAAATATCCCAATTTGATGACGTCGAACATTGACGTTAAGAGTAAATAAAACATCAAATAAGCCACAAATATGTCACTGTCTTAAATAATCTTCAAGGTGAAACCAACAGTCCTCGTTATACGATATTTACATCAACAGTCAACTCATTGTGTCGAAGCATTAAACAAAAAACCTGTTACAGATACATCCTCATACCATAAATCATAAACACATTTTTTTAAAAACAACTAGACATCTTGGGAAAGCCAGAACAGTCAATCTACTTAACAGTTCTGATAGCCTGGAAATGTAAGATACAAATAATTCTTCTGTCTTGCGGGTCATCATGACTCTGTAAATATAAATCTTTAGCCGAACTTTGTAACGTCGCAGCACAATTTTAGTGACGGAGTTACAATAAGTACACAGAGCCGCAAAAAGAGAGGTCGATTGCACGCCCCGTCTCTCTGAAAGTTAGGTGGTATGCGCTCACATGTACACATCCTCGGTTCACGGGAGAAGTGTGAACCGCTTAGGTCAAGTTACTGGTCTTCCCCGGGTCAGTCAAAGAACAATAAATCAGCTCCGAGATAAGGGGAGGAAGCCTGAGTTGGGCTCAACTCCAAAACAAGAGGTAACAACTTCGCTCGTCACCGACGCTGACAAAAGATTCATTGTCTCGTCGAACTCGGGATGTAGAACACCATCCACGTGACCTCCAGGTGATGTCATGGCCTCCAGGTTGCTGGAAATCAAACACTGCTGTGATAATGGGAGGACAGCCTGTGTTAGGCTCACCTCCAAGACAATAGGTTACGATTTCGTCAGTTACCGATGCTCGCAGAAGATTCATGACTCTGAAGATGAGGGTCACCATTCACATGACCTCCAGTTAAGGTCATAGCACCTTCAAGTTCAAGACAAGTAGTAAGGTCTGGATCAGATACAGTTACTGGTTCAGACGAGGACAGCCTGTTCTCATGGGTACACTCTCTGTGGTTACCGTAATTTCAGCAGTGGTTGTATCCACTGGTTCTGACATTGACAGCCCATTTTCATGACTGGCCAACATCAGTGGTTGCTGTGATTTTATCCAAACCAATAACTTGCTGACTGCCTTCAGTACTTGTCAGCAGACAACTTTCAAATCGTAAACTATCAGCACGTTTTGACGTTTGTGCTGGTTCTGCTAGGTTAGAATCGACTTCAGGGGCTGAGCCAAAGCTAGTAGCAGCCTTAGTCTGAGACTGACAAAACTCCCTACCTACTCTATCAGTCAACAAACTATCTTCACATCTATACCAATCCTCTGAAATTACTACAATAGCCTGAGACAGAGAAGAGACAGATTCTGGAAAGTCAAACAACCCACTAAGCTGTGCCTCCTTCTCTAGCCTAAGTAAATCTAATTCCCTCTTGATCTCTGATCGTTTAACTTCATGTCCGCTCAGTTTCTTTAAACTTTTAATCTCATTTTCCTTACAAGATTCTGACATGAATATACCCCTCCTGATATCTAACAACTTATCCTCTTATTCTCTCGCAATCTCTAACAACTTAACTTAATACTTCCTTTCAATTTCTTCAACCCTAATACGTCCGATCTCATAATATTCTATAGTCTAGACACTCCTCCTCTAATCTACCTGTATTCACCAACTCAACAACAATTTGATCTCGTAGAACTCTATCTCTGTCCGGGACATCAACTTTTACTCCTAGCTCATCAATTCGGGACAACAACTCTACCCGACTAAAACTTCTAGAGTTGGACACTCAATAAAATTCATTTCGTCCATGGTTCACAACTAATCCAGCTAAATGGTGGCAGTTAACTAACAAAAATGTGGCTCACAACAAAAACTACAACTTAAACATTACAAGCAGGGCTATTTCCTTTGACACATTAAACAGGTCGACACCAGCTATGCTGAAACTAAAATATCCAGCTACACTGGATCACAAACGATTTACTCACATTTACTGGGAATTTTACCCTCCAGCTATACTGAGCAAACCAAAAATTTCCAATGGATAACGAATTTATTCACGTACCTGGGAATTGACCCTCCAGCTGTACTGAATAAACCCGAACACTCCAGTTCCACTGGACCACACAAAAAACATTCAAGTATACTGGGCATTAATCTCTCCAGCTATACTGAATAAAAAAAATCCAGCTCTACTGGACCAACATAAAAAGACAGCATGTAAAATCAGTGTCAACACAAAAGGTGATAAGCATGCTACTTACTCAATGTTTCCTAGTTCCATGAACAACTTCACTAATCTCGCAAATTCTACAACTAAAACTGAAACACAAGCTTGTGAGCCCCCAACTGAAAATGGCATCAAAAGAACCTAGCCAACTCGTTGACTATCCAATCCAGGACGAGCCCCCTATTTTGTTACGACCCCCTTCTCTAATCCTTTCAAATTAGTCAGGGAATTGTAAACAAGAAAAAGAAAATAAAAATAACTAACACCAATTTCAGTGATTTCTATTTATTGCCACAAAATACAACACCTAACGTTAACCGCCACCACATTGAACACAAAGAGAAAATATACAGCTATCTACAACTAAAGTCCTTAGTCCGACTAATCTACTTGTCCCTAATGGTCTATCCTATTCTAAGTCTAATACATTACAGACATTTTGTGGCTTGCCCCTAGCTCACAGAGACGACCCATGTCTGTCCCCTCTAAACAGAGTCCGTCTCCGTGTGTGTATGAGTGTCTCCCCAGTCTGCCGTCTACCCCTCCTCAAATAGTCCAGTCGAGGTGCAGGGGTCTATGTCCTGACTTAACCTTTCGTACAATAGGGCATCCCCTTACGGCTTTTCCCCACATTTACCTACCAGGCAGGCGATTCAGGTGAGAAGGGAGGTGGGGGAGGAAACCAGCTAGCATCAACAATGACTCAACAACATCTCACTCTTTGTCTCTTTCACGACCTCCTGCGCCAGTCCTTGTCATCTCTCATTACGGGCTGGTCCGACCACAAAAAAGGGGGTTCACGTCAAGAGTTCCCCCATCCATAAATCTCTAGATGACACCCACGTTCAGCCATGTTCAAACAAGGTAGGATCCCCCCATGGGATCGTAACAATGTATATGTAACCCACAGCGCATGACACTGTATCATACCATTCTCTTCAAAGGTCAATAAAGATGTTACTGGTGTTGTTGGTATTTATTGCTAAGTAACCTAAGGTTTAAGATTTGCTCAGTTTTGTAATGTCCCTGTCTAAAGCCTGGCTGTTCTTCAGCTGTGATAATTTCATCTTGTGGCTTTACTTTGTTTAGTATTATCTTTAGCAGGATTTTACTTGGATGACTTGTAAAACTGATTGTTTAGCTAGTATATTTAACAGAGTTGTAAGTTGCCTTTCTTGGGCATTGTTTTATTGTTTTGATATGTTGTGTTTATTTGTATAGATTTGATGTTAGCCTTAGTATTATTAATTTAAAAATATAGAAATTTTTTATTGTCTCCACAGTAACAAAAACACAAACACAATTCCCAGAAATGGCTTAAAATTCTTTTATATATTAAATTTTTAGGTAGATGTAAAGGTTGCTGTCCTTGGAGCTGCAGGTGGTATTGGCCAGCCCTTATCTCTGCTTCTGAAACAGTCACCACTCATATCTCACTTAGCATTATATGATATTGCGCACACACCAGGTGTTGCTGCTGATCTTAGTCACATAGAAACAAGGCCCAAGGTTACTGGTCATCTTGGAAATGAGCAACTTGCAGATTGTGTTAAAAATGCTGCTCTAGTCATAATTCCAGCAGGAGTTCCAAGAAAACCAGGTTTACTTTTCAGTCTCACTGTAAAATGTTTTGTAACACTAGGTGTTTTTAAGTAAATTCTCCAAAACTTAATATCTTAGTATATTTTAAAGTTTTTAGTGAACATGTTTACTGTTTTGCAGTAAAAAAAAGTTTCTCTATAAAATATTTCATTATCAATGGGTAATAAAATGTATTAACATTTATGCTCAAACTGTTTTAGGAATGACAAGAGATGACTTGTTCAATACAAATGCCAGTATTGTTGCAAATCTGATTGATGCCTGTGCTAAGAACTGTCCAAAAGCTATGATTGGAATAATCACGAACCCTGTGAGAAATACTAATATGCAGTTTTATTGCTTATTCATGTATTAATGGTATTAGTTACACGACTACAATCTTTTATTAAATTATATTTTTGTGTGTAGGTTAATTCAACAGTCCCAATAGCTGCAGAAGTTTTAAAGAAGAGAGGTGTCTTTGATGAAAAAAGATTGTTTGGTGTAACAACTCTTGATGTTGTGAGATCTAATACTTTTATTGCCGAAGCCAAGGTAATGTTTTGTAATGCAGAATTATGATTACACTAAAAAGCTATATTCTTGAAGAAGAATAACTGGACATGTTTCCTTTGAACTATCCTTGCTGTTGCTATTACCAACTTTCACCATTTTTACCTTCTATCATCTATGACTGTAAACATGTGCACACTGTTACGATGTAGGATGTGGACAGGGACATTTGAAGTACAACATACAGATATGACATCGATCCAATATAAAGCAAGACGGGACAGTGATGATTCATTTCATAGTTCAATTGCACTGTTTAAATACATACAGAACAGACACTATTATAATCAACAGATGAAGACATCCACACCTTTACATGACATGACCAAGACTGAAGAAACACTTTCCCCTAACAACAACATCGTACTCTCCCACATCACATCCTTACTTACCTCATCACATTCAACATCTTTTATTAGTATGAAACATTCCACAACACACCATCTCTCATACCCATTCAGTACACTAAAATACTATTCACAACACACACCACCTTAGTTTAATGTTGATAGACCCTTAAATCATTTTTTTATAATTCACTTGTTGATGCTGTATAAATTCAAGTTAGAATAATGCGAACGTTCAAAATCATTTTCTCCCATTAAGTGAATTAAAATCCTTCATCAATATATAATATACATGATTGAGCTTATCGTCAGTGTCATTACTGATTGAATTTTAACAATTGTCCTCAATGCTTTTCTTTAACAGGGCCTTGATGTTACTAAAGTTAATTGCCCAGTTATTGGTGGTCACAGTGGAGTCACTATAGTCCCTGTTATCTCCCAATGCACACCTGCCGTATCATTTCCACAGGTGAGATAAAAATACTTATTTGTTCAAGACTGTTTTAGTTAGCACATTAATCTTAAAACTTAAAAGCTTAGTTTTCTAAGAGCTAATAAGTTTTGTCTTTAAAAAAATTCTTAATAGGATGAAAGAATTAAACTAAGTGTAAGAATTCAGAATGCTGGTACTGAAGTTGTTGAAGCTAAAGCTGGTGCTGTAAGTATTGCATTTTAAATGTGGGTTGATAAAAGTGAGGTTTTAAGCTGTTCAGCAATTTTACGTTCAAATTTGTTTCCTAAAATATTTTTTTTGTGTCAATGTCTATACATTTATTGGGAATTTTTAACTGTGATACATAATGGGTGTAATTTATTATGAGTTTCCTATTTCTGCCCTAAACACATTTTTTTATCCTTGGTATATACCACATCTACCATCGTTTAGGGGCACATTAGCTGTTTTCCATCAGATTTATAATAACTATGTCAAACAGCTTTTTTGAAAGATGCAATGTTAAAAGAACGTGAATACTTCATTCGTTTGTATATCTCAAGTAGTAAAAAAAAAAGTAATGACATAAAAGTTTGGTTTTTAACTTACTTTGACAACATAAAAGGTGCCATGTGTTTTAGACAAAGTACATGATACAATCTTTTGAACTCAACACAAACACACATATACAGAATAAACCCTATTTTTTGCTAACCTAAAAAATAAGTACATCAAAAAAGTTGTGAAAATGACTGTTAAGATACTAAGAAATTAAGTGCAATACTAGACAAATGTAGCATGGTTATCCATTTAGTTTGAAAACATTAAGGGAAAAGCTACTGGGAGAGGGTTGAGCATAACCTGACATGATCCACTACCATTTTAAGAATGCCATTTCTGTGGTCAGCCACATCATGTTACAAGCAGTATCTCATGACACAATGCCTATTTTCTATCTCACTGATTATTCAACTACTGTACTTATTCTAGATACACATACAACTATTCTTGATTTCAACATTACACAGAGTATATTCAATACCTAGCCCCTAACTCTAGCTTGCATACCATAAAAATGTCACTGCGATTCCTCTGCGCTCTTTAAATCTCTTGCACCAAAACACCCAGGTAAAACACACATAATATTCTACATATGGGTGATGCAGACAAAAACACACCTACTTATGAGATTATGAATCAATGCCCCTTACTTTGTGTGGATGATTACATAGAATAAAATTTAAAACTATTACATAAACATTTAACAATCACCACATTTCTGCTATAAGAACTGGTAATTTGTGGGACAGTATACTGATAGTGTTTACTTCTTTCTAAGCTGTTGTGAAACTTGTTTAGCTATTCAAGGGCAGTGGCTATAATGTCACTGTTAATTTACTTACTGTTCATTGAAAACTATTTCCACTTCCTTTTATACAAGGGTTCTGCTACACTCTCTATGGCTTATGCTGCCAGTGTATTTGCAAATGATTTACTTGAAGCAATGAATGGCACAGAAGGAAAAGTACAATGTGCTTTTGTGAGATCAGATGAGACAGAGGCAAAATATTTTGCCACACCTATTTTATTAGGGGTAAGCTTGTTCTTTGTTTTAAAAGCATTTAATCCTTACACACCCAAGCACAACATTATTATTATTATTTGACCTTTCATCCCAGTACAGGGCTGAATGTTTATTTAAATTAGAAATAATTAAAATTTAGTTTAACTTTTTAAATTATAAAAAAATTGAGGCTCAACACAGTTTTTAAGAATCAGGCAAGTCTGATATTGAGAAATTGATAAACTGAATTAGCCAACATTTAATTTAAATTTAATAATTGTAGGTTTAAAGTGGCAGGTTTCAGTTAGCCCTGTAGGTCTAAAACATTATTTTTGTAGTCAATTACATAACATTTATTTAGGTTCTGATTAATTCCTTTTATATCATTATGAATTTTTTAGAACTGAGATTTTGTATAATTCCTTTGAATCAGGGAACTGATATTTAATATCAAAGGTCATGGGAAAAGAAAAAAAATAGGTTAGGCCATCCATAAACTAATCATTCACAGTGCAGTCAGTTACTTAAACACAATGACAAATCATCAGCCAGCTAATATTAATCTTTGTTAAATCTGCCATAACAGTATGACTATTTCACCATTGTTAATTTGAACATTTTCACCCAGAAAAATGGTATTGAGAAGAATCTTGGAATTGGCAAGCTGTTGGATTATGAACGTAATCTTGTTACTTTGGCAATGCCAGAATTGCTAGCAAATATCAAGAAAGGAGAGGAATTTGTTGCCAAGAATTTTAAATGAATCACTACACAAGCATAACTAATCATTTTTGGGTATAAACTTTTTTATGGTTTAACAATTATGGATATTGATTTTACTAATATTTTTGTTTAGATCTTGATCTATCTTGCATATTTTAACTTTTTGTATACAAATTAGAAATATAATTGTTATTCTTAGATAATGGTATTGTGCCGTTTTTAGGTGTTTACTATTGGATGTACATAGCATACATCTTTTAAATTAACAATTGCATTAAATGTGCTGTTATATGTACCGTTTGTGAAAACCTTGAATGAAAGAAAGAATGCTTATATCTAGAACATTCAGATGTATAAAATGTGACTTAATAAACAACTTTCCATTCAGTTTTTTTTTTTTTTTTTTTTTGCATTTTTAGAAGGTTGTGCTTGTGTATGCTTTATAGTATGCTTTATAGTTTTATACTTCAATATTGTTGAAATGCATTATTTTAAAATTTTATTTATAAGTTTATCTATTATAAGAAATAGTATGTTTTAATTTAAGGGTCATCTATCTATGACTTCCATAAGTTAGTCGGTTATAGACTGTTCCAACTCAGTGTGTGGGGAGAGGGGTCCACGCTGTACATTTCTACCTGCTGTATGCTTGTAGGTTATCAAAACAAAATGTCGTTATCCTGTAAACATGTAGGGCCTGTATCATACATTTACAATTATGTGCTTGCTTTTTTTAACCAACAGATTTTTTTCTGTTGTAAATTAAACATCACTATTTTAGAATTGCTGGAATTTAGCTGTTAAGGCTAAGGGCTAGATATGTTTGTGAATTGATGTTGGTTCATGAAAAACAATTTTATGCAGGCATTTAGGTGGTAGTGGATGTAGGACAAATGGTTACTTTTATGCCAATATGTCGGAAGTCATTTTGTCGGAAGCCGATATGTCGGGAGCCGCTTTGTCTGGAGCCTATATGTCCTGAGCCTATTTGTCGGGAGCCTATGTGTCGCGCGTCAGTATGACGGGAGCCCATTTGACGGGAGCCAATAAGTCGGGGCCCTTTTGACGGGGTCATATTAACGGGGCCGATTAGTCCCTGGCCGTTTTGGAGATGCACCAACTGTATAAAAAATATAACATCTTGTAAGTCTGTTCCAGTTGGCTTAGTACCATTTCCATGATGCGATGCAGGAGAACTAGATCTCGGATAGTGGCATGGGCTTGGTTTAGAAGAGACATTACTTATGTTAACTGAGAGTTGTCCACTCATTTGAGTTTAATAGGCGGTTTTTTGACCAAATAAGTGTGGTAGCTATGGGAACTAAAATGGGTCCCAGCTATGCTGGTCTTTTTATGGGTTACCTGGAGGGTCAAAGCCAGAAAAAGTATACTTGCAGAATTCCTTGTTTTTAAGCTGTTAGGCATCACAGATGGCAGAGAAAGAACTACACGATTTTATATCATTCTGCAACAATTTCCACCTCCGAAATTACAGGCTGTTCTGTTAACTTTCTGGACATGACAAATATCACTTAACGCCGCTAACGTTGGAACGACTGTGTTCTACAAACCGAAACATAATGTACTATTATTCACATCCCCCGGCTTGCAAAAATTCTATTCCTTTCTCACAGTTAAGACAATGTCAGGATGATGTCTTGGAACAAGGCTCATGGACTAATATAGTTCTCCCGACTCTGGTCATACCTGGAGCTTTAACTACAGTCAGCACTACACCGGATAAGAACTGTTGACAACCAATATGTTGTGAGTCCTTTTGTCGGGAGTCAAATATTATAATCGTAGTTCTTAAGTGCAATAAACGAACAAAGCTTATTGTGCACTTTGACTTTTTGTTATTGGGTATTTTATAGAACGAGATAAATGGCCCATATAGGGAGATTCAACGGGCGCTATTGTTGTCTTTTTCTCAAAATCAAAATCACCACCTCAACTTCAAATTTAACCGGAAACGAAAAATGTACGCAAACCTCTTCTAAGACTAGATAAATGAATTAGATGGAAGAAGGGACAGAATGTTGCTTGCACCTAAATATAAGACCATTACATGATAGTCTCATGGGGTGGGGGGTGTCACATTTTTTCCATCATAATTGGCCGACAAAACAAAACAATTACTCAACAAAATAAAAATACACACAATACAATCAAAAACAATGAACGCAACACAATTTTGTAATCCTTATAAAAAATATTTGACATAATCTATAATAATAGTTTCGCTGTCTGTCTGACAAGAACGCTCTGTCTGACAAGAACGCTCTGTCTGACAAGAACGCTCTAGAGAAAACACAAGCAATTTAAAAACATGCACAGTAATTCGAAAAACGAAATATGACGTCGACACATTTAGCGTAGAGTAGAACATAATCTCAAACCAGAGTGCACACAGTAATGTAATGACGTCATTGATTCTCGCGTAAACATTGAAAAAAAGGAAATGTTGTCTAATCTAAATGGTTTGCGTAAAGAGTTTCTTGCATACAATTCTTCGGGTAGGGGCGAAGCCCCACCCCCCGCGTAAGAACGTCTGAGCCCCCCCCCCTCCCCAACTCAAAAGAAATTTCCTCATCGATACTCTATAATAAAATTACCGCCTAATTAATGTGTCTAATCTAAAAAGTGGTTTTCTTGCAATGGGACGGTAGACATGTTTTTTTGGGGGGGGGGGGGGGGGGGGGAGGGTGTGTGGGGGTGGGGGGGGGGTGGTGTGTGGGGGGGTGGGTTGGTTTCAGTGTTTCTTTCAGACTTTTTCCTCCCCGGAGAGGGGTGGGGGTACTTGAAATTTTCGGGGGCGGGGGTAGAATTTTCTGGGAGGGGGCGGACACTGGAAAAAGTATATAATTATATTTCGTTGAATGGGACGGTAGACATGTTTTTTTTTGGGGGTGGGGTTGGTGGAGGGGTGGGGGGGGGTGGTGTGTTTGGGGGGGGATGGGGGGTGGTGTGTGGGGGGGGGTGGGGGATGGGGGTGGTGTGTGGGGGGGGGGGGTGGGGGGTGGTGTGTGGGGGGGTGGGTTGGTTTCAGTGTTTCTTTCAGACTTTTTCCTCCCCGGAGAGGGGTGGGGGTACTTGAAATTTTCGGGGGCGGGGGTAGAATTTTCTGGGAGGGGGCGGACACTGGAAAAAGTATATAATTATATTTCGTTGAATGGGACGGTAGACATGTTTTTTTTTTTGGGGGGGGTGGGGGGGCGGTGTGTGGAGGGGGTGGTGTGTGGGGGTGAGGGGTGGGGGTGGGGGTGGTGTGTGGTGGGGTTGGGGGTGGGGGTGGTGTGTGGGGGTGGGGGGTGGGGTGGGGGTGGTGTGTGGGGGGGGGGGGGGGTGGGTTGGTTTCAGTGTTTCTTTCAGACTTTTTCCTCCCCGGAGAGGGGTGGGGGTACTTGAAATTTTCGGGGGCGGTGGTAGAATTTTCTGGGAGGGGGCGGACACTGGAAAAAGTATATAATTATATTTCGTTGAATGGGACGGTAGACATGTTATTTTTGGGGGTGGGGGGTGGTGGAGGGGTGGGGGGGGGGGGGTGGTGTGTGTGTGGGGGGGTGGGGGGTGGTGTGTGGGGGTGGTGTGTGGGGGGTGGGTTGGTTTCAGTGGGCGGGGGTAGAATTTTCGTTGAATGGGACGGTAGACATGTTATTTTTGGGGGTGGGGGGTGGTGGAGGGGTGGGGGGGGGTGGTGTGTGTGTGGGGGGGTGGGGGGTGGTGTGTGGGGGTGGGGGGTGGGGGTGGTGTGTGTGGGGGTGGGGGGTGGGGGTGGTGTGTGTGGGGGTGGGGGGTGGTGTGTGGGGGGGGGGGGGGTGGTGTGTGGGGGGTGGGTTGGTTTCAGTGGGCGGGGGTAGAATTTTCGTTGAATGGGACGGTAGACATGTTATTTTTGGGGGTGGGGGGTGGTGGAGGGGTGGGGGGGGGGTGGTGTGTGTGTGGGGGGGGTGGGGGGTGGTGTGTGGGGGTGGGGGGTGGGGGTGGTGTGTGTGGGGGTGGGGGGTGGTGTGTGGGGGGGGTGGTGTGTGGGGGGGGGTTGGTTTCAGTGGGCGGGGGTAGAATTTTCTGGGAGGGGGCGGACACTGGAAAAAGTATATAATTATATTTCGTTGAATGGGACGGTAGACATGTTTTTTTTTTGGGGGGGTGGGGGGGTGGGGGGTGGGGGGGCGGTGTGTGGAGGGGGTGGTGTGTGGGGGTGAGGGGTGGGGGTGGTGTGTGGGGCTGAGGGGTGGGGGTGGGGGTGGTGTGTGGGGGTGAGGGGTGGGGGTGGGGTGGTGTGTGGGGGTGGGGGGGTGGGGTGGGGGTGGTGTGTGGGGGGGTGGGTTGGTTTTAGTTTAGAGAAAAGAGACAGCACTATCAGCCTAGCGCCCGTTGTACCCTTCCTCAACGGGCCATTTTTCTCGTTCCTAGAATATTAAGACAAACGAACTAGGGGAAATAATCTTTTTCTTAATATAAATATAATGTATATTTCTACAAATTTAATTGTAAATGTCAAAACAGACCAATAATTACTTTAATTTGGTAGCTTAATACTTTTTGTTTTTACAATGAATATGTTGTCTACAATAAGCATTAAATATATTGTCATCATAAATGCTACAATAAGCATTAAATATATTGTCATCATAAATGCTACAATAAGCATTAAATATATTGTCATCATAAATGCTAAAAATATTACAGCATAAAGAAAGTTTTTGAAATCAGAGTTGGTATAAAAACTCGCTTTTCAATCTTATGGAAAAACTTAATCTAATAGGTGGATCATTCTGAATAATTTCCTACATATAAATATAACTAATATATTGGTCTTGTAGTTCAGATCATTCATTTTTTAATAAGCTACTGTTTGTGTTCTTTAAAGATCATTTTTAACATAATGATAAGGTATGGTTTAGATCACTGTAATTGCAAAAACAATATTTACAGAGTTTTACCTGTTTCAAAAGCTGTGATTCTGGCGGCATGGTACTTTGGTATATCATTACGCGTTTTCCCAAATGTACTTAACAGATCATTTCGGGGTGTGACATTAATGTCGCTCGACACAATTAAGGCCTGTCCCGTTTTAGGTGGTGAGATGGGGAGAAACTAACTCAGAGTGAACATAGTGTCAGTTTTTAGATGACTGTTCTAAATATACACATACAATTATACATATATACTGATTCAGAAATAGATTTAAATAAGTAGCAGTTATATTATGACAGTAATTATTTTTTTTTTACAGAGGGTTCCAGGGGACCCCCCCCCCCCTCCCGACCCCCTGCTTACGCCACTGAATTAAACGAACAAGTATCTTTCACCTAACCCCATTCCCCCCTAATGTTGTCCAAGCCTACTTTTTCGTGCATCTTTACTTTTGGATACCGTGCGTGGCATTTGGACAAGATGTGTTTTCAAGTCAAAAAATAAGACTCAAATAATATTAACCCTTTGAGCCCTGGCCTCCCTGGCCTAATTTCTCCCATTTCCTGAGCTCCCAGGGCCAAACCAACTTTCACTTATCTGCTTCTAACTTTGCCTATAACTTTTGAACCGTTTGAGATAATCAGACCAAATTTGGTATCCAGGCTCAGGATCAAACAACAATGCAGATTGATTCTAAAATTCTTTATTTTTTTTACAATGTTTGAACAGAACAATGTATTTAGAACATAGAAGAAACCAATTTACATTTAGTAATTGTTTTGTTATTATGTTATTATTGATACCTGGCCATACTAGTTTATCGCCAGAAGTCCACTTTTGTGTGATAACTTTCAAAACAGTTATCACTGCCGGACCCGATGCAAAGAAAAACTTCGCATGGTTTGCATCAGTAAACATTTTTTTTTCGTTTCGGCAAGTCTGTGTCGTTGGCACTACGTGCATCAGAACGTACTTGAACAGTTTCATTGTCACTGTCAATTTCAATGTCACTGTATTCAGTCTCAAATTCAACGTCACTATCATCACACTATAGACCAGGAATATTATCTTCATCATCAGAATAGATAAGTAGTTGTATTGCCTGAGATGCAGTCATTCTACATCTTTTGTTGATATTTCGGTCTTTTGCTTCATCTTTTGCACCAACTTTATGTGATGAAGTCGACGGCTGTGGCTCACCTTTGCGTTTCGGCGGCATTACTACGAAATGTAAACACTTTCACTTTTCCTAAAAATCAATTTTTAAAATCATAATTCCGCACTCAAAAGACAAATGCGCAGCTTTAGTCAGTCTTCCGCTAATTATATTCAATTAGACGGTATACCGGCCGCTAGAAATATGACGCTAGATCATCAGGCCGGAAAACCGGCTTTTCGGACATATATGCCTAATGTTTAAGCCGGTTTACCGGCCTGGCGGGCTCAAAGGGTTAAGGGGATCGTTCGTCAATTTATTTATATACATCTCATATAAGAAGAATTTCACTCGCGGTCATCTTTTAGCCCTGGTCGAGGGCTTTGAGTCTGACCAACGGTTTTTCCATACGGCTTAGTCATCTATAGAAGTGTATGCAAAACATTAGCATGATATACAGAGGTTAAGTAACCTAAAACTTGTGTTGAACATTCTCTGTTTTCCCCATAAAATACAAAGATTATATAGGGAAATACGACTTGTCAATTTTGACCCATTTCCCGATTTTTCCCGGACATGGCGAGTTTTTTGTGACACACCAAGGCGTTCTCCTACCACCTCACAAAATGTCAAGGGGGGTCGTCGGAAAATATTTTTTTTCGTAATAGAGCTCATATAAAGAGAATTTCACTCGCGGTCTCTTTTTAGCCCTCGTCGAGGGCTTTGAGTGAAGCCGACAGGTTTGCCATACGGTTAAGCCATTTACCTATAAGCAAGCCAAAAATTAGCCAGATGTAAAGACGGTAAGTGCCCTTAAATCCGTTGTGAAATCAACCTCTGTTTTTCCCATAAAATACAAAGATTATGTTGGGAAATACGACTGGTCAGTTTTGACCCGTTTCCCGATTTTACCCGGACATGGCAAGTTTTTTGTGATACCCCAAGGCGTTCTCCTACCACCTCACAAAATTTCAAGGGGGGTCGTCGGAGGAAAAAAAAATTCGTAATAGAGCTCATATAAAGAGAATTTCACTCGCGGTCACGTTTTAGCCCTCGTCGAGGGCTTTTAGTGAAACCGACAGTTTTCCCTAAAGGTCAAGCCATTTACCTAAGAGCATGCAAAAAATTATCTAGATGTAAACACGGTAAGTGCCCTTAAATCCGTTGTGAAATCACCCTCTGTTTTTCCCATAAAATACAAAGATTATATAGGGAAATACAACTGGTCAGTTTTGACCCATTTACGAAGTTTTCCCAGATATGCCGAGTTTTTTGTGACACCCCAAGGCGTTCTCCTACCACCTCACAAAATTTCAAGGGGGGTCGTCGGAGGAAATTTTTTTTCGTAATATAGCCCATATAAGGCGCCGGTCAGTCGAGGTCAGTTTTGACCCACTCTCTGTAGACTTTTTGCCGAACCGTCACCGGCCCTCGTGTTCTATCGCCCCAAGGCACCTTTGTGCCAAATTTGACGCGCCTGCGGCGCCGGGAAGTGCCCTATAGGGCACTTGACCACTTTGCTTTATATATATAGATTGCACTAACCTCACTGCAACTACCGTTTGTAATAGAGTCGTCCATAATTTAAAATATGGCCTACTTTTTTACTTTCTTTACTGTCATCTGGTGCTAGGGCTTTGCCGTGGCTTGGCAGCTTGTGTACCCTGACGACCCCCAGAGCTATACTAGAACCCTTCCCTAGAGGGTTATAATGAACTCCCCAAAGTTTCATGCCTAACGGATGAACGGTGTCAAATCAAAATCGACTTTTATTTTAATATACCGCATATAGAGAAAAAAACAAATCGCGCCCTGCCGGGGCGCCACCCCCGCGAATTTGATTTTTTTTTCTCGCAGAAACCTCCCCAGGAATATTCTCAACATCCTCCCAAAGTTTCACGGCGATGTGATGAGAGGTGTAGTAATGCATAAAAGACAGACAGACAGACAGACATACATTGCTTGTTAAATAGACAGACAGACAGACAGACAGACAGACAGACAGACAGACAGACAGACAGACAGACAGACAGACAGACAGACAGACAGACAGACAGACAGACGGACGGACGGACGGACGGACGGACGGACGGACGGACGGACGGACGGACGGACGGACAGACAGACAGACAGACAAGGACCTTGGCAAGCCACTTTGTCCAATGTCGGAATTAGGGCTTTAACACATTTTTGGTGGTTTTATCATAATCAAACTATCTATATTTATTACTTTTACAAAACTAGCAGCAAAACAAGTAGGAAGAAAGGAATAAAAAGACTACACAAAAATCAAAGTACAAGATTAATTCTTATTATTGTCATTCTTAGGAACTGAATTAGACTAGTAAAAATAAACTGGGAGTGATCTCCCCTAAACTTTCTCGAATATTCTTATTTAAAATAACGGGATGGGAACGCGGGCTATAGACATGATTTTTAATCCGTTTTAAATACTAAAAGTTTTAAAAATAGAATAAAATCTCGTAGACAAAAGAATTGCACACCAAGAGAACGCCAAATAAAAAGGTGCATACTAGTGCGCAATATTATTAGTACTTTAAAAATTTACATTAGTTTTTTGAGAAATCGGAAGTAGCGTAACTTACTACTTCCGGTCAACGGAAATTACTCAAAATTTGACACAAGGTAGAGAATTAGATCTTTTACTTACATGTGAAATTTCATTTATCTATCTGAAATAGTACTCAAGTTATAGGCTTTTGAAAAATTCAAAGTAGAAAAAGTACCACTTCCGGTTATTGGAAATCGCTCAAAAGTTGATACGGATCTACGATTTTGATAAAATACTTATATATGAAATTTCATCAACCTAGCTGTAACGGTACTCAAGTTATCGTGTTTACACACGGACACACACACACACAGACACACAGACATACGGACAGAATTGCAAAGCCCAGTTTTTCAAACTGGATTACGCATAAAACCTCTAAATTTTGATAAATCTGGATTGATAATTTTTGCCCGATTAAAATAAGTCCTCTATACTTCGGATGTGACGAAGGACTGAGGTGTAATACGGTGAAAATTGTTAAAATTTCAAGTGATTTTTGTGCACGATTACAATACTTTCTCTATACTTCGTATATACGAGAAAGTAAAAAAACCAAACAAACCTCGCTACTTCATTATGAAAATGATGCGCAATTCTTTTTGGCTCCGCAATTCTATTGTAATGAATATTTTTGAAGTATTGAAGAAAAATTTAATTAAAAAAAACGGTTTAACAATACTTTTCTATAATCATGCACTAAAAAGTAGAAAATAAATTATTTCCTGAAATATATAATAATAATATATTTAAATAACTATGAAGAAAAGCTTGTTTATTTTCTAGAATTTATTTCCCCCGCTATTTGATTCGTTCAATATGTATTGAAAGCACAAAAGATGCGTCAGCATTGTGCTGACGTCATTGGCAAGAGGAGTGTATTTTGCTTCTCTGCAGACATTCTTCGGACACAGGACTGCGACACTGTTCTAAGGTATAGTCTTTCTTGTTTGTTGTACTCGACTTTTGATCAAGTGACAACAATTGGAGCTTTTCAGCTACTATTCCTTGAGTCTTTGGGATGATAAATTTCGCCATAGACACGTTGTCATAATTCTAGATCTAGGTCTAGAAATCTAGATCACGATGGGACACCAGGAACGGTGCTGTACTAGATTGAATTTTTTGGGGTGGGGGGGGGGGGCGGACGCTGTTAAAAGTGTATATTTTCTAGATCTACATAATATATTTCATTTCGTTCGGTCGTTCGGGGGGGGGGGGGGGCTTTCTTCGGGGGGGGGGGGGGGGAGGCAGAGCCAATCTCAATTGGACTTGAACCATAACCATAACATTTACCTATACTAATTCTCTAAGATATATCCCGATTCTGATCTCTAATGCTTACCCATCGCTACATAGGCTCTTTCCTATTTAGTTTTTCTAGTCTGTAAGCTGGTTGCCTTGAAACCTTAGAAGTTAATAATTCATTTATCTTTTAAGAATATTTGGCTACACGAAATACACGCTAGAGTCGACCTCATTGTGCCTCTGGTCGTGTTCATGTAACCCATACAAACCAACAACAGCCGGTGTTCATGTAAACCATACAAACCATCAACAGCCGGTGTTCATGTAAACCATACAAACCAACAACAGCCGGTGTTCATGTAAACCATACAAACCAACAACAGCCGGTGTTCATGTAACCCATACAAACCAACAACAGCCGGTGTTCATGTAAACCATACAAACCATCAACAGCCGGTGTTCATGTAAACCATACAAACCATCAACAGCCGGTGTTCACATAAACTATACAAACCAACAACAGCCGGTGTTCATGTAAACTAAACCATACAAACCAACAACAGCCGGTGTTCATGTAAACCATACAAACCATCAACAGCCGGTGTTCACATAAACTATACAAACCAACAACAGCCAGTGTTCATGTAAACTAAACCATACAAACCAACAACAGCCGGTGTTCATGTAAACTAAACCATACAAACCAACAACAGCCGGTGTTCATGTAAACTAAACCATACAAACCAACAACAGCCGGTGTTCATGTAAACCATACAAACCAACAACAGGCGGTGTTCATGTAAACTAAACCATACAAACCAACAACAGCCGGTGTTCATGTAAACTAAACCATACAAACCAACAACAGCCTGTGTTCATGTAAACTAAACCATACAAACCAACAACAGCCGGTGTTCATGTAAACTAAACCATACAAACCAACAACAGCCGGTGTTCATGTAAACCATACAAACCAACAACAGCCGGTGTTCATGTAAACTAAACCATACAAACCAACAACAGCCGGTGTTCATGTAAACCATACAAACCAACAACAGCCGATGTTCATGGTGTTCGGCCAGTCAACATGGAGTATATTGATCAATTGTTGTACAATTTACGGCCTGTCAAGATTGAGTATATTGATCAATTGTACAATTTACGGCCAGTCAACATGGAGTATATTGATCAATTGTTGTACAATTTACGGCCAGTCAAGATTGAGTATATTGATCAATTGTTGTACAATTTACGGCCAGTCAACATGGAGTATATTGATCAATTGTTGTACAATTTACGGTCAGTCAACATTGAGTATATTGATCAATTGTTGTACAATTTACGGCCTGTCAAGATTGAGTATATTGATCAATTGTTGTACAATTTACGGCCAGTCAACATGGAGTATATTGATCAATTGTTGTACAATTTACGGCCAGTCAACGTGGAGTATATTGATCAATTGTTGTACAATTTACGGCCAGTCAAGATTGAGTATATTGATCAATTGTTGTACAATTTACGGCTAGTCAACATGGAGTATATTGATCAATTGTTGTACAATTTACGGTCAGTCAACATTGAGTATATTGATCAGTTGTACAATTTACGGCCAGTCAACATGGAGTATATTGATCAATTGTTGTACAATTTACGGTCAGTCAACATTGAGTATATTGATCAGTTGTTGTACAATTTACGGCCAGTCAAGATTGAGTATATTGATCAATTGTTGTACAAATTTAGGCACGGTGTGGTTTGGACGGTAGAACATTTGACTCCAAGCTCGAAAGTCTCAAATTCAGATCTGGGTTCAGACTCGAGACTTCAGAACATCCCTGAGTCCACCCAGCAGTAATGTGTTGGGCATAACTGAATCAGGGCCGGCGCTACCTATAAGGCGAACTAGGCGGTCGCCTAGGGCGCTGTCCGTAGAGGGGCGCCAAAATGGGTTGGAAAAACAAATTCAAAGTTTGAGGGGGGGGGGGGTGCAAATCGAAAGTTTGAGGGGGGGGGGTGCAAATCTGATAATACGGGGGCACGAAAAATATTGCGGGTGGGGGTGGGGCGCTTTTAATAAGTTTTGCCTAGGGCGCAAAATAACCAGGCGCCGGCTTAGTGACAGCTCTACTAAAAGCTGTACAACTCGATTTTTCCGTTAAAGTATTATCGACAAATCCAAATAGCGGATGCCATATACGATATATGAAATGTCAACGTAACGATTTATCTGTCTTGTAACTAACATAATTGTAAAAAATTAGTTTTATAAAAGACATTCTTGAATATATTATAGTGAAACAAGATCAGATAGATCGAGATGTGCTCTTTGACTTTATATTTGGCTAGAATCTATACTGAATGCATTTCATTAATGTTAAAATTAACCAGGTCCATTTGGCTGCATGTAACTATTGTCAGATGCGTAGCGAGGGGGGGGGGGGGGGAGGAGAGGTGCGGACGGCACCGGGTAACACCATATATATATATAACTGAAATGATCGTTATATATATATATATATATATATATATATATATATATATATATATATATATATATATATATATATATATATATATATATATATATATATATGGTCATTTCCGTTCAATAAATGATTAATAACAGTTAAAAACTCTTTTAATTAAGCGGAAACTTGACAAATTCCGACGAAAGTGTGTGTGCGTGTGGGGGTGGGGAAGAGGGTGAAAACATGACGTCAACCTACTATCAAATTAGGTGCATGGTTTAGGAATATGCGGATATGCCTATGACTATATTTTGTATAAATGCGCGATAACTACGTGTAGATCAAGCTTAAACCTCACTAAAATCTTGATTCTTGATAAAAAATCCGTTTTTAGTGTCATTTTTCGTTTCCAGTTCAATTTGAGGTAAAGATGGTTGCCTTTTTTTTTGTTTAAAGAAAAGAGAGAACACAATCAACCTAGCGCCCGTTGTATCCTTCCTCAACGGGCCATTTTTCTCGTAAAGATATAAAAATGCAGAAATTAGGTAGTCTAAATAGCCTTTACAAATATCTGAGAAAATTGAAAACAATCTGAATTGTTTGCTCGCAAACACTTCCAGTGTTATAATGCACCAGTATGAAAAAAATGAACCCGATCGGTTTAGGTGTTTCGATTTCTGTGTCGGATATAGTCATCGGCACAACAATCTATATACTACGGAAAGTCTAAAATTTGTAAATTATTTTTTGTTTCGCTGCTAGATCATATCACGTGTACTTGGTGTAAAACTGTATAATACGTATTTTTTCTAGAGAAAAATGTTCTTTTATCACCAAATGTTATATATGCGAAAGGATGCTGAATCAGAATTTACTACCATATTTAATGACGCCAAAGACATTTGTGAAGACTTCGACATAGATGTACTTATTCTAGGTCGAGCTGGAAAACAAATTCAACGCTGCAATGTTATGGCAAATGTCAGGCTTAAGTGTTTAGTGTTTAAGCCCTAAATAATATCGACACAAGTCAATAGCTGTAGCTTAACGTCAAAAAGTAGTCAATTTGGGGGACCATGGGTGGGGAGGGGGGATAACCCCTCCCCGCCTACGCCACTGCGTAGACCAGTTTCTGTGACCTCAGTATATGACGGGATAGTGTAATCAGACTCATGCTCAGCCGAAATCGGTATTTTTAAAAGACAAAAACATGTTGACTGAGGTATGATGTCTTTTTAGATGTGGGGTGTTTTTTTGTGTGACAATGTATGACATTGGGGAGTGGGAGGGGGGGAAATTAAAATTGTCAAACAAACGTGACTTACTTATAGAGGAGCCTCTCCCCTCCCGAAACACAGTTATCCAAGGATAACGGTTTGTCTAGTTTGAAATATCTTATCGATGTCATCTTAACCATACATGTAAACCATACAAACGTTTGAAGTATCTTATCGATATCATCTTAACCATACATGTAAACCATACAAACGTTTGAAGTATCTTATCGATGTCATCTTAACCATACATGTAAACCATACAAACGTTTGAAGTATCTTATCGATGTCATCTTAACCATACATGTAAACCATACAAACGTTTGAAGTATCTTATCGATGTCATCTTAACCATACATGTAAACCATACAAACGTTTGAAGTATCTTATCGATGTCATCTTAACCATACATGTAAACCATACAAACGTTTGAAGTATCTTATCGATGTCATCTTAACCATACATGTAAACCATACAAACGTTTGAAGTATCTTATCGATGTCATCTAAAAGGCCTTTGTTTTTTTTTTTTGCGGCCATGTCTTATACCACCCCATTCCATTCGTCACATACCTATCGTTAACTATAAATTGATTTGTTCTCATATAATTAGACCCAGACCGACTGATTTCGGCACGATTATCTAAACATGGCGAGTACTAAGGATAACAGTACACCAAGTACAAGTAAAAGTAAAGTCGCCAGAAGCAAATCCATTGCAACACCCAAGGACACAATGTCTACTGTTGGAGTTGACTCGAATCAGGTAATTTTGGTTTATATAGTTTCAATTCTGTGTTTTTGCCTGTATAGTTTAAGTTGTCTCTTGGAGTTGTTTGGCTATATAGTTTACGTTAGTGTTTGAGTTGTTTGCCTGTATAGATTACCTTGTCTCTTGGGGTTGATTGACTGTATAGTTTACATTCTGTGTTGGAGTTGTTTGCCTATATAGTTTACGTTAGTGTTTGAGTTATTTGCCTATATAGTTTACGTTAGTGTTTGAGTTGTTTGCCTATATAGATTACCTTGTCTCTTGGGGTTGATTGACTGTATAGTTTACATTCTGTGTTGGAGTTGTTTGGCTATATAGTTTACGTTAGTGTTGGAGTTGTTAGCCTGTATAGATTACGTTATTTGAGTTGTTTGCCTATATAGATTACCTTGTCTCTTGGGGTTGATTGACTGTATAGGTTACATTCTGTGTTGGAGTTGTTTAGCTATATAGTTTACGTTAGTGTTTGAGTTGTTTGCCTGTATAGATTACGTTATTTGAGTTGTTTGCCTATATAGATTACGTTACTGTTTGAGTTGTTTGCCTATATAGATTACCTTGTCTCTTGGAATTGTTTGGCTATATAGTTTACGTTAGTGTTTGAGTTGTTTGCCTATATAGATTACCTTGTCTCTTGGAGTTGATTGACTGTATAGTTTACGTTCTGTGTTGGAGTTGATTGACTGTATAGTTTACAAGTTTTCCTTTGCAGTACATATATTTAAGAACGTCATTGGTAAGTTTGTAGGCTAATCGGCTGTTTATTCAGCACGTCATGGCCTTTTCATATCTACAATGCCCCCCCCCCCAATGCAATATTTGCTTTCTAGAACAGTAATTACTTTTAAAAACATTAATCCATTTTTATTACAATTAACAAATGAGGCTCAACTGGTGATCCATCCTAGGAAATTAAAGTATTTAAAATGCCCTATTTATCTTTTATACACCTTGAAATCAATTGTTTTTTACCGTCTACAGACAATGGCCAAAGATGCAAGAGAGGACAGACGTAGCCTGATAAACAAAACTCATAAATACTTTTTTAACTTAGTCTCCCACTTTCTGTGTATTTCTAATGACGAAGTGGAGGAGTTTGCGCTGGACGAAGACATGGTATGTTCCCTTTTTTACAAGCTCTTTCTTGGGTCACAATTCCAGATATTTATTTCCGATGACAACGCAAGAATTTCTCATTTTCAATCCAATTAGATATTAATTTAGCCAAGAAAAATGAATAAAAAGATTCGTTCTTTTACAAAATTAAGTAGCGGTAATCACTCATCAGAAAGTTGAGCTGATTTTATGAATATATTCAAACCCAATAGCAGACCAATTAGCAGAAACTTTTCATTTAGTGCTAGCGTTAGAAGAGGTCGCGTCAAATGAATGAAGGCGAACTGCAGACTTCCACACTTTTCTGAGAAAGAAAACTCAGGAATGGAAACTGGAATGTTAGGACAATAAATGAGAGGGGAAAAGTAAATAAAGTAACATTAGTGACGAAAAAATATAACATTAATTTACTATTAAAGATGAATTGAAAACATTTGGAAAGAAATGGAAAAAATAGCAAAGAACAGACAAGTATTGAATGCTTTAATTGTCCATTCTACACTGGGAGTTGAAGAAGAAGCTACTGAACTGTTTTTAAAGCAATTATTTTTAGTCGTGTGGGCGCTGGAAAAAATGTGTATGATATAAATTGTTACAAAAATAACATATCGAAGTTGTAGGCTTACTCTTACAATCTTCAAAATATAGATATATTAAAAAGTGGAAAAACCATTAAAATATTTGAAGAAAGTTTTTAAAAAGTAACTTTTATAAATAATGAAAATATATGTTTATTTATTATTTTTTTCTAATTTTTGGCGTATTTAAAATCTAGTTACTATAAACGCTGTAATATTTGTTTCACTTTGAAATAGAATAACTTTCTTACAAGTAACTAGTACAGAGGCGTATCTAGGTTTTCGTTGTAGGGGGAGCGAAAAGAGAAAAAAAAGGCGCCGAATTTTTAACACGTTCTATATACGTGTATTATATATATATATATATATATATATATATATATATATATATATATATATATATAATTACTAGCTGTATGTCATTACTTCGCTATGATGTAAAATAATTGAAAGTAGCACTCTGAAGAAATAAAAAAAAAACACACAATGTAGGCCGACAAAACAAAAATAGTATCAATCTAAACAAAAACAAAACAAATATACACACACCACAACCAAAAACAATGAACTTAACACAATCTGTTTAGTAATTCTTGTAAAAAAATTTCTTACATAATAATTCCTGGGAAACTATTTAAGACAAGTGAAATAGGGGAAATAATCACTCTCTTAATAAAAATATGTATATATCTACACATTTAATTATAAATGTCAAAACAAATAAATAATTACTTTAGAATATAATGAAATTGCTTAACACTATTCGTGTTTACAAAATGTTTTTGTCTATAATCAGAATTTAATATATCGTCAGCATAAATGCTAAAGTGTTACAGCATAATGAAAGTTTTAAAAATCAGAGTTGGTATAAAACCACGCTTTTCCACATACTAACTAAACATTCGTAATAGCAGCCTACATTTAACTAAATATAGGTCCTTTAGTTTAGATGATATATTTTTAATTAACTACTGCTTCTTTGTGTTCTTTAAAGATCATTTTTTAACATAGTGATAGGTATGGGTTAGATCACTGTATTGCTCACACACCTTTTTACTGGTAATTGCAAAAACAATATTCACAAAGTTTTACGTTTAAAAAGCTAATTTTCTGGCGGCATGGTACTTTGGTACATCATTACGCATTTACATATCAGTTCAGGGTGGGTTGGGGGGGGGGGGGGTTCAACTTCATTTACCACTGTTCGGTCACTTTAGGTCGATTATCCAACCCAGTGTATAACAAGGTGTGACATTAATGTCGCTCTACATAATTGTGGTGGTGAGGTGGGGGGGGGGGAAGATAACCAACTCAGAGTGAACATAGCGTCCGTTTTTAGATGACTATTCTAAACATACATATATATTACACAAATATATATTACACAAATATATATTATAGAAATAGATTTAAATAAGTAGCAGTGGTATTATGACAATATTTTTTTTTACAGAGGGGTCCATGGGGGAGGGGAGTTGTAACTGTTTCATATAATTTGTAATCGTAATGACTATCGTCCAAACTGTCATAATACTACTACTTCATCGTGATGACATTGTTGACCTTGTCAAAATTTTCCCACCACTATGAGCAGTTTGCTCATAAATAAATTTAAATAGAGGTGCCACATCAGTTGTATTTGTTTCTGTATTGTATTTTTTTTAAAATTAATCACACGATTCAAACTGTATATATAAAGTAATTATGTGTGAAGTTTTATGTATAACATTTTCTAATTCAATTATTCGTAGGCAAATACATTATACAGTTGCCTTAAACTTAACACCCCTCTTGCCAAGTAGTACTACCCGTAGAGGTTTTTTAAACTTTGCAATGCATCGTAATGGTTATTTTAAGAATGGCAAACTGATGTAGCTGTTAATACGTGTTGTAAACGTAGAAACTACTAGACAGGTACAACAATGATTAATTGCTGCATGAAAAGAAATCTTGTGATTTACATAGATGTGCCGACCAAAAATAATTTTTTAACAAATATCATTGTTTAAAACTTTGAGTATAAAAAGTTTCCAAAATGGCGCCACTTTGCTGAAAATGGCCAGAGGGGGAGCGGCCGCTCCCCCTGCTCCCCCCCTGCGTACGCTACTGAACTAGTAATAAAACAGATAGTATTAGTTACCTCACAAGTTAAAGACAGTTACAAGTACTATGGACGTTTCGACCCAAGGTCTTCGTCAGCACACAACAGTGTGATTACAGATTAGACAAATAAAGACAAACAGTAACACATTTTTTGACTTAGCTCGACAGTGAAAACACGTCTTGTCTGCTAGCCACGATATCCAAAAGAAAAGACGCGTGAGAAGGACGCTTGGACACCGTATAGGGGTGGGGTTGGGGGCGTGGTGTATGCGGGAGGGGGGGGGGTTGTTAGGTAAAAGATATCTGTTCATTCAAGCCATCGGGTGCCCGTGTACCAAATTTAAGTATTAGATTTAAGTATTAAACTCACTCTGTTCTAAAAAGTTACAAGTGACATGAATCTAAAATAAAAAATCCACATTATTTTCCATCCATTGTAGGAGAAAAAAAAATGTCAAATATTAAAGAAATTTGAAAACACTCATATACAATAATGTAATGTTACTTAAACTGTTGAGCTAATTATTCAATTTTATTTTTCTATATAGTCTATCAGAAATTTAAAACAATTTGTAGCTAAGGATGAAACGTTGCTGTTGTTCCACTATCAAATTGGCAATGCTTTGTCGTTTGAGGGTAAGTTATATAAGTTTTAATTGAAAAGATTGCTTTTAGTTTTTATTGAAATAACATTTTAACACGCGGTCAAGTGTGTGATTTCAGGTCCTACCGAGATAACATTTTAACACTCGGTCAAGTGTGTGATTTCACGTCCTACCGAGATAACATTTTAACACGCAGTCAAGTGTGTGATTTCAGGTCCTACCGAGGTAACATTTTAACACTCGGTCAAGTGTGTGATTTCACGTCCTACAGAGATAACATTTTAACACGCAGTCAAGTGTGTGATTTCAGGTCCTACCGAGGTAACATTTTAACACTCGGTCAAGTGTGTGATTTCAGGTCCTACCGAGGTAACATTTTAACACGCGGTCAAGTGTGTGATTTCAAATCCTAGTGAGATAACATTTTAACACTCGGTCAAGTGTGTGATTTCAGGTCCTACCGAGGTAACATTTTAACACTCGGTCAAGTGTGTGATTTCAGGTCCTACTGAGATAACATTTTAACACTCGGTCAAGTGTGTGATTTCACGTCCTACCGAGGTAACATTTTAACACTCGGTCAAGTGTGTGATTTCAGGTCCTACCGAGATAACATTTTAACACTCGGTCAAGTGTGTGATTTCAGGTCGGTCCTAGGTTCTTTGACCACAGGTGCTTTGACCATAGGGGGTTTGACCATAGGTGGTTTGACCACAGCGGAGCTTTGACCATAGGGGGTTTGACCATAGAGGGTTTGACCACAGCGGGGCTTTGACCCTAACGGAGCTTTGACCATAGGGAGTTTGGCCATAGGGGTTTGACCATAGGGGGTTTGACCACAGCGGGGTTTTGACCACAGAGCGGGGTTAACCATAATATATAGATTTTAAAATAGATATTATTAATTGTTATTTGATTTAAATTTGTGTTACAATTAATACGATATTAAACGTTTCCTGGGAGTCCATTAATAGAAATTAACGTATTAAAAAAAGTCAAGAACTATATTTTAGTCTCCACATAAAAGCTTGTGCTACGCCTCATAGAATTTATTTTAAATATAAATGGAACATAAATAATGCGACATTTAACAAGTTTCACAAATAAATAATGTAGATGTACTTGAAAATACATAAATACAAAGGATAACACAGGATAAAAAAACATGCTAACAATGTAGTCAAAGAAGTAATAATTGTATGGTTTAGATGACTTGTATTTATATATGATGAATTAACCTATTATTATATCCTGCCACAATTTAAAATATAATTACACAACATTTCAAATAAATCATTACAATATATGGACAAAGCGCTTATTATCAAATGCCAGCATTGGACAAACCACCCGTGATCAAAGACCCTATATGGAAAAAACACCCGTGTTTAAAGCCGGACACAGCGCTTGTGATCAAACACCCGTTGACAAACCACCTGTGATCAAAGATCTTCTGCTGCGAAAACACCTGTGGTCAAACCCCCTATGGTCAAACGCCCTATGGTCAAAGCTCCTATGGTCAAACCCCCTATGGTCAAACCCCCTATGATCAAAGCACCTGTGGTGAAAGGTCCGCGCACCTTCAGGTCCTACCGAGATAATATTTTAACACTCGGTCAAGTGTGTGATTTCAGGTCCTACCGAGGTAACATTTTAACACTCGGTCAAGTGTGTGATTTCACGTCCTAGTGAGATAATATTTCCCGCGAGTGAGGTAAACTTTACTTGGCGGTATATTAGGATTTTGTGCATACATCTTTTAGCTTTCGAATGGCCACTGTGTTGGTATCTCAATGTAATAAGGCTAAGTAACATTCTTTGGAGAAAAAAAAGGCTAGAAAAAGTCTGAAAGAAACACTGTCTATGTTTTGTGAGGTTTAGCTGCCAAAAGTATGAAACGGGTCTATATTGTATAATTAGGATCCACCTTTCGTCTGTATGATCTACAAATGCGATCAGCATTTCTTTCAGACTTTTTCCTCCCCGAGGGTTACTTGAAATTTTTGGAGTGGGTCGGATTCAATTTTCTGGGGAGGGGGCCAGACACTGGTAAAAGTATATTTTCCATATCAATTCAATTTCGTTCAAGTGGACGGTAGATATGCTTCGGGGTGGGGGAGGGGAATAGGTTCACTATGCTGTCACTCTATCTGTTGGGAATGATATAAAGAAAACACAAGCAAAGTAAAAACTTTCACAGCTAAACGAAAAAAGAAACGTGACGTCACATGGAACATATAGTAGGAAATATTCTAATGCCGGAAAAGTACACAAAATAACATGACGTCAATTGATTCTAGAGTAAACATACAATTAAAAGGCATTGCCCAAAAAATACACACTAATAATGACGTCATCGATACTTGATAATAAGTAAAGACGCTAACATTACCACCTCATTTATTTCTCTAATTATAAAAGAGGTTTGCGTGCAGAGTTTCTTTCAGGCATCTCTAAAGGTAGGAGCGAAGTCCACCCACCCCACTTTTTATTTACCAGTAACAGCCCTCCCCCCCCCTGATCTGAGAATTTTATTTACCATGCAAAAATGTCAAGTGCCCCACCCTGGAAAAAAGCCTGAAAGAAACACTGAGTGATTGAGGTTTAGCGGCCAAAAGTAGGAAACGGGTTAAGATTATAGAAGTAGGGTATACCTTTAGCCTGTATGATCTACTAATGCGACAAGTGTTTCTTTCAGCCTTTTTTTAGCCCGAGGGGGGGGGGAGGGGCACTTGAATTTTTAGGGGGGGGGGGGGGTTGGACTAAATTTTTAGGGGAAGGTGGCAGACACTGGTTAAAGTATATTTCCTATAAATGTTATATGTCGTTATAGGCGGCGGTAGACTTTCTTCAGGGGGCTCTGCCCTCCATCCTCCTCCTCCTCCCTCCCGAAGAGTAACCCGAAAGTAACTCTTAATGCGACTTTCGTCAAGTTTGAGCTTATGTGCAAAGTTTAGGGGTATGACTACGACTGTAATATGTATTAACAACGCGTAAATCAAGGCCCGGTCAAAATACCGATTCTCTATAAAAATCCGTTTTCGATGACTTTTTTTTTTATATTTTCGATTAAAGTTGAAGTTGAGGTGGTGATTTTGGTTTCGGTTTAGAGAAAAAGACAACACCATCAACCTTGCGCCTGTAGTCTTTCAGGATTGTGACATGTAACATAATATATATAGCATATAAGTATTTTATTATGTAACGGGCAGTATATTCTCTCGAAAGTTTTGAAAAGTATCTTTTACCTTGTTCTAGGTACACATTATTGATCCCATCTTAACTTTAAGCGCGGTCCTATATTAGTTTAATCCCTAATTATCCTGGATATTATTGTTATTATTATTATTATTTCATATCTTTATACATTAAAACCCGATTTAATTTAGCATATTCAGGTTTAAAAATAAAGCGTCACCAATCTAAGCTATAATTACCATAATGCGATAAACATTGGTCTCCGTGCATGGTGCCTCTGAGTGAATATTGAATAAACATCTTACTTCCGTGCAGCGTATTACGACGTCACTCTCTTTGACTCCGACGAAGTGGCCTAGCGATAGAGAGCTAGGCTAATAACCCGTAAATCTCGAGTTCGAATCCAGGTTTAAGTCAGTAGACCGCCCCTGAGTGCACCCAGGTCTGGCGGGTACCTAACTTACGTTAGGAAAAGACAAGGCGGCAGACCGTAGTGCTGATCACACTATCCCCTCAAATGATGATGTCACAGAAGCAGGTGAACTCTACTTCACTTGCCCCATATAAATATAGGCTGTATTTTAACAAATACCTTTTGTTTTACCTTTACCATATTGAAATTTATCAATCCATGTAAACCCGACAATTTCTTTTCAGATATATATATACATATATATATATATATATATATATATATATATATATATATATATATATATATATATATATATATATATATATATATATATATATGTATTTATTTACATTTATATATATGGTGACAGGACAAATGATCTCAGGACAAATGATCTCAGGACAAATTATATCAAGACAAATGATATCATTGACAAATGACCTCAGACAAAATATCTCAGACAAAAATACCTCACAGCAAAATGTTAATCGTATATAGTAATATACGATAATTTTAGTTAATTTAAACATTTTTTGCATACAGATTGCGGTCGTTTTTACACAACTATCGCGAAAGGAAGCACTGCGTTGAGAATGTTTATTTCTGATGGCGAAGCGAGCGCAATAGAAGGAAAATGTGTTTACTTGCTGAAACGACATTCCGTCCAGCTAGAAGACAAGAATGTTTCTGATGTGAGTCTTTTAGCCCATTTTCTAACCCATATAATCCAAAGTCCAAACAGTGTTGTAATTTTTGGATATTGTTTTTAGCTATTGGGCACTGAATGGAGAAATTCCTATCTATTTTGTTTTCAATTGAATACTTTTTAAAAGATGTTTAATTAGTCATTAAATGTTAATTAAAACGGTTTTGAAACTAAGGAGAGATAACAAAATAAAATCACTCGATAGATTACTATAACAGATGGGGCGTTAACTAAATAGACGTGATCACCCTAACAGTCTGGTGAGCTGTGGTTCACGAGAATGTTTACAATCGTAGAGCCGTTGAAAGCTATTACGGGGATATAATAAAGTTTTTACACTATTTGAAACTAAGGGGAGGTAACAAGTAGTTGCTGTCTGTAAAATATCGTCACTGACGGCTGCTTTCACGGAGCAGATAATCATTTTTCAGATATCTACTGATAATGTTTAAAAGCAAATATCTTTAGTCGTGTCGACTTCATAAATTAGCAATCACTAAAAAGTAGAAAATAGGGACGGCGAGGCCTAGTGGTAGAGAGCTGGACTGCTAACCCGAGAGTTTGAATCCGGGTTAAAATCGCCTCATATGCCGAGGTCAATTAATCAGATGAACTCTACTTCATCTGCCATATGTGTCTTGGGCACGAATGAGAATGAAAAGGGACGAAGAAAAAGAAAATAAAACAAATATTTAAAAAATGAAACATTCATAGCAACAAGCTTTTGAATACACTGAACATATGAGAATAATACTAACTTGCTTTGATCGCTCATATTTTAGTGACAAAATCTTTTATAAAAGAAACCAAAGTAGTTTTATTCTCAGATTTAAAAGTGCATTTAAAAGCTTGTTGCTATAAAGTTTTTTTTTTTTTAAAAATATTTGTTCTATTTCATATTTTAAGAGTCGTTTAATAAGACATTCAAGCTTGACAGTATAGATTTGCACATTAATTGAAACAATTCTACAACAACTATAAAAAAATTAAGCAACAACAGCTTATTTTTGTGTTTGTGGCAAGAATGCAATTTAGGAGAAAAGGAATTTAAGTATTTTTCCAACAAATTCACAACACAACAAGATAGACATTTTTATCCATTGTCAGCTCTTAAGTGATCTCAATTTTTTTCTCTCCAATGAACGATATGAAGATTTTATAGAAATGAATATACACAATTTAGTATTTTTTCTTCATGGTTCAAATTGTAATATGAACTGATATTCACAAATAAGAAACGGAAATTTGAATAGAGGCTCCCTGCAGTTTGATGGCCGATTTCAGAAGTAATCATTACCATTTGGTTAAGGTCAATAAAGTTATACAGCTTATTACAGTTACATATATTATTATTTATTATATTATTCATGTTGTCGTTGGTGAAGCGGGGTGGCACCCTTAAATATTTCATTCACGATATTTATATATAAATACACACACACATTATATATATATACTAGGCATGCTGCCCAGCTTCGCTTAGGCTTTCGAAAACATTGAGAATTTGAATGCTTAATTAATTCGCCCATATAAGGCGCCGGTCAGTCGAGGTCAGTTTTGACCCCCTCATCGTAGACATTTCGGCCAACCGGCCCCCGTGTTCTGTCGCCCCAAGGCAAGATCCTGCCAAATTTGAAGCACCTGCGGCGCCGGAAAGTGCCCTATCGGGCACCCGACAACTTAGCTTTATATATTATAGAGATTAGCAAATTGCATAGATAAACAAAGATTTCAATAAAGTAATTAAGGCCTGAAATACTTTAGTATAGAAATGTATTATTTGAATATATTCTAGATCTAGGTAGGGTCTAAATCTGCGTAAGTCTAGTTTTTCCGTAGATCTAGATCATCTAGATCTAGATCTAGAATCTCTAGATCTAGATGATCTAGAATCTAGAATCTCTAGATCTAGAATCCAAATAGATAAAATATTTTTTTTTAAGTTTAGGCCGAGAAAATCGTGATGATGACAAGGATGCAGACAAATTAATCAGCTTATTGGGCTGAGAGTCTTAAATTCATTCAATTAAATAACACGGAAAAAAAAGTGATTTTGAGAGATCATAGACTAATTAGAAAATTATATAATTTAATTTGCGGGTGCAATGATTACAAGTAGATCAATAACCCGTTAGTCAGGTTAGGACTAAAGAGATTAAAGTTTAATGAGCGTAGCCACTATAAAGTGAATGTAATGTAATTTTTAGTTTTTATTTCTTGTTCTTAACGATTCCATTTATATTGCGTGTATAGGAAATCATAGTGGGTTCTTTCAACGTGCAAAAAGGACGTACGCTTTTGGGCGAACTATCTGAACACGTTTCCAATGTCTACCGACCCGCACTTCAAAGCTTAAAACAATGGGGCAATTTAAACAAAACTCCAAAAGATGTAACAAAGTGCAGCTACAGCGAGCTTTTCGTATCCATTGAGAATTTTATTGAGCATACACAATGTAAGTAGATTCTATTCACTTTTGATTTAAAAACTCAGAAAAGCCAAAACCACATGATAAAATTTACTTGTTTGTGTATTAACCAAAGTGCACTGGAAAGGTTTGAATGGGCCTTGAGTGAGGCTTGTAGTAAAGGTTTAAAAAGATAACGGCGTTTCTAGTACTACATTTTTATAAGAGTAACATTAAGCAAGATTGTATGGAATACAACTTTTCCAGAAAACAATTCTACAAGTACGAAATGCATCACGTGATTCTTATAAACATGTATTTGCCTGGTACCTGCACATTCTATTCAATTAAACAGTGGTGGGTGGGTAATACACATTGACAGGGCGCCATACAGTTGAGATGTGGGTAATACACATTGACAGGGCGCCATACAGTTGAGATGTGAATAATACACATGGACAGGGCGCCATACAGTTGAGATGTGGGTAATACACATGGACAGGGCGCCATACAGTTGAGATGTAAATAATACACATTGACAGGGCGCCATACAGTTGAGATGTGGGTAATACACATTGACAGGGCGCCATACAGTTGAGATGTGAATAATACACATGGACAGGGCGCCATACAGTTGAGATGTGGGTAATACACATGGACAGGGCGCCATACAGTTGAGATGTGGGTAATACACATGGACAGGGCGCCATACAGTTGAGATGTGAATAATACACATTGACAGGGCGCCATACAGTTGAGATGTGGGTAATACACATTGACAGGGCGCCATACAGTTGAGATGTGAATAATACACATTGACAGGGCGCCATACAGTTGAGATGTGGGTAATACACATTGACAGGGCGCCATACAGTTGAGATGTGAATAATACACATTGACAGGGCGCCATACAGTTGAGATGTGGGTAATACACATTGACAGGGCGCCATACAGTTGAGATGTGGGTAATACACATTGACAGGGCGCCATACAGTTGAGATGTGAATAATACACATTGACAGGGCGCCATACAGTTGAGATGTGGGTAATACACATTGACAGGGCGCCATACAGTTGAGATGTGAATAATACACATTGACAGGGCGCCATACAGTTGAGATGTGGGTAATACACATTGACAGGGCGCCATACAGTTGAGATGTGAATAATACACATTGACAGGGCGCCATACAGTTGAGATGTGGGTAATACACATTGACAGGGCGCCATACAGTTGAGATGTGGGTAATACACACTGACAGGGCGCCATACAGTTGAGATGTGGGTAATACACATTGACAGGGCGCCATACAGTTGAGATGTGAATAATACACATGGACAGGGCGCCATACATTTGAGATATGGGTAATACACATTGACAGGGCGCCATACAGTTGAGATGTGAATAATACACATGGACAGGGCGCCATACAGTTGAGATGTGGGTAATACACATTGACAGGGCGCCATACAGTTGAGATGTGGGTAATACACATTGACAGGGCGCCATACAGTTGAGATGTGAATAATACACATGGACAGGGCGCCATACAGTTGAGATGTGAATAATACACATGGACAGGGCGCCATACAGTTGAGATGTGAATAATACACATTGACAGGGCGCCATACAGTTGAGATGTGAATAATACACATTGACAGGGCGCCATACAGTTGAGATGTGGGTAATACACATTGACAGGGCGCCATACAGTTGAGATGTGGGTAATACACATTGACAGGGCGCCATACAGTTGAGATGTGAATAATACACATTGACAGGGCGCCATACAGTTGAGATGTGGGTAATACACATTGACAGGGCGCCATACAGTTGAGATGTGAATAATACACATGGACAGGGCGCCATACAGTTGAGATGTGGGTAATACACATGGACAGGGCGCCATACAGTTGAGATGTGGGTAATACACATTGACAGGGCGCCATACAGTTGAGATGTGAATAATACACATGGACAGGGCGCCATACAGTTGAGATGTGAATAATATACATTGACAGGGCGCCATACAGTTGAGATGTGGGTAATACACATTGACAGGGCGCCATACAGTTGAGATGTGAATAATACACATTGACAGGGCGCCATACAGTTGAGATGTGGGTAATACACATTGACAGGGCGCCATACAGTTGAGATGTGAATAATACACATTGACAGGGCGCCATACAGTTGAGATGTGGGTAATACACATTGACAGGGCGCCATACAGTTGAGATGTGGGTAATACACATTGACAGGGCGCCATACAGTTGAGATGTGAATAATACACATTGACAGGGCGCCATACAGTTGAGATGTGGGTAATACACATTGACAGGGCGCCATACAGTTGAGATGTGAATAATACACATTGACAGGGCGCCATACAGTTGAGATGTGGGTAATACACATTGACAGGGCGCCATACAGTTGAGATGTGAATAATACACATTGACAGGGCGCCATACAGTTGAGATGTGGGTAATACACATTGACAGGGCGCCATACAGTTGAGATGTGGGTAATACACACTGACAGGGCGCCATACAGTTGAGATGTGGGTAATACACATTGACAGGGCGCCATACAGTTGAGATGTGAATAATACACATGGACAGGGCGCCATACATTTGAGATGTGGGTAATACACATTGACAGGGCGCCATACAGTTGAGATGTGAATAATACACATGGACAGGGCGCCATACAGTTGAGATGTGGGTAATACACATTGACAGGGCGCCATACAGTTGAGATGTGGGTAATACACATTGACAGGGCGCCATACAGTTGAGATGTGAATAATACACATGGACAGGGCGCCATACAGTTGAGATGTGAATAATACACATGGACAGGGCGCCATACAGTTGAGATGTGAATAATACACATTGACAGGGCGCCATACAGTTGAGATGTGAATAATACACATTGACAGGGCGCCATACAGTTGAGATGTGGGTAATACACATTGACAGGGCGCCATACAGTTGAGATGTGGGTAATACACATTGACAGGGCGCCATACAGTTGAGATGTGAATAATACACATTGACAGGGCGCCATACAGTTGAGATGTGGGTAATACACATTGACAGGGCGCCATACAGTTGAGATGTGAATAATACACATGGACAGGGCGCCATACAGTTGAGATGTGGGTAATACACATGGACAGGGCGCCATACAGTTGAGATGTGGGTAATACACATTGACAGGGCGCCATACAGTTGAGATGTGAATAATACACATGGACAGGGCGCCATACAGTTGAGATGTGAATAATACACATTGACAGGGCGCCATACAGTTGAGATGTGAATAATACACATGGACAGGGCGCCATACAGTTGAGATGTGGGTAATACACATTGACAGGGCGCCATACAGTTGAGATGTGAATAATACACATGGACAGGGCGCCATACAGTTGAGATGTGGGTAATACACATTGACAGGGCGCCATACAGTTGAGATGTGAATAATACACATTGACAGGGCGCCATACAGTTGAGATGTGGGTAATACACATTGACAGGGCGCCATACAGTTGAGATGTGGGTAATACACATGGACAGGGCGCCATACAGTTGAGATGAGGGTAATACACATTGACAGGGCGCCATACAGTTGAGATGTGAATAATACACATGGACAGGGCGCCATACAGTTGAGATGTGGGTAATACACATGGACAGGGCGCCATACAGTTTAGATGTGAATAATACACATGGACAGGGCGCCATACAGTTGAGATGTGGGTAATACACATTGACAGGGCGCCATACAGTTGAGATGTGGGTAATACACATTGACAGGGCGCCATACAGTTGAGATGTGAGGACATTGTACAGTAAGTCTAGGAAGAAATTTTAAAATGCAAGTTTGAATTGTTTCAGGGGCAGAGAAGCATGTCGTGGAAATGGTTGAGTTGAGGACTCTGGACAAAGACAAAATGTCGATTCTTGACGACATATCCAACGCAGCTGATTGCTTAGAAGCTGCACAAAGCAAAGCAACCGTGGCTCTTGCAGAAGAGATAGTCACCCTATGGTGCCAACAAGTAGAAATGGTAAGTTAGTCACCCTATGGTGCCAACAAGTAGAAATGGTAAGTTAGTCACCGTATGGTGCCAACAAGTAGAAATGGTAAGTTAGTCACCGTATGGTGCCAACAAGTAGAAATGGTAAGTTAGTCACCCTATGGTGCCAACAAGTAGAAATGGTAAGCTAGTCACCCTATGATGCCAACAAGTAGAAATGGTAAGTTAGTCACCCTATGGTGCCAACAAGTAGAAATGGTAAGTTAGTCACCCTATGGTGCCAACAAGTAGAAATGGTAAGTTAGTCACCCTATGGTGCCAACAAGTAGAAATCGTAAGTTAGTCACCCTATGGTGCCAACAAGTAGAAATGGTAAGTTAGTCACCCTATGGTGCCAACAAGTAGAAATGGTAAGTTAGTCACCCTATGGTGCCAACAAGTAGAAATGGTAAGTTAGTCACCCTATGGTGCCAACAAGTAGAAATCGTAAGTTAGTCACCCTATGGTGCCAACAAGTAGAAATGGTAAGTTAGTCACCCTATGGTGCCAACAAGTAGAAATGGTAAGTTAGTCACCGTATGGTGCCAACAAGTAGAAATGGTAAGTTAGTCACCGTATGGTGCCAACAAGTAGAAATGGTAAGTTAGTCACCGTATGGTGCCAACAAGTAGAAATTGTAAGTTAGTCACCGTATGGTGCCAACAAGTAGAAATGGTAAGTTAGTCACCCTATGGTGCCAAAAAGTAGAAATGGTAAGTTAGTCACCCTATGGTGCCAACAAGTAGAAATGGTAAGTTAGTCACCATATGGTGCCAACAAGTAGAAATGGTAAGTTAGTCACCGTATGGTGCCAACAAGTAGAAATGGTAAGTTAGTCACCGTATGGTGCCAACAAGTAAAAATGGTAAGTTAGTCACCCTATGGTGCCAAAAAGTAGAAATGGTAAGTTAGTCACCCTATGGTGCCAACAAGTAGAAATGGTAAGTTAGTCACCCTATGGTGCCAACAAGTAGAAATGGTAAGTTAGTCACCCTATGGTGCCAACAAGTAGAAATGGTAAGTAAGTCACCGTATGGTGCCAACAAGTAGAAATGGTAAGTTAGTCACCCTATGGTGCCAACAAGTAGAAATGGTAAGTTAGTCACCCTATGGTGCCAACAAGTAGAAATGGTAAGTTAGTCACCCTATGGTGCCAACAAGTAGAAATGGTAAGTTAGTCACCCTATGGTGCCAACAAGTAGAAATGATAAGTTAGTCACCGTATGGTGCCAACAAGTAGAAATGGTAAGTTAGTCACCGTATGGTGCCAACAAGTAGAAATGGTAAGTTAGTCACCCTATGGTGCCAAAAAGTAGAAATGGTAAGTTAGTCACCCTATGGTGCCAACAAGTAGAAATGGTAAGTTAGTCACCATATGGTGCCAACAAGTAGAAATGGTAAGTTAGTCACCGTATGGTGCCAACAAGTAGAAATGGTAAGTTAGTCACCGTATGGTGCCAACAAGTAAAAATGGTAAGTTAGTCACCCTATGGTGCCAAAAAGTAGAAATGGTAAGTTAGTCACCCTATGGTGCCAACAAGTAGAAATGGTAAGTTAGTCACCCTATGGTGCCAACAAGTAGAAATGGTAAGTTAGTCACCCTATGGTGCCAACAAGTAGAAATGGTAAGTTAGTCACCGTATGGTGCCAACAAGTAGAAATGGTAAGTTAGTCACCCTATGGTGCCAACAAGTAGAAATGGTAAGTTAGTCACCGTATGGTGCCAACAAGTAGAAATGGTAAGTTAGTCACCCTATGGTGCCAACAAGTAGAAATGGTAAGTTAGTCACCCTATGGTGCCAACAAGTAGAAATGGTAAGTTAGTCACCCTATGGTGCCAACAAGTAGAAATGGTAAGTTAGTCACCCTATGGTGCCAACAAGTAGAAATGGTAAGTTAGTCACGCTATGGTGCCAACAAGTAGAAATAGGCCATTTAACTAGTACTGAAATATTCTGATAATAAAATACTTAAAAAAAAAACTTTTTAAAAAACCACGTTTTTCTTGTGGACTAAAAAGTAGAAAATAAATTTTTCTTTTGTGCGTCCTCGAGCTGTGCAGGTTCTTGTGATGACTGACAAAAACATTGGGTACGTTCACCATCAAATTTCCCGACCCATCTGCCCGACCCACGTTTTTTTCTACTTTTTAGTCCATAAGAAAAACGTGGTTTTTTAAAAAGTTTTTTTTAAGTATTTTATTTTCTCCTTTTTAGTCCGTTGCTACACATGAAAAACGTGGTTTTTAAAAAGTTTTTTATATACTTTATTTTCTACTTTATCTAATGACTTGATTAAGTATGACTTGACTAAGTGTTTATAAATACACGGACTAAAAATCTTGAGCGACCGATACGCTTTAAACAGAGAAAGGGCGTAATTTAAATAAGCCTACATGCCGTGACCAGGATTCGAACCTGGGTTGTCGCGGCCACAACGCGAAGTACTAACCATACGATCACGGCCAGCGCGCTCACATCGATTGGGGCCGAAGTAACTGTGTCAATAGGCCTCCAGTCTTGTCGGTATGTTTAGAAATCATGTCCTCGATTTTATGGTCCTTGGGGCGTAATTTAATTAAGCTAATTTAGGTCTCTAATTGCTAGTTTTTATGATTGCGTCTGAAATTGTTAAGCGAAAATAGCATGCATTCCAAATTTCAGATCTCTAGAGCAATCAGAAGTGGGCTAATTTTCGATGTCAATTTTAACAACAAACATCCAAACAACCAAACAACCAAACAAACAAACAAATAAACGCGAAGCTGAGTTAAGAAAAACGTGTTAAAAGTATGATTTAAACGAGCCGCTAAAATACATCCATCCACTCATACCCTTGCGCACTGATAATGTTATGTTTAATTGTGTTGCTATTTTCCACTCCCAGCTTCTCAACAACGCTGGCCGTATAAGGCGTGAAGCTGATGATATTGGCCCGAAGAAAGAGCTCGAGTTTTGGCTCGGCCGCACTGCCCACTTCAGTTATCTGCTGCAGCAGATCAGAGACGTCAGGGCACGCATGGTGTTCCACGTGCTGCAGGTCTGCAAGTCGCCGGTGATGAACCGCTGGAAGGAACTAGACATGAAGGTTACAGACCAAGCCAACGAAGCCCGGGACAACACCAAGTACCTGTATACGCTGGAAAAGTACTGTGAGCCTTTATACAGATGTCAGCCGGTTAGTTGTACTCACAAATTGACTTTTTAGATTATATATGAATATGTCAGCCGGTTAGTTGTACGCACAAATTGACTTTTTAGATTATATATGAATATGTCAGCCGGTTAATTGTACACACAAATTGACTTTTTATATTATATATGAATACGTCGGCCGGTTAGTTGCACAAAAAATATTCACTTTTTAGATCATATATGAATACTTATGTCAGCCGGTTAGTTGCACACAAAATATTCACTTTTTAGATCATATATAAATATGTCAGCCTGTTAATTGTACACACAAATTGACTTTTTATATTATATATGAATATGTCAGCCGGTTAGTTGCACACAAAATATTCACTTTTTATATTATATATGAATACGTCGGCCGGTTAGTTGCACACAAAATATTCACTTTTTAGATCATATATGAATATGTCAGCCTGTTAGTTGTACGCAAAATATTCACTTTTTAGATCATATATGAATACTTATGTCAGCCGGTTAGTTGCACACAAAATATTCACTTTTTAGATCATATATAAATATGTCAGCCTGTTAGTTGTACACACAAATTGACTTTTTATATTATATATCAATATGTCAACCAGTTAGTTGCACACAAAATATTCACTTTTTAGATCATATATGAATACGTCGGCCGGTTAGTTGCACACAAAATATTCACTTTTTAGATCATATATGAATACTTATGTCAGCCGGTTAGAATGGTTATTAAAATTCTGAAGAAAACCAAATGAAATAAGTATTTATTTTGAGTCAGGTTAACATGCTGGATAAGCTTTCTGGTTTGATTGGAACCATCCGTCTTATTTACAATTTCTCACCATACTATACAAGTACAGATAAGGTATCAAGCATTTTTGTCAAGGTAAGTTGAACGTTTTATTTGTTATTTATAGTAGCATGTACAGGGCGCTGCACGGGTTCAATTAAATGTCTATGTGCGAATATTGCGCTAAAGAAAATATACGTTTCATTAACTTTAACCACAACCTGAACCACAAACCAAAATGCAACCATAATTATAAACATAAACACATCCCAGTCTCCGTCCCTAATATTATCCATATAATTATCCGTATCCTTGTGGCTATTGCTATCCCCATCCCACCTTAAACATATCCGTTTCCCTATCTCTGTCCCTATACCATTTCATTTTCCCTACTGATATCCTTGTCTACTATTTAAAGAACTAAATTACCTACTATTGTGGGTCACTTTCTTTTTAGTTATTTAAATAGCAGTTCATTATTATATATTATTACTAGCCGTCGATACCCGTTACACGTAAATTATATTTTAATGTTATACGTTTTGGAAAAAATAATTTAGAAAATGGTTATTGGCCAAAACGCAACATTATAATATGTTGAGATATTATGACAAAGCAAAGAAATAACTAAATAGCTAAAAATCCGGCACATTTAAAGTAAATAAACCGGGAGTGATCTCCCCTAAACTTTCTCAAATATTCTTATATAAAAAAAACAGGGGATGGGAACTCGGGATATAGACATGAATTTTAATCCATTTTAAATACTTAAACTATTTAAAATAGAATAAAATCTCGTAGAAAAAAGAATTGCACACCAGTGAACGCCAAATAAAATGTGCATAATAGTGCGGAATATTATTAGTACTTTATAAATTTACATTAGTTTTTTTAGAAATCGGAAATAGCGTAAATTAGTACTTCCGGTCAACGGAAATTACTCAAAATTTGACAGAAGGCAGAGAATTAGATATTTTACTTACATGTGAAATTTCATTTATCTATCTGAAATAGTACTAAAGTTATATGCTTTTGAAAATTCAAAGTAAAAAAAGTACCACTTCCGGTTATTGGAAATCGCTCAAAAGTTGATACGGATCTACGATTTTAATAAAATACTTATATATGAAATTTCATCAACCTAGCTGTAACGCTACTCAAGTTATCGTGTTTACAGACACACCTATCTGGTCGTACTGTCCGTCGTGTTTCGTTGGGTCCGTATTTATTGGCTACCGTCATGTCCTAGGTGTCAAAGAGCCAGTCTGTCATTACGTATCGCCCGTCTCTGATCCCGTTCTCCCCCCGTGGTCAAATTTTGGTCAGATCAGGCTTCTTTGTGGGCGATAATCAGTGTCAGATCCAATCAGTGATCTGGGCGGTTACGCCCCTTTGTTACCAGGCCAACGTTTCCGCTATTGATCACAGGGATGGCTGTTTAGGGCCGTCCCGCAATCAGCTTGACCAGTGAGTCGTCATTCAGCTGACCGGTTCAATGAATGTCGTGGGCGGTTTCAGTCCCTTTGTTAATCTGGCCAACGTTTCCGCTGGACCGATGGGTCGCTATTCAAGTGGCAGATCCACTACATGGTTTGGCCACACCCAGGGTGATGTAAGAGCTAACGGCAGCTGTAGATCTGAACCCCCCGGGTGTGCGTGGTATCCCGCCCCCTTTATATCCCTAATCATTAAACGTAACTACCTATAGTTATATATATATATATATATATATATATATATATATATATATATATATATATATATATATATATTTATATATTTATATATATATATATCTAATATATAAAGTTCAATTCTGTATGTAAAACATATGTTTGTCGTGGATGTTCTATGGATTTAAGTGTTAGATGATTAAAGTCCTTATGGTCTAAATTTATGAGTTAAAAAATTAATATTGAAAGTTTTGGGAAATAATTTTCATTTATCAAACTGAAAGTAATAATTTTCGGCATGTTCATTAAACACAAGTTTTTAAAAAATATCATCTTTTACAAAAATTCTAATTATGTCTTTATTTAGTCCTATAGCACTTACTTCCCTTTGATAAATTAGGAAAACACAATTACTTCCCTTTATAAAACCATTGCATTAGTGGAAAAGAATTTACTTTTTATTACTTTGTTTTGGTGTTGGGAAAAAAAATAATTACATAATTAGCGGGGATTGATCAAGTGCAAATGTTGTAGGTATTTTACGGATAAGCTTGGAGTATTATAATTGTTCATTAAATTGAAACAGGCGCGTTCGTTTAAGTGAGTGCAAAAGACTATGAATAAGTTGGGGTACTATAGTCGTTTATTAAACTAAAACAGGCGATTCCGTTCCGGGCTAGACTGTGAGCACTTTGCGTTTATGTTCGCGTTAGTGTTTTCTTTGTGTTTAGGTTGGGTTTGCGTTAGTGGTTGCGGTTTGATTTGGTTCGTTTTTGTTATTTCTTTTTTCGTTTTTGTTTGTGTTTTTTCTTTGGGTTTGTATTTGTGTTTTTGGTTGGTTTTGCGTTTGGATTTGGTTTGTTTTCGTTTGCTTTTTTGGTTTTTTTTGGTGTTGTTATTGGTTGGTATTGGTGTTTGTAGTTGTGGTTGGGTTTGTTGTTAGGTTTTTGTTTTCGTTTGCTTTTTGTTTGTTTTTTCTTTGTGTTTGTATTGGTGTTTGTGGTTGAGTTTGAGTTTGTTGTTAATTTTTTGTTTTCGTTTGTATTTGTAATTGTGTTAGCGTTATGTTTGCGTTTTGTTGTTTTGGTTTTGGTTGGTTGTGGTTTGGGTGGGCAATGCCGGGTTTATGATGATTACTAAACACACAGAAAGGTTTTTCACAGAAGCCAGAGCAGGGCCTGGCCGGGACGGCTAGTATATATATATATATATATATATATATATATATATATATATATATATATATATATATATATATATATATATATATATATATATATATATATATATATATATATATATATATATATATATATATATATAATACTAGGATCCAGCCACCACGACAACCTAATGGTTTCGCCTAGACTATAAATACAAATTCAACTGGTTACCTGATCATTCTTGTACTCGTTAGATAACAAACCAGATCGTCACAAGTTGCAAGAATTACGTCTCTGACAATGGTGCTACAAGATTGTGGGATATGCCAAAGAACGAGATATATGCCAGGCTTAAGCACTGTATACGGTAACCAACCTGTTGACAATTAAAGCTAATTAATTTATAATGTGCCTTGAAACCAAACTATAGTTGAATGTTGCTGCTGAACACTTAGTGCCCCAACACAAGATGTCCCGGTAGTCAACTAGATGGGAGCAGGGGTTAGTGCCCCAACACAAGATGTCCCGGTAGTCAACTAGATGAGAGCAGTTTCCCGGTAGAGCAGGGGTTCAGTGCACTTTTAGTAAATTTGGGTAATTATTGAAATTTAAAAAAAAATTAACTTTTAATTTATTGAATAATCAGTGCATTGTTTTTGTGAAATTATTGTCTTATATTAAAAGTTTGAGAAGGTTTTTTTTTTTGACAGCCTTTTTGAAGCCTACATCAATATTTATAAAATAACAAAGAAAAAAATTGCAAATGCACATACCGAGCGCCCTTTCAATTTCTCTGAAATGTACATCTTTGGGAAAATCTACACCTTCAGAACTCGAATCGATAAGGTAAAAACAACCTTAGCATATTAAAGCAGTTTCCAAAGTGGAAGGCACTATATGTTAGACACTTATAGTAGGCCTACTTCCTATATCAACACAAATAGAGAAATTTAAATAAGTCAATGTAGGCCAACTTTCTACACAAAAAAAAAAAAAAAAAAAAAAAAACTAGAGAAAAATTAATTAGTGAATTTATGTAATAAATTGACGTATTGTCTGAACACTGTTACAAATGCATTTTGTATCAGTTATCCTATCCGTACACCATTGTATCAGTTACCCTATCCGTACACCCTTGTATCAGTTACCCTATCCGTACACCCTTGTATCAGTTACCCTATCCGTACACCCTTGTATCAGTTACCCTATCCGTACACCCTTGTATCAGTTACCCTATCCGTACACCCTTGTATCAGTTACCCTATCCGTACACCCTTGTATCAGTTATCCTATCCGTACACCCTTGTATCAGTTACCCTATCCGTACACCCTTGTATCAGTTACCCTATCCTTACACCCTTGTATCAGTTAACCTATCCGTACACCCTTGTATCAGTTAACCTATCCGTACACCCTTGTATCAGTTATCCTATCCGTACACCCTTGTATCAGTTCTCTTATCCGTACACCCTTGTATCAGTTAACCTATCCGTACACCCTTGTATCAGTTAACCTATCCGTACACCCTTGTATCAGTTATCCTATCCGCACACCCTTGTATCAGTTATCTTATCCGTACACCCTAGTATCAGTTAACCTATCCGTACACCCTTGTATCAGTTAACCTATCCGTACACCCTTGTATCAGTTACCCTATCCGTACACCCTTGTATCAGTTAACCTATCCGTACACCCTTGTATCAGTTAACCTATCCGTACACCCTTGTATCAGTTAACCTATCCGTACACCCTTGTATCAGTTACCCTATCCGTACACCCTTGTATCAGTTACCCTATCCGTACACCCTTGTATCAGTTATCCTATCCGTACACCCTTATATCAGTTAACCTATCCGTACACCCTTGTGTCGCCTATCTTTCCGTTTCCTCAATGTAACGGCGAACCTATCTGTATCCCCAATATATCGGCTACCCAATCCGTATCAACAATGTAACAGCTTACCTATCCGTATCATCAATGTATCGGCTTACCTATCCGTATCATCAATGTAACGGCTTACCTATCCGTATCATCAATGTAACGGCTAGCCTATCCGTATCATCAATGTAACGGCTTATACCTATCCGTATCATCAATGTAACGGCTCACCTATCTGTATCCCCAATATATCGGCTACCCAATCCGTATCAACACTGTAACGGCTTACCTGTCCGTATCATCAATGTATCCGCTTACCTATCCGTATCATCAATGTAACGGCTTACCTATCCGTATCATCAATGTATCGGCTTACCTATCCGTATCAACACTGTAACGGCTTACCTATCCGTATCATCAATGTAAATGCTTACCTATCCGTATCATCAATGTAACGGCTTACCTATCCGTATCCCCGATGTATCGGCTACTCAAATAACCGGGGTAGTCGCTAGCTTCATTTACTTCTAGAAGGTGTTGTCAGCTCTTGTCTTCACCAGATCATTTGCCTGCTGGACTACTGTTCTCTGTTTGCCTCACTGGATGCCTGCACCATAGAGGGCATTGAAGTGTTAGCCGCACGCTTTCACTCACTCTACTTCAACCTCAAGAAGAAAGGCTACGATCTACTTAATTATAAAAATTTGGCTTTTGAAGAAGACTTTGAGAAATTCCAGGAACTAGTTGACGACCTCAAGGTATCATGGTTTACTTCGCTGTGGCTCTTTTAAAGTGTATGCCTAAAATGTGGTTGGCTGAATGTGCTTGTCTGCTAGTGGTTGCCTGAGAGTGCCCTTCTAAATGGGTTGACTGAAATAAGTTTTTTTTTTTTTACGAATAATGGTTTCACGCCTATTTGATGAACGGTGTCACTGCAATTCACTTTTATTATTTTTATATACCGTATATAGAGAAAAATCGGACCCTCCCATGGCGCCGCCCTTGCGAAATTAAAATTTTTTTTTTTTACAGAACCCTTCCCTAGAGTGGTATAATGAACTCCTCAAAGTCTCATGGCTATCGGATGAACGATGCCAAACCAAAATCGACTTTTATTTTTATATACCGTATATAGAAAAAAATCAAATCGCGCCCTGTCGGGGCGCCACCCCTGCGAATTTGAAATTTTTTTTTCCGCAGAAACCTCCCCAGGAATATTCTCAACAACTTCCCAAAGTTTCACGGCGATGTGATGAGAGGTGTAGTAATGCATAAAGGACAGACACACACACACAAACATACATTGCTTTATATATATATATATATATATATATATATATATATATATATATATATATATATATATATATATATATATATATATATATATATATATATAGATAGATAGATAGGTAGATAGGTAGGTAGGTAGGTAGGTGGGTAGGTGGGTAGGTAGGTAGGTAGGTAGGTAGGTAGGTAGGTAGGTAGGTAGGTAGGTAGGTAGATAGGTAGATAGGTAGATAGGTAGATAGATTAGATTAGATTTAGATTTAGATTTAGATTTAGATTAGATAAGATAAGGTAGATAGATAGATAGATAGATAGATAGATAGATAGATAGATAGATAGATAGATAGATAGATAGATAGATAGATAGATAGATAGATAGATAGATAGATAGATAGATAGATAGATAGATAGATAGATAGATAGATAGATAGATAGATAGATAGATAGATAGATAGATAGATAGATAGATAGATAGATAGATAGATAGATAGATAGATAGATAGATAGATAGATAGATAGATAGATAGATAGATAGATAGATAGATAGATAGATAGATAGGTCTACACATACACATAGACCTACATAGGCTTACATGTATGTAGGTCTACATGTACATACATACAGTGTTTCTTCCAGACTTTTTGCTCCGGGGGGGGGGCACTTGAAATTTTCGGGGGGGGGGGGGGCGGACACTGTTAAAAGTATATATTTTCTATAATAATATAAATTATATAAATTTCATTTCGTTCGGGGGGGGGGGGGGGGGGGGGGCGATAAAAAAATTTCGGGGGGGGGGCGGCTCGACCCCCCCCCCCCGAAGAGATGCCTGGAAGAAACTTTGCATACATAGGCCTACATGTAAATAGGCCTACATGTAAATAGGCCTATATGTAAATACAATACAACGATGTTCGTTAACAAAATTTGTACAAATGTAACAGCTACAGCTGAAAAAGTTTATGAACACCACAATGCAAAACCTAAAACAAAGCTCAGACAAGCTGGACATGATGCAAAGGTTAGTTCCCTTGTTATAACTCTTCCTTACTTGACATCTAACAAATAACAAAATACTTAAGTTCATATACATTTACAATGCTAGAAAATCATATTAATCATAAGGGGTCATCCATAAATGACGTCACGTTTTTAACGATTTTTACCTCCCCCCCCTCCCCTCCGTCACACGTCGTCACAAAAAGTCAGACCCCCCTAAAATGACGTCACACTTTAGCCTGCAACCCCCCTCAAAATTGCTGTTGAATTTTTCTTAAAATATCGATATTTTGTCAAATTCTTGCCAGAACTCTGTCAACATAGAGTATTTTGATCAATTCCTATAACAATTTATTAAAACGGCTAAAACTCGTTTTCTAACATTGCTTTTTTTAATATGAAAAAAGTGACGTCACACCATCTAACCCCCCCCCCCCCATCCCCCTCAACACACCGTCACAAAATTACGGACCCCCCTCCCCCTACGAGTGTGACGTCATTTATGGACGACCTCTAATAGAAATCAAGGATTTCAAATTTAGTATTAGAATAAAATGTTTAAAAACTGATTATGTTTGTTCATCTAAACCTTGATTTATTCTGCGTTGTTTTTAGATTCAGCAATCTAAATCTTGATTTCTTAGACATTGAGAAGGGGTTCATGGATATAATATCTATTTATAATGAAGAGTTGGACAATCTTCAAAGTGTAAGTGTTAACCTTTGTTTAGAGTTTAATTTAATAATATTTCATAGCAATATATTCTTAAATGGCAAGAAATAAAACTAAAAGTAAGTTCCAGAAATTTAACCATCTATAACTATATATACTGTTAGTTATAACCAACATATACTGTAACATGATTGGAATGTTAAAAAAATTGTATTTTTTTTTTGTGTGACTTGACGTATTACTTATGCGATGTGACTTAATTAGAGTGTGAAAGAAGTTAGATTTTACCCTAGCTATCGCCCATTTAGTCATTATTTTAAAAAAAGCAATATTGTATCCTAGTCATAGTCCATTTAATTATGGCGTAAAGTAAGCAAGATTGCACCCTATTTATAGCACACTTAATGTTCATAGATCTACGAGAGAGACAAAGAGGATCCACCAATTCAATGGAACTTCCCACCCATATCTGGGCGAATCTATTGGCTGAGACAATTGTTTACACACATTGGCCAGCCAATCTTCAGCCTACAGGTTTGTCAGATATAGATAGCCTAGTGTAGAACAAATAGCACTAGGGCCGGCGCTACCCAATTAGGCCAAAAATGGGAAATCGCCATTATTAAAAAGTTCTTAATAATATATATATATATATATATATATATATATATATATATATATATATATATATATATATATATATATATAAAATATGGGAGCTCGAAGAAATTTGCGGGGGGGAAGGGCGTTTTAATGTTTTGCCTAGGGCGCTAAATAACCTGGCGCCGGCACTGGATAGCACTGAAAATTCGTTTTAAAATATATTATTCGATACTATACACTCCCAACACAACTCACACTATATGTTTGAATAAATGTTTAGGTGTGTTTGTTTTAATTTCTGACCAACATGTTCTAATGGTACACTCGTCAAAAAAGTTCTAATGGTAAATAAATGTCTGCTTGACATGTTCTAATGGTAGATACGTGTCTGGTTAACATGTTCTAATGGTAAATAAATGTCTGCTTGACATGTTCTAATGGTAAATAAATGTCTGCTTGACATGTTCTAATGGTAAATAAATGTCTGCTTGACATGTTCTAATGGTAAATAAATGTCTGCTTGACATGTTCTAATGGTAAATAAATGTCTGCTTGACATGTTCTAATGGTAGATAAATGTCTGCTTGACATGTTCTAATGGTAAATAAATGTCTGCTTGACATGTTCTTATGGTAAATAAATGTCTGCTTGACATGTTCTAATGGTAAATTAGTGTTTGACTAACATGTTCTAATGGTAGATGAGTGTCTGACCAACATGTTCTAATGGTAGATGAGTGTCTGACCAACATGTTCTAATAGTAGATGAGTGTCTGACTAACATGTTCTAATGACAATGCATTGTTTGAACAGAATCTGCGGCCGACTGTCATGAAAACTCCCGAGGGAAAGAAGGCGACTTACCGCTACAACAAGTTTGCTTATGTCCTCGCCAAATGTGAAGTGTTGTTCCACATAGCCTGGTTCCGTTCTGTCGATGCAGCTTACAACTGTAAATATATATATGCCTTTTGCGTGTAATTGTTTCTGTGTGATACTTCTTCTATAATATTGTGTTTGTTATACTTCCCCTAAAGTGTTTTTCTGTGTTTGTGAAATGGATTAAGATTATTTCCTGTACAGTCATGTTTTTAAAAATAAAACCATCCATGACACAAATGTGTGAAAAAAAAACCCTTTAAATTAAAGTACTAATTCTGTTAAACTATTACATGTTGAATAGAGCTCATTGGCGATTAAATCTATGCTACATCTTCCTAAACTATCTCCAAAACCTCCACATTGAAATATTCAGTTTTTGTGTTAACTATAAATAATTTTTGAAATCGACTTTTGGGGATCCTAATCAATGATAAAAAGAAGCTACATTCATCATGTAGTTGCCTCGTAGGCTGCCGTTAGTTCCGGCCACAATTTGTATTTTCCCGCTCAAATTGAGAGCCAAAAACAAAGATATACAACTATAGAAATACAATAAAACATTAGAACGTTTTTCAATTCAAACTAGGTGAGCACTGGTTCAGCCCCACCTCCCATTAAATTCGTAGTCTGACGACATTAGTCAACCGATCATGAAAGGTATTTCAAGGTCCCTGAAGGTCTGCTGACTTCATTGCTTAGTTGGGCTGTACATTACACTATCACATTTAAAATATTTCAAAATATGTGTCAAGGCAGAAGAAAAAAAAGTTAAAAAAGAATATTGGGAAACTTGTCTTAAATTCGTTTAATTAATAACCAGTTTGGGTCCCCAAAAAACGAACATTGGGTACTTTTCTTCAATTCGTTTAATTAATTTACCAGTTTGGGTCCCCAAAAAACGAACATTGGGTACTTTTCTTCAATTCGTTTAATTAATTAACCAGTTTGGGTCCCCAAAAAAAGCGAACATTGGTTACTTTCTTCAATTTGTTTTATTTATGCACCAGTTTTGGTTGGTCGGTCCCCAGATTTGGACACCCGCTGTTCCGGGTTTAGAGGATAAAATGTTCTTTCACAACTGTCTGTTTTTTAACCAGATATTTTTATCTCTACAAACTTTTTTCACGGAATGATAGCCTCAGTTGTTTATTGATTGTTTATTGATATTGGGTAAGAAAATGAACTGTATGTGATGTTGATTTTCAGGTCTGCAGGTTCCCATCTTGACCCGAGATTCTCAGACACATGGTCTATTGATCAATTTTGACCCTTACGTTCTAGAGGTCATTAAGGAAGCTCAGTACATGGTCAAACTTGGGCTTCAAGTTCCCAGACAGATCATTGAGCTCATTCATTCCTGTCAAAATATCACAACCACTTACCGCAAGGTCCAGGTAGGGCATGTCTTTGCAACCAAAAGATAAAAATAAATACAACTTCCAACAAACATCACCACCTCTTTTAGTTAGTATCTACAACACACCAAATAACTTTACAATCTATTTTTAGTTCGAAATTACAACACACCGAACAAACATCACCACCTCTTTTAGTCTTGAAACTAATATTCATTTAAAAAGAAATCAGTGTTTTCAAAATGTATCACTTAAAAGTTTGATCTCGTCCCTAGATGATGCTGCAGGAATATGCAACCTTGAAAGAAAGCATCCCAGACATGTTCGTGGCACTGCTGCAGCCATCGTTATTTAAGGTCAAATGATATTTGTTTGCTTCATTTTCTATGGAGCCAAAGCATAACCGTCTTGTCATTGTCCATTAGCAGTGAAAACTTCACGTTCATCGATCCCCATATTAGGGAGCGAACGGTCTGGAAAGAACTTGTCGTTGCTTACTCTACACTCTACAGTCAAACAACACGTGACATGTAGTGGGAGGGAGGCTCGATTGAGGAGGGAAATGCTACTACGATTAGTTTTTAAACTGCATCTACATTGACTCACATACAAATCAATCAATCTGTATTAAAAAAATACTTATGTTTCTCTCGTTTGCTTAAAATGATTTGATATTTTGAAACAGATCGACAGCCTTATATTTCCCGCCCTTACCAGTATCACATGGACATCTCTAGAAACAAACAGCTACTTCAAAGAATTGGATAAAGCATTCGATGAATTCAATCTATTGATCAAAACTGTGAGATGAACGTTCTGGTCTAAATTTTGAAACTACACACAATTAAAACACGTGCATCAGTTAAAAAAAATAAAAATCTCACCGTTTTCTCAGGTGACTGATATCAAATACACGCGCATCGATGCCAAACTGGCACAGATAGCTGACACCCATCTATGTTCTCTTCCTTCCACCAAACCATGGACAATGGACGAATTTTTACAAAATACTCGGGTAACTTTTGACTGGGATTTTAGGGTAACTCTTGATAGTGTGCTGAGTATCTCTTGACCGTGTGCTGGGCTTAACTGTTGACTATCTGCTGGACTTAACTGTTGACTGTGTGCTGGGGTAACTGTTGACTGTGTGCTCGGGTAACTGTTGACTGTGTGCTCCAGTAACTGTTGACTATGTGCTGGACTTAACTGTTGACTGTGTGCTGGGGTAACTGTTGACTGTGTGCTGGGGTAACTGTTGACTGTGTGCTGGGGTAACTGTTGACTGTGTGCTGGGGTAACTGTTGACTGTGTGCTGGGGTAACTGTTGACCGTGTGCTGGGGTAACTGTTGACCGTGTGCTGGACTTAACTGTTGACTGTGTGCTGGGGTAACTGTTGACTGTGTGCTGGGGTAACTGTTGACTGTGTGCTGGGGTAACTGTTGACTGTGTGCTCGGGTAACTGTTGACTGTGTGCTGGGGTAACTGTTGACTGTGTGCTCGGGTAACTGTTGACTGTGTGCTGGGGTAACTGTTGACTGTGTGCTGGGGTAACTGTTGACTGTGTGCTGGGCTTAACTGTTGACTATGTGCTGGACTTAACTGTTGACTGTGTGCTCGGGTAACTGTTGACTGTGTGCTCGGGTAACTGTTGACTGTGTGCTGGGGTAACTGTTGACTGTGTGCTCGGGTAACTGTTGACTGTGTGCTCGGGTAACTGTTGACTGTGTGCTCGGGTAACTGTTGACTGTGTGCTGGGGTAACTGTTGACTGTGTGCTGGGGTAACTGTTGACTGTGTGCTGGGGTAACTGTTGACTGTGTGCTGGGGTAACTGTTGACTGTGTGCTCGGGTAACTGTTGACTGTGTGCTGGGGTAACTGTTGACCGTGTGCTGGGCTTAACTGTTGACTATCTGCTGGACTTAACTGTTGACTGTGTGCTGGGGTAACTGTTGACTGTGTGCTGGACTTAACTGTTGACTGTGTGCTGGGGTAACTGTTGACTGTGTGCTGGGGTAACTGTTGACTGTGTGCTGGGCTTAACTGTTGACTGTGTGCTGGGGTAACTGTTGACTGTGTGCTCGGGTAACTGTTGACTGTGTGCTCGGGTAACTGTTGACTGTGTGCTCGGGTAACTGTTGACTGTGTGCTGGGGTAACTGTTGACTGTGTGCTGGGGTAACTGTTGACTGTGTGCTGGGGTAACTGTTGACTGTGTGCTGGGGTAACTGTTGACTGTGTGCTCGGGTAACTGTTGACTGTGTGCTGGGGTAACTGTTGACTGTGTGCTGGACCTAACTGTTGACTGTGTGCTGGGGTAACTGTTGACTGTGTGCTGGGGTAACTGTTGACCGTGTGCTGGACCTAACTGTTGACTCTGCTCGGGTAACTGTTGACTGTGTGCTGGGGTAACTGTTGACTGTGTGCTGGGGTAACTGTTGACTATGTGCTGGACTTAACTGTTGACTGTGTGATGGGGTAACTGTTGACTGTGTGCTGGGGTAACTGTTGACTGTGTGCTCGGGTAACTGTTGACCGTGTGCTGGGGTAACTGTTGACTGTGTGATGGGGTAACTGTTGACTGTGTGCTGGGGTAAGTGTTGACTATGTGCTGGACTTAACTGTTGACTGTGTGCTGGGCTTAACTGTTGACTGTGTGCTGGGGTAACTGTTGACTGTGTGCTGGGGTAACTGTTGACTGTGTGCTGGGGTAACTGTTGACTGTGTGCTGGGGTAACTGTTGACTGTGTGCTGGGCTTAACTGTTGACTGTGTGCTGGGGTAACTGTTGACTGTGTGCTGGGGTAACTGTTGACTGTGTGCTGGGCTTAACTGTTGACTGTGTGCTGGGGTAACTGTTGACTGTGTGCTGGGGTAACTGTTGACTATGTGCTGGGGTAACTGTTGACTGTGTGCTCGGGTAACTGTTGACTGTGTGCTGGGGTAACTGTTGACTGTGTGCTGGGGTAACTGTTGACTGTGTGCTGGGGTAACTGTTGACTGTGTACTGGGGTAACTGTTGAGTGTGTGATGGGGTAACTGTTGACTGTGTGCTGGGGTAACTGTTGACTGTGTGCTGGGGTAACTGTTGACTGTGTGCTGGGCTTAACTGTTGAATGTGTGCTGGGGTAACTGTTGACTGTGTGCTGGGGTAACTGTTGACTATGTGCTGGGGTAACTGTTGACTGTGTGCTCGGGTAACTGTTGACTGTGTGCTGGGGTAACTGTTGACTGTGTGCTGGGCTTAACTGTTGACTGTGTGCTGGGGTAACTGTTGACTGTGTGCTGGGGTAACTGTTGACCGTGTGCTGGGGTAACTGTTGACTGTGTGCTGGGGTAACTGTTGACTGTGTGCTGGGGTAACTGTTGACTGTGTGCTGGGCTTAACTGTTGACTGTGTGCTGGGGTAACTGTTGACTGTGTGCTCGGGTAACTGTTGACTGTGTGCTGGGGTAACTGTTGACTGTGTGCTGGACTTAACTGTTGACTGTGTGATGGGGTAACTGTTGACTGTGTGCTGGGGTAACTGTTGACTGTGTGCTGGGGTAACTGTTGACTGTGTGCTGGACTTAACTGTTGACTGTATGCTCGGGTAACTGTTGACTGTGTGCTGGACTTAACTGTTGACTGTGTGCTGGGGTAACTGTTGACTATGTGCTGGGGTAACTGTTGACTGTGTGCTGGGGTAACTGTTGACTGTGTGCTGGGGTAACTGTTGACTGTGTGATGGGGTAACTGTTGACTGTGTGCTGGGGTAACTGTTGACTATGTGCTGGACTTAACTGTTGACTGTGTGCTGGGGTAACTGTTGACTATGTGCTGGACTTAACTGTTGACTGTGTGCTGGGGTAACTGTTGACTGTGTGCTGGGGTAACTGTTGACTGTGTGCTGGGGTAACTGTTGACTGTGTGCTGGGGTAACTGTTGACTGTGTGCTGGGGTAACTGTTGACTATGTGCTGGACTTAACTGTTGACTGTGTGCTGGGGTAACTGTTGACTATGTGCTGGACTTAACTGTTGAGTGTGTGATGGGGTAACTGTTGACTGTGTGCTCGGGTAACTGTTGACTGTGTGCTGGGGTAACTGTTGACTGTGTGCTGGACTTAACTGTTGACTGTGTGCTGGGGTAACTGTTGACTATGTGCTGGACTTAACTGTTGACTGTGTGCTGGGGTAACTGTTGACTGTGTGCTCGGGTAACTGTTGACTGTGTGCTGGGGTAACTGTTGACTGTGTGCTCGGGTAACTGTTGACTGTGTGCTGGGGTAACTGTTGACTGTGTGCTGGGCTTAACTGTTGACTGTGTGCTCGGGTAACTGTTGACTGTGTGCTGGGGTAACTGTTGACTGTGTGCTGGACTTAACTGTTGACTGTGTGATGGGGTAACTGTTGACTATGTGCTGGGGTAACTGTTGACTGTGTGCTGGGGTAACTGTTGACTGTGTGCTGGACTTAACTGTTGACTGTGTGCTGGGGTAACTGTTGACTATGTGCTGGACTTAACTGTTGAGTGTGTGATGGGGTAACTGTTGACTGTGTGCTCGGGTAACTGTTGACTGTGTGCTGGGGTAACTGTTGACTGTGTGCTGGACTTAACTGTTGACTGTGTGCTCGGGTAACTGTTGACTGTGTGCTGGGGTAACTGTTGACTGTGTGCTCGGGTAACTGTTGACTGTGTGCTGGGGTAACTGTTGACTGTGTGCTGGGGTAACTGTTGACTGTGTGCTGGGGTAACTGTTGACTGTGTGCTGGGGTAACTGTTGACTGTGTGATGGGGTAACTGTTGACTGTGTGCTGGGGTAACTGTTGACTGTGTGCTCGGGTAACTGTTGACTGTGTGCTCGGGTAACTGTTGACTGTGTGCTCGGGTAACTGTTGACTGTGTGCTGGGGTAACTGTTGACTGTGTGCTGGGGTAACTGTTGACTATGTGCTGGACTTAACTGTTGACTGTGTGCTGGGGTAACTGTTGACTGTGTGCTGGGGTAACTGTTGACTGTGTGATGGGGTAACTGTTGACTGTGTGATGGGGTAACTGTTGACTGTGTGCTCGGGTAACTGTTGACTGTGTGCTGGGGTAACTGTTGACTGTGTGCTGGGGTAACTGTTGACTGTGTGCTAGGGTAACTGTTGACTGTGTGCTGGGGTAACTGTTGACTGTGTGCTGGGGTAACTGTTGACTGTGTGCTGGGGTAACTGTTGACTGTGTGCTGGGGTAACTGTTGACTGTGTGCTGGGGTAACTGTTGACTGTGTGATGGGGTAACTGTTGACTGTGTGCTGGGGTAACTGTTGACTGTGTGCTGGGGTAACTGTTGACTGTGTGATGGGGTAACTGTTGACTGTGTGCTGGGGTAACTGTTGACTGTGTGATGGGGTAACTGTTGACTGTGTGCTCGGGTAACTGTTGACTGTGTGCTTTGGTAACTGTTGACTGTGTGCTGGACTTAACTGTTGACTGTGTGCTCGGGTAACTGTTGACTGTGTGCTGGGGTAACTGTTGACTGTGTGCTCGGGTAACTGTTGACTGTGTGCTCGGGTAACTGTTGACTGTGTGCTGGGGTAAGTGTTAACTGTGTGCTCGGGTAACTGTTGACTGTGTTATGGGCTAACTGTTGACTGTGTGCTCGGGTAACTGTTGACTGTGTGCTCGGGTAACTGTTGACTGTGTGCTCGGGTAACTGTTGACTGTGTGCTCGGGTAACTGTTGACTGTGTGCTGGGGTAACTGTTGACTGTGTGCTGGGGTAACTGTTGACTGTGTATTTTTATTGAGAAACTAATAGAAGGTTAAGAAGTCTCATTTAAAAAAACAAACAAAAAAACTAGTAATCACAAAGAGTTTTGAAGCTATTTTTAAAATCATTTCTTATTGACACGGCAGGATAACACAATGCATTTAGGCGATGAACTCAATACGCTAAATAAAATGATATGTGACACGGTGTATGAACTGTTAAGGACGTTTGTGAACAGTGCTGTTGTTGAATATAAAACATTAGAGCGAATGTACAACGAAGAGCAGCGAATTGGTGATACTGAAGGTAAAACGTTCTACAAATCTCAGTCCGTCCATAGACTTAGATTCAACTCCGATTTATCCGATTGTCACATATTCGTCTAAAATCACCAAAATAATAACTAATGTTGACATATCACTTCCACATCATGTATTTGTCCTTTGTGTAACATTAGTTGACCTATCACATCATGTATTTACCTTTTGTGTAACAGTTGTTAACATATGTGCAACTAATACCCTAGTGAGTTTGGAGATCTCTTCCAGTGTATCTTTGTGTATGATCTGTATGATCCGTTTTCTGGCTTCCAGTGACCAAAAGTATGCACACAACACATACTATAGCAGCCATAGCCACGCTGACAGAAACAGGGGAACAAGATCGAGGCCCGTTACCGGAGGATTTGATGACGAGAGAGAACTATGCTCATTGCTGCTACAATTTGTTCGAGGACTTCAAGTCTCGCATGATTGACGCTCTAGTCAAGTGTGTCAGGACGTCTTTAGCGGCATTGAGGAAACGATTTCTGGCGGGGTAGGTACCAGAGTTTCTTTCAGACATCTCTTTTTGTGTGCTTGTGCGTGTGTGTGTGTGTGGGGGGGGGGGGGATGGGCGTTACTCCCTACGGAGCACATCCACCACCCCCTATGTTTGGCTTTAGAGGAATAAAACATGGGTCAGCTGTTTGATTGTTGATTGAATGTAACTGTTTGAATTTTTACCATTGATGATGTTGATTGAATGTAACTGTTTGAATGTTTACAATTGATGATGTTGATTGAATGTAACTGTTTGAATGTTTAAAATTGATGATGTCGACTGAATGTAACTGTTTGAATGTTTACAATTGAAGCTGTTGATTGAATGTAACTGAATGTTTACAATTGATGATGTTGATTGAATGTAACTGAATGTTTACAATTGATGCTGTTGATTGAATGTAACTGAATGTTTACAATTGATGATGTTGATTGAATGTAAGTGAATGTTTACAAGTGATGATGTTGATTGAATGTAACTGTTTGAATGTTTACAATTGATGATGTTGATTGAATGTAACTGTTTGAATGTTTAAAATTGATGATGTCAACTGAATGTAACTGTTTGAATGTTTACAAGTGATGATGTTGATTGAATGTAACTGAATGTTTACAATTGATGATGTTGATTGAATGTAACTGAATGTTTACAATTGATGCTGTTGATTGAATGTAACTGAATGTTTACAATTGATGATGTTGATTGAATGTAACTGAATGTTTACAGTTGATGATGTTGATTGAATGTAACTGAATGTTTACAGTTGATGATGTTGATTGAATGTAACTGTTTGAATGTTTACAATTGATGATGTTGATTGAATGTAACTGAATGTTTACAGTTGATGATGTTGATTGAATGTAACTGAATGTTTACAGTTGATGATGTTGATTGAATGTAACTGTTTGAATGTTTACAATTGATGATGTTGATTGAATGTAACTGAATGTTTACAGTTGATGATGTTGATTGAATGTAACTGAATGTTTACAGTTGATGATGTTGATTGAATGTAACTGTTTGAATGTTTACAATTGATGATGTTGATTGAATGTAACTGAATGTTTACAGTTGATGATGTTGATTGAATGTAACTGTTTGAATGTTTACAGTTGATGATGTTGATTGAATGTAACTGAATGTTTACAGTTGATGATGTTGATTGAATGTAACTGAATGTTTACAATTGATGATGTTGATTGAATGTAACTGAATGTTTACAGTTGATGATGTTGATTGAATGTAACTGAATGTTTACAGTTGATGCTGTTGATTGAATGTAACTGTTTGAATGTTTACAGTTGATGATGTTGATTGAATGTAACTGAATGTTTACAGTTGATGCTGTTGATTGAATGTAACTGTTTGAATGTTTACAGTTGATGATGTTGATTGAATGTAACTGAATGTTTACAGTTGATGCTGTTGATTTAATGTAACTGTTTGAATGTTTACAGTTGATGATGTTGATTGAATGTAACTGAATGTTTACAGTTGATGATGTTGATTGAATGTAACTGAATGTTTACAGTTGATGATGTTGATTGAATGTAACTGAATGTTTACAGTTGATGCTGTTGATTGAATGTAACTGTTTGAATGTTTACAGTTGATGATGTTGATTGAATGTAACTGAATGTTTACAGTTGATGATGTTGATTGAATGTAACTGAATGTTTACAGTTGATGATGTTGATTGAATGTAACTGAATGTTTACAGTTGATGATGTTGATTGAATGTAACTGAATGTTTACAGTTGATGATGTTGATTGAATGTAACTGAATGTTTACAAGTGATGATGTTGATTGAATGTAACTGTTTGAATGTTTACAATTGATGATGTTGATTGAATGTAACTGTTTGAATGTTTAAAATTGATGATGTCAACTGAATGTAACTGTTTGAATGTTTACAAGTAATGATGTTGATTGAATGTAACTGAATGTTTACAATTGATGATGTTGATTGAATGTAACTGAATGTTTACAATTGATGCTGTTGATTGAATGTAACTGAATGTTTACAATTGATGCTGTTGATTGAATGTAACTGAATGTTTACAATTAATGATGTTGATTGAATGTAAGTGAATGTTTACAAGTGATGATGTTGATTGAATGTAACTGTTTGAATGTTTACAATTGATGATGTTGATTGAATGTAACTGTTTGAATGTTTAAAATTGATGATGTCAACTGAATGTAACTGTTTGAATGTTTACAATTGATGATGTTGATTGAATGTAACTGAATGTTTACAATTGATGCTGTTGATTGAATGTAACTGAATGTTTACAATTGATGCTGTTGATTGAATGTAACTGAATGTTTACAATTGATGATGTTGATTGAATGTAACTGAATGTTTACAGTTGATGATGTTGATTGAATGTAACTGAATGTTTACAGTTGATGATGTTGATTGAATGTAACTGTTTGAATGTTTACAATTGATGATGTTGATTGAATGTAACTGAATGTTTACAGTTGATGATGTTGATTGAATGTAACTGAATGTTTACAGTTGATGATGTTGATTGAATGTAACTGTTTGAATGTTTACAATTGATGATGTTGATTGAATGTAACTGAATGTTTACAGTTGATGATGTTGATTGAATGTAACTGAATGTTTACAATTGATGATGTTGATTGAATGTAACTGTTTGAATGTTTACAATTGATGATGTTGATTGAATGTAACTGAATGTTTACAGTTGATGATGTTGATTGAATGTAACTGAATGTTTACAGTTGATGATGTTGATTGAATGTAACTGAATGTTTACAATTGATGATGTTGATTGAATGTAACTGAATGTTTACAGTTGATGATGTTGATTGAATGTAACTGAATGTTTACAGTTGATGCTGTTGATTGAATGTAACTGTTTGAATGTTTACAGTTGATGATGTTGATTGAATGTAACTGAATGTTTACAGTTGATGCTGTTGATTGAATGTAACTGTTTGAATGTTTACAGTTGATGATGTTGATTGAATGTAACTGAATGTTTACAGTTGATGATGTTGATTGAATGTAACTGAATGTTTACAGTTGATGATGTTGATTGAATGTAACTGAATGTTTACAGTTGATGATGTTGATTGAATGTAACTGAATGTTTACAGTTGATGATGTTGATTGAATGTAACTGAATGTTTACAGTTGATGCTGTTGATTGAATGTAACTGTTTGAATGTTTACAGTTGATGATGTTGATTGAATGTAACTGAATGTTTACAGTTGATGATGTTGATTGAATGTAACTGAATGTTTACAGTTGATGATGTTGATTGAATGTAACTGAATGTTTACAGTTGATGATGTTGATTGAATGTAACTGAATGTTTACAATTGATGATGTTGATTGAATGTAACTGAATGTTTACAGTTGATGATGTTGATTGAATGTATATTGACAGGATGGCTCGTTCAGCCACACAAAGCTCACTTGGAGGTATCCCTAGTGAAGAAGACAGCAAAGTTATTTCAGGCCCATTCTTCTCTGTAGATGTTGAATTAGCCATACCTAATGTGGTAAGTTATGTAACACAGTAGTAGATGTTGAATTAGCAATACCTAATGTAGTAAGTTATGTAACACAGTAGTAGAGATTTAATTAGCAATACCTAATGTAGTAAGTTATGTAACACAGTAGTAGAGATTTAATTAGCCATACCTAATGTAGTAAGTTATGTAGCACAGTAGTAGAGGTTGAATTAGCCATACCTTATGTAATGAGTTATGTAGCACAGTGGTAGAGGTTGAATTAGCCATACCTTATGTAATGAGTTATGTAGCACAGTGGTAGAGGTTGAATTAGCCATACCTAATGTGGTAAGTTATGTAGCACAGTAGTAGAGGTTGAATTAGCCATACCTTATGTAATGAATTATGTAGCACAGTGGTAGAGGTTGAATTAGCCATACCTTATGTAATGAGCTATGTAGCACAGTGGTAGAGGTTGAATTAGCCATACCTTATGTAATGAGTTCTGTAGCAGAGTAATAGAGGTGGTTGAATTAGACTTTGGTATCTGCGAAAGAAATACGACCATTTGACTTTCTTGTGATGTCCTGTGGTGGCTGTCTGGGTTATAATATCACAAAAGGTTATATCTGCAGATTGTATTATCTCAAGTCTGATATTGTTTGATTGTATTATCTCAACTCTGATATTGTTTGATTGTATTATCTTAACTCTGATGTTGTTTGTATTTCTGAACTCTGCTATTGTTTGATTGTATTATCTTAACTCTGATGTTGTTTGATTGTATTATCTTAACTCTGGTATTGTTTGATTGTATTATCTTAACTCTGATGTTGTTTGATTGTATTATCTTAACTCTGGTATTGTTTGATTGTATTATCTTAACTCTGATGTTGTTTGTATTTCTGAACTCTGATATTGTTTGATTGTATTATCTCAACTCTGATATTGTTTGATTGTATTATCTTAACTCTGATGTTGTTTGTATTTCTGAACTCTGGTATTGTTTGATTGTATTATCTTAACTCTGATGTTGTTTGATTGTATTATCTTAACTCTGATATTGTTTGATTGTATTATCTTAACTCTGATGTTGTTTGTATTTCTGAACTCTGGTATTGTTTGATTGTATTATCTTAACTCTGATGTTGTTTGATTGTATTATCTTAACTCTGGTATTGTTTGATTGTATTATCTTAACTCTGATGTTGTTTGTATTTCTGAGCTCTGATATTTACTTGATTGTATTATCTCAACTCTGATATTGTTTGATTGTATTATCTCAACTCTGATATTGTTTGATTGTATTATCTTAACTCTGATGTTGTTTGTATTTCTGAACTCTGATATTGTTTGATTGTATTATCTCAACTCTGATATTGTTTGATTGTATTATCTTAACTCTGATATTGTTTGATTGTATTATCTTAACTCTGATGTTGTTTGTATTTCTGAACTCTGGTATTGTTTGATTGTATTATCTTAACTCTGATGTTGTTTGATTGTATTATCTTAACTCTGGTATTGTTTGATTGTATTATCTTAACTCTGATGTTGTTTGTATTTCTGAGCTCTGATATTTACTTGATTGTATTATCTCAACTCTGATATTGTTTGATTGTATTATCTCAACTCTGATATTGTTTGATTGTATTATCTTAACTCTGATGTTGTTTGTATTTCTGAACTCTGATATTGTTTGATTGTATTATCTCAACTCTGATATTGTTTGATTGTATTATCTTAACTCTGATGTTGTTTGTATTTCTGAACTCTGATATTGTTTGATTGTATTATCTCAACTCTGCTATTGTTTGATTGTATTATCTTAACTCTGATGTTGTTTGTATTTCTGAGCTCTGATATTGTTTGATTGTATTATCTCAACTCTGATATTGTTTGATTGTATTATCTTAACTCTGATGTTGTTTGTATTTCTGAACTCTGATATTGTTTGATTGTAACATCCGACCAGGTGACTAACCCCGATATCAGCAAGCTGGTGAACGCTCTCAACAAAGCTGTTAGTCAGATCATGGAGGTGGGGAAACGTGTGGAAATTTGGGACCAGCCCAGTGTCGCCACGTTTTCTAAGCTGGGTGTCAAATTAACTAAAGAAATGAACAGCACAAGTCAGTCACTTTAAACAAATTATTTTCATTCTTTTAATTTTGCTAGGAGGCGTGAGGGTAGTGAGCTGAGGTGTGTGTGGTGAGTGTGTGTGTGGAAGGGGGGGGAGCATAGGTGGGGGTGGGGGGTGGGGGCAGAGGTGTGGGGGGTAAGGGGCGGTTGGCAGAGGTGTGCGGGATGGGGGGATTGAGATGTGCAGCAGTGACATAGGCAATGAGTAGCTATAATTCTAAAATCGTTTAAAATAAGAAATATTTAGTTAGCTAGTAATTAGTAATACGATCTGGCATATCCAACTAAAATAATTAAAATATGCTCCAATTAAGTTTGAACCCTACACCAAACACTTAAACTATTTTTTTATCAAGGAATATCAACGTTCTATTTTCAGCGTTTGTGCTAAAGAAAAATTGTTACAAAATTATTTGTGAAAACAAAGACGTGATGAAATATCTAACTTTAGGGGCCATCGCCTCCCCAGTAGGGGATGAAATAAAAAAATCTATGAAAAGGTTCTCAGAATTTCAGTTTATATGGCAGGACGAGAGGGAAAAAGTCTTACAGGTAGCTGGTGAATTACTTTTTACTTACTTGTATACGATGTATAGAGGAAATATTGTCTTCGTGCAAAAAAAATAATTGCGAAATTAAAAATTCTATACTCTGTATACGAGGAAAAAATGATTAAAGATTAAAGAATATGTCTAAATCCCGAGTTGCTATCCTCCTTTGTCTTAAATAGAATATTATAGAAAGTTTAGAGGAGATGATTCCCGCTTTATTTAAAAAGGAAAAATTCTTTTTATTTTGTGAATTACTTTTTTGGTAAGGAAAAAGTCTTACAGGTAGTTGGTTGGACTACTTTTTTAAAAAGGGAAATCTTATATAGGTATTAGATTTAAAGAAATGTCTCATAATGAATAAAATGAATTAACTATAACAACCATTGTTAACAGGAGTTCATGAGCACACATCCAGATGTTTATGAATTTAAAGAACAGTACACTCGACTGAGACTAATAGAAGAGGAAGTTGCCAACATTACAACTAACATTGTCATTGGTCCTATTTCTTTAAACACAGGTACTTCCTTTTTTCCCCTCTCTTTTACATTGGTCCTTTCTCCCTTATAAACACAGGCTACTTTTCTTTCTCTTTTATAAATTTTGTCGTTGCTAAAATCTTCGATTGAGTTAATTTTTTTAGCCTCTACTAATAGCAATATTTGTGTTTTTATTTAACAGAGCCTTTAAAATTGGCCATTCAAGTGGAGATCGACGAATGGAAGCGTGCGTACGGCAGGGAACTCAATAAAATCATGAAACAAAGGGTCGACGAAATGACCGAGTACATGGCAAATCAATCAAAACTCTTGAACAAGCCTGTCAAAGATTTAGATGATGTCCGGATGGCTATGGGTGGTTTAGCGTCAGTTAAGGAAAACTACATTCGCATCGACGAGGACATGATACCTATTGAGGTAATTAGCCGCACGCAATTCTTAGATTTGTCTCGAGTTGATTCATATACGTCATTTATACAAGTCTTTTTAAATATTTACATTATATAGGAAGCCTACGCCTTGATGCTTAGTCTTGAAATGCCTGTTCCTAAAGAAGAAACTGATAAAGCAGATTCACTGCGTTACACATACGAGAAAATGCTGGAGCAGTGTGTAAGTTATCGAAGTCTAAAACTGTGGGGTCAGTTGGTGGATCAGTCGGTGGATCAGTTGGAGGGTCGGTTGGTGGATCAGTTGGTGGATCAGTTGGTGGATCAGTTGGTGGATCAGTTGGTGGATCAGTTGGTGGATCAGTTGGTGGATCGGTTGGTTGACCAGCTGGTGGACCGGTTGGTGGATCGGTTGGTGGATCAGATGGTGGACTGGTTGGTGGACCAACTAGTTGACAGGTTGGTGGTCCAGTTGGTGGATCAGCTGGTGGATCGGTTGGTTGACCAGCTGGTGGACCGGTTGGTGGATCGGCTGGTGGATCGGTTGGTTGACAGGTTGGTGGTCCAGTTGGTGGATAGGTTGGTGGATCGGCTGGTTGACAGGTTGGTGGTCCAGTTGGTGGATCGGCTGGTGGATCGGTTGGTTGACAGGTTGGTGGTCCAGTTGGTGGATCGGCTGGTGGATCGGTTGGTTGACCAGCTGGTGGACCGGTTGGTGGATCGGCTGGTGGATTGGTTGGTGGATTAGATGGTGGACTGGTTGGTGGACCAGCTGGTTGACAGGTTGGTGGTCCAGTTGGTGGATCAGCCGTTGGAGCAATTGGTGGATCGGTTGGTGGACCGGTTGGCGGATCGGCTGGTGGATCGGTTGGTTGCTCAGTTGGTGGATTGGTTGGTGGATCAGTTAATGGAGCTTTAATGATTTTGTAAAAGGCTATTGCTTAACTCCCATTTTTTGCCTATTTCTCGCATGATTTTGCTCGACCAGAGCCAGGTTACCGACACACTGATTGAAGTACAACCGACCTTTAAAGAGGACCTTACTCTTGCTGTGGAAACTCTCAAATATGATGTACTTTCCTTTGTCAACGAATACGATAAGGTAAGAAAGCAATACGACTTCAGCGTTTCTTTCGCAACATTTATTCAGCTGATTATTAATTAGTCACATTGATAAGCTTCAATAAAATTTAGTAAAGTTTACGTAGATAAACTATAATAAAACTGTTAGGTAACATTGATAAGCTTCAATACAGCCTTTTAAAAAAGATAGATAACCATTAATACAATTGTTAGGAAAAATTGATAAGCTTAAATACAACCTTTTAGAAAAGATAGATAACCTTAAATACAATTGTTAGGAAAAATTGATAAACTTCAATACAACCTTTTAGAAAAGATAGATAACCTTAAATACAATTGTTAGGAAAAATTGATAAACTTCAATACAACCTTTTAGAAAAGATAGATAACCTTTAATACAATTGTTAGGTAAAATTGATAAACTTAAATACAAACTTTTAGAAAAGAGAGATAACCTTTAATAAAATTGTTCGGAAAAATTGATAAACTTAAATACAACCTTTTAGAAAAGATAGATAACCTTTAATACAATTGTTAGGTAAAATTGATAAACTTAAATACAACTATCAGTTTACTTCTCTCCTGCATTTACAGAAAGGGCCAATGGAAATTGGAATACCCCCGGCAGTTGCTAATGAACGAATGCAAAACTTTCAGGTATTAAAGTCTTCGTATCATTAGAGAACAAACTGTTTAGTTTTTACAAGCTTTTATTTAACTCACTTCCTCGTCAGTCTGTCTAGATTGGAGTGAAATTACAGGCACTTCTACTTGACAGATACGGTTCGTAATTGGTACGTGGATCAAGACATGAACGCAATGCCTCGTGACATTAAATTTGTCTTAATTGGATGCCTAATTAATTTTTTATGAATTCATTAAAATTGTGACCAAATTAGTAGGCATTTCTATCCAACCACACCACACGCGTCATCACGTTCAATAGGCTCGCAATGTTTTTAGTCATGAAACTCTATCTTTATATATATAAAGCAATGTATGTTTGTTTGTTTGTTTGTTTGCTTGTCTTTTATGCATTACTACACCTCTTATCACATCGCCGTGAAACTTTGGGAAGATGTTGAGAATATTCATGGGGAGGTTTCTGCGCTAAAACCATTTTCAATTTTGCAGGGGTGGCGCCCCGGCAGGGCTCGATTTGCTTTTTCTCTATATGCGGTATATAAAAATAAAAGTCGATTTTGATTTGACACCGTTTATCCGATAGGCATAAAACTTTGGGGACTTGATTAGAACACTCCAGGGAAGGGTTCTGTAAAAAATAATTTTTAATTTCGCAAGGGCGGCGCCACGGAATGGTGGTATTTTTCTCAATATACGGTCTTTAAAAATAAAAGACGATTGCGGGTCGACGCAATTTATCCCGGTGCCATAAAACTTTAGGGAGTTGATGAATACTCCCGAGAAGGTTTCTGGGGTGGGAGGGGGGAATAGTGATGGGTGGGTGGTGTGGGCGGGGAAATTTAATTTTGCATGGGCGCTCCCCCGGCAGGATGCGATTTGGTGCCCTGGTCTTTCCCGTGAGCGCTATGGTGAATACGTTCGGTCTAAACAGTGTGATAGACAATGGATAGGATGGGGCGTTACAAACGCTTACTAAATTGAATCAGGCGTGTCCTCTGGCACCCTGGTAGGGTGCGATTAGGCTGCAAATAAAAATGTCTGTTTCGGCCCCCAAAGGCTCACATGGGCCGCTGAGGGCCATGTAATACGTTTTATTTTAATAATCAGAAAAATTAACCAAGGTTAGATTATTAACTTGGATGTTTCTTTTTGTCCGTAAAAAAAATCCAAATAGTTTCGTCACTTTGCGAATGATGCAATCAGCATCTGTTTTTAGATAATCCAAACAGAAATTGAGATCGACCATCTAAGAATAGACCATTAGTAACGCTAACATATTGCATCAGTCAGACTGATGTTTAAAACGCGTCAAATAATTTTTTTACGTGTTAAATAACAAATCCTGTTCATTTGTGTCACTTTAGTGAATGACGCAATCTGCGTTATTGTTAACAGGATACTATTTTAAGGAGCCAGGGGTCGTACGCCGCGCCTATGCGGTAGTGTAATCGGGGGGGGGGGGGACTCCTGAGAGCGGGCCTCTACGTCTCTGACACATGGGCGGTCTCCGAAGTGTGTTCTACCATATTATTTCGGTGAGTGAATAAGGTACACTCAAGGTTTTCATGCGATAGTGTAGGTAAACCCGTGTCCTGATATTTATGATCCAGGCGCAGGCATTGTTTACATTTAAATAACTCCTTTTTAGAAAAGGTCACGCGTCTAAATATATATGATTAGGTAACGTGTTGGTAAAATCCTTCTAATATATTCGTCAAACTTTCTTCTATCCCCGCGGCAACGCGCGGGGGCGGGTACGCTAGTTGTAAATAAAAACATGTAAAGTACTAAAAATTTTTTTCATAAAAAACGTTTTCATATGTACTAATGCACTAAAAAGTAGAAAATAAATTAGAGACTACTATTTAAATAACTATAAAGAAAAGCGTGGGTCACTTTCTACTTTTCTACTTTTTAGTGCTTTAGTTTATAAAAGCTTGCTATCAAAACGTTTTTATGAAACTTTTTATGCTATATAATTACAAGAATCAGCATAGTTAATTTTAAAACAGCCTAAATAATTCGCTATGTAACAGTGAGAATCTTTGAAACAGATGCAGTTCGACGACCTTTTCCACAAACACACCATATACTCACAAGGGGAAGACCTGTTTGGTTTGCCCAAGACGGAAGAGCCCGAGCTACACAGGGTGAAGAAAGAGCTCAATCTCCTACAGAAGCTGTATGGCCTCTACAGCAGCGTCAACACAATCATTGACGGCTATAACGAGTTGAGCTGGGCTGATGTCGACTGTGAAAAAATAAACGCTGAGCTGACAGAATTACAAAACAGGTTAGTCCGACTAGGCTAGATTTCACATACACTGTTCTCTACAAATACAAGTTTAATTAACCTAGTAAATGATTATAAAAAGAAATAAACTACTTTAAATTTGTATTTACCTTGAAAATGAGCAGACTTGAGCTTACGAAAAATATTGGTGGGGGAGATATGTTGAGAAGCTTCACTTTGTTCACGTACTCACTGTTAATGCTGAGCTCTTTCGCTCACTTTAATTCACTTACTCGTTAAACTCTTAACGCTACACTTTATCCTTCAATTTAACGGAGCTGAAACTTCACAAGACATAGTTAAACCTAATTGGTCCTGTATTATGTTTTATTACTGTCGCTTAATTTTCTTTAATGCGTTTCTCTACGCTGGTCTTTGCTTATTTCGACGCATGGCGCTCACTTCCCACAACTTTTCCACGCAGACATTTAAAATAGACCTTTCCAATGAAGTTTTTTTCAGAATTTTTTTAGAGAGGCTATTTGTTATTCAGTAGCTAAGATGCTAAGTTTTTTCTACGAACTCTTAAACCCGGTAATCGGGTTACTTGTATGTCAAAGCAAACGTTAGCTCGCTCGACAGCTCGTATATAAAATCTCGTATGTCGGGCACCCGTATGTCGAGACACCACTATATATATATATATATATATATATATATATATATATATATATATATATATATATATATATATATATATATATATATATATATATATATATATATATATATATATAATATATATATATATATATATATGTATATATATACGTATATATATATATATATATATATATATATATATATATATATATATATATATATATATATATACACGTATATATGTATGTATACATGTATATATATGCATATGTCTTTATTTTGTCTGTCTTTTATGTATACCAACACCGTTTACGATCGTCAACAGGCGCGACCTTTGGTGCCCCAGTAAGGTCGATTTGGCGCCCCGGTATCAACCGTGAGCAATATGGTGCCTACGTTCATTTTAAACAGCGCGGTTGGCTAAGGATACAATTGGTTGCTATAGGGCTGGTAAGTAGGTTACCAACAAGTTCTATGGCTCATGCAGGTTTTATTGAGCGGTAGAACTGATTGGTGACCTACTTACCAGCCCTATAGTCGCACACTAAATTGAATCAGGCGGGTCTTTCGGCGTCCCACGTAATGCTATTTGGCTCCTCGGATTTTCCATTGAGCGCTATGGCGCATACGTTCGTTTTAATGAGTGTGATAGAATATGGATAAACTGTTGTATAATAGTCGTTCGTTCTCTAGATTGAAACATTCACCTCCACCGGCGCCCCGGTCTGGTGCAATTTGGCGACCTGGACTATCCTATGAGCATTATGGCGCATAGTTTTAATGAGTACTCTATCATTTTGACGCGGTGGCACACGACATTCGATGATTAAACCGAGCCAGGAACCGTACGCGGCGCCCCTGCCGTAGTGTAAACGGGGGCTCCCACGATCGCCGTGTCACGCCCCTAACACACACACATACACACCCGCTTTTATTGTTAACTATTTTGTTTTAACGTTGTGTGTAACAAGGTTTTAAAAAGTTTAAAGTTTTTTACATTCTTATATTTTTTTAGTTTTATTTTAAACTTAACTTAAAGGTAGAGGCGTAGCAAGGGGGGGGGGGGGGTCGGGGTGTGCGGACCGGAAAAAATAGCTAAATATATAGAGAAAAATGATAATTCCACTTAATTAAGTGATTAATTCGAGTGTTAAATAGTATTTTAAGAGGTGCAAATCGAAAATTCAAAGTTTGTCCCCGGGAAGGGTCGCTACGCCTCTGGGGGGGGGGGGGGGTGACACCATTAAGTGCCACACCGGGTGACACCCGACCTCGCTACGCCACTGCTTAAAGGTAATTTGTTTTTAAATGTTTACTTTGCTTTCAAAGTTAAATCATCTAAATCTAAAAGAAAATGGATTTAAATATTAAGTTTATCATTTCAGATGTCGCCGTTTACCTAAAGCTTTAAAAGATTGGCCAGCATTTAATGACCTGAAGAAAAAAATCGATGACTTCAATGAAACTGTCCCCTTGCTTGAATTGATGGCAAACAAGTCAATGCAAGGCCGACATTGGCAGAGAATACAGAATGTGGCCAATTATAAATTTGACTTTGACGTTACTTCTGACCTACCCATGGACCAAATAATGGAGAGTGTCCATCTAAAGGACATCATGAGCGCTCCATTACTCCCAGTCAAAGATGATGTGGAGGTATACTTTTTTATATTGATGTCACCTACAAGGAATTGGCAATTACATTTTTTATTTCGAAAAAAATATTACCAGAACAAATATCTGTATCTGTACTTATATCGGCATCGCCGTCACACCCGGGATTATCAAACAAACTGACTAAATATAACCTAACATTTCAACTAAGGAATACTTAATAATAAAACATACTAACAAAACACCCAGCCAAGATACAAACGCAACCTAAATAAAATGGAATAAACCGGGAGTGATCTCCCCTAGACTTTCTCGAATATTCTTATATAACTTAATTACTTAAACATTTAAAAATTTGATTAAAAAGTTTTAATAACAAACTTTTATGTAATAATGCACTAAAAAGGAGAAAATAAATTATGCACTACTATTTAAATAACTATAAAGAAACATAAACAGTCATGTAATTGAGGTTAGTCCAGTCCAAGTTATAATCAGCAAATGTGTTTTTAACTCATTGAATATATATCCTCTCCGGTAACAGTGAGATACATTTTATGTTCTTGTGTTATGTTCATGTCTTCATCCACACCTCTAATGAACACAAGCAGTTGAAACGTGGAACTGCTGTCCAGCAAATCATCCATTGCAATTAAAAATGACGAAACTTGCTTGCATTTTTCACCATTTAAGTCACGATGTTTTCACCAAAGTCTGCAACACAGTGGGCAATGGTATTTGCGCACATAGCTACATTTTCAAATTGTTTTGACCTTACTAGGTAAAGTTCGTCATCCACCTCTAACAAACATTTTTTTTTGTGGACGAAAAGATCTCCACGGGCCGGATGAGGGGACCTCGCGGGCCGCATTTAGCCCACGGGGCGTAGTTTGGAGAACCCTGCATTAATCCACTAAGGAACAGTCCGCAGCAAATTTACTTTGACCTACAAAAATTGGCAAAGCTGAATCTATTTAATTAAATTTATAGCAGTTGATCTCGAGGCTTATATATATATATATAATATATATATATATATATATATATATATATATATATATATATATATATATATATATATATACTTACACACACATTGGAGTAGAGAGGTCGGGTGTCATCCGGTGCGGCACTTAATGGTGTCACCCCCCCCACCCCCAGAGGCGTAGCGACCCTTCCTGGGGACAAAGTTTCAAATTTTCGATTTGCACCCGCCTCAAGTTTTTCTCTATGTTTTGCTATTTTTTGCCTTGGTGTCACCCCCCTAAATGGTGTCACCCTCGCTACGCCTCTGTATATATATATATATATATATATATATATATATATATATATATATATATATATATATATATATATATATATATATATATATATATATATATATTTATATTTATATATCTACACTAGCCTATGCTCTGGCTTTGGTGAAAATCGTATCCAAGTAAAAGTCTTTATGCAAAAAGTTTGAGAAAATTTATAAAACCCTAAACCTAACTCTAAACCTTATCGTAACGAACCACAACAACAATAACAACAACAAAAACAACACACAAACAATAACGTGAACATGAGCGTGAAAATAAACACAAAAATAAACATAAACATTATCATAACCTACAAAAATAAAACGATTAGTTTAAAAAGCGGGATTGATCAGAGTCGTAGCGACCCTTCCCGGCGCCCGGGGACAAACTGTCGATTTACACCCCCTCTAACTTTCGAGTTACACCACCCCCCTCAAACTGCAATAATGCAGCTAAAATGACATTTTAATTTGTTTTTACAACCTATTTTGACTCCCCCCTGCCCCCCCCCCCCCCATCGCTACGACTCTGGGACTGATCTCCCATAAACTTTCTCGAAAAACTTTAGGTACCAGTTAGTCGGATATAGAAATGAAAAAAAAATCAGCAAATGGTTTAATTTAAAAAAAAAATAGAAAAGAATCTCGTAGAAAAAAGAAATGCGGAACAATAGAGCAGCAAATAATCTATATATAATCTATATATATATATATATATATATATATATATATATATATATATATATATATATATATATATATATATATATATATATATATATATATTTATGCATATATGAACAAACTTTTAATCTTACACTACTGGTATGGTGTGATAATATTTTCTCAAGATTTAGAGGGATTACTATGTATTTTGTATAGGACATTTGTATCTCAGCGGTAAAAGAAAAAGATATAGAAGCCAAGCTGAAGCAAGTGATGGGTGACTGGACCAACAGGACGCTGACATTCGTGCAGTTCAAGAACCGTGGTGAGCTGCTGCTGAAGGCGGGCGACACCATGGAAACAATCAGTTCCCTGGAGGATTCACTGATGATTCTCAGTTCACTTATGAGCAATAGGTAAAACGTTTCAATCATATTACTACATTCTTACTTCACTAGAAGACATTTAGTAGGTTCTTTTGCAACAGGCAGACTTAGAATCAGTACTGTAAAGTTTACAAAAAGAAATAAACTTAGTTCTCTTTTCATTATTTTGATGTGTGACCACATTTTGGTATGTAATCACATTTTGTCTATCTGCCTGCTTACCTGCACGGTTGCCTGCGTGATTGCGTACGTGTGTGCTTGCCTTTGTTTTTTAAATACGTATTTGAAAGTTCCACACATAGTGCGGATGCTCTGATCAAGCATTACCGACATACAAAAAAAAAATACATACACAAGCTTGTAAACAATCGTTAATTTTAGAAGTATATAGATTATCATAAAGGTTAGAAGTAAATAGATTATCATAAAGGCTAGAAGTATATAGATTATCATAAAGGTTAGAAGTATATAGATTATCATAAAGGTTAGAAGTATATAGATTATCATAAAGGCTAGAAGTATATAGATTATCATAAAGGTTAGAAGTATATAGATTATCATAAATGTTAGAAGTAAATAGATTATCATAAAGGCTAGAAGTATATAGATTATCATAAAGGTTAGAAGTATATAGATTATCATAAAGGTTAGAAGTTAATAGATTATCATAAAGGTTATAAGTATATAGATTTCATAAAGGTTAGAAGTATGTAGATTATCATAAAGGTTAGAAGTATATGGATTATCATAAAGGTTAGAAGTATATAGATTATCATAAAGGTTAGAAGTAAATAGATTATCATAAAGGTTATAAGTATATAGATTTCATAAAGGTTAGAAGTATATAGATTATCATAAAGATGCATATTTTAAAAACTCTTCGCCTCTTTGTGTTTAAAAAACGAGTTACTTTGTCACAGACTTGTATACTTTTTTTTTTTTACCCCGATTTCACTTAAAAGGCTGACCCTACCTTTACGGTTATGTAAGATTTAGCTTAGGTGAGCTTGATGTGGTTGTGTAAGATTTAGCTTAGGTGAGCTTGATGTGGTTATGTAAGATTTAGCTTAGGTGAGCTTGATGTGGTTGTGTAAGATTTAGCTTAGGTGAGCTTGATGTGGTTGTGTAAGATTTAGCTTAGGTGAGCTTGATGTGGTTGTGTAAGATTTAGCTTAGGTGAGCTTGATGTGGTTATGTAAGATTTAGCTTAGGTGAGCTTGATGTGGTTGTGTAAGATTTAGCTTAGGTGAGCTTGATGTGGTTGTGTAAGATTTAGCTTAGGTGAGCTTGATGTGGTTGTGTAAGATTTAGCTTAGGTGACCTTGATGTGGTTATGTAAGATTTAGCTTAGGTGAGCTTGATGTGGTTGTGTAAGATTTAGCTTAGGTGAGCTTGATGTGGTTGTGTAAGATTTAGCTTAGGTGAGCTTGATGTGGTTATGTAAGATTTAGCTTAGGTGACCTTGATGTGGTTATGTAAGATTTAGCTTAGGTGAGCTTGATGTGGTTGTGTAAGATTTAGCTTAGGTGAGCTTGATGTGGTTGTGTAAGATTTAGCTTAGGTGAGCTTGATGTGGTTGTGTAAGATTTAGCTTAGGTGAGCTTGATGTGGTTGTGTAAGATTTAGCTTAGGTGACCTTGATGTGGTTATGTAAGATTTAGCTTAGGTGAGCTTGATGTGGTTATGTAAGATTTAGCTTAGGTGACCTTGATGTGGTTATGTAAGATTTAGCTTAGGTGAGCTTGATGTGGTTGTGTAAGATTTAGCTTAGGTGAGCTTGATGTGGTTGTGTAAGATTTAGCTTAGGTGAACTTGATGTGGTTGTGTAAGATTTAGCTTAGGTGAGCTTGATGTGGTTATGTAAGATTTAGCTTAGGTGAGCTTGATGTGGTTGTGTAAGATTTAGCTTAGGTGAGCTTGATGTGGTTGTGTAAGATTTAGCTTAGGTGAGCTTGATGTGGTTGTGTAAGATTTAGCTTAGGTGAGCTTTATGCGAACGAACAAAGAATGATTGGATTCAAGTGTGTTAAGTACGTTTATAATTAATCTACAGTCTAAGAGAATCTAATACATTATAGCCCAGAGTTTTTTTTAATTGTCCTTTGGCAAGAAATGTAGTGAAATTTAGTGTGAGGATAAAACTAAACAAAAATAAACCGGGAGTGATCTCCCCTAAACTTTCTCGAATATTCTAATATAACTCGGAACATAGACATGATTTTTAATTACTTAAACTTTTAAAAATAGAATAGAATCTCATAGAAAAAAAATTGCGCACCAAGCGAACGCCAAAACAAAATTTGCATAATAGTGCGCAATATTATTAGTAATTTATAAATTTACATGCGTTTTTTGAGAAATCGGAAATAGCGAAAATTAGTACTTCCGGTCAACGGAAATTACTCAAAATTTATAGAAGGTAGAGAATTAGGTATTTTACTTACATGTGAAATTTAATTTATCTATCTGAAATAGTACTCAAGTTATAGGCTTTTGAAAAATTCAAAGTAGAAAAAGTACCACTTCCGGTTATCGGAAATCGCTCAAAAGTTGATCAGGATCAACGATTTTGATAAAATACTTATATATGAAATTTCATCAACCTAGCTGTAACTGTACTCAAGTTATCGTGTTTACACACAGATAGACAGACACACACACACACACACACACACACACACAGACATACGGACAAGATTGCAAAATTATGTTTTTCCGTATCAGTGAGGTGTAAAACGATTTTTTTGCACGATTACAAGACTCTCTATACTTCGTATATACGAGAAAGTAAAAAAGAGTGACAGTGGGTTGTAAAATTAATATGAAAGGCCATAATTAAGAAAATGGAACCAAAGTACACACTTCTACTAAATCTAGCGGCTTTAGCAGTGGCGGAACTAGAAAAAAAGGGCCACCCCGCAAAAAATATTTTTTAGGCCCCCCCCCCCATATATATATATATATATATATATATATATATATATATATATATATATATATATATATATATATATATATATATATATATATATATATATGGGGGGGGGGGGAATTTGAAAAAAATTCGGAATTTGAAAAAAATCAATTTAAGAAAATTTCAACATCATGTCATGTGTGCAAATGCATTAGTGTGTTTTGTGAAAATCTGTTTTAATAATTTTTTGATAGAAGCCTTCCTAACAAATAGTCGGTCAAAATAATATAAAACATGAAAGGTTTGTATAAGTAATGGTGTCTCGTGTTATGTTTATTTTTATGTGTTTTTTTTATTTATATTACAACTTTTTAAAATATTATTAATTCAATACATTTTCCTTTCATACAATGTCATTCTTTAGTAATTACTTTATCAAAAAAAATAATATTTAAGAGAAGTAATTGCTTTTTAATTTGTTTAGTACAAATCTATTAAAAGGAGCTTATGACCCCCCCCTATTTGATTTTTTAAAAAAAAAGGGAAATAAGTCATGAAAGTGGTTTGAACATTTGCTTATCTTTGATACGTTTAATTGTATAAGAAACACTCGGCTTTCAAAGTGGTTTAAAAACAAGGGGAAAAAGAATATTCAAGAGCGTGGGGTGGTGTCTATAGAATAAAGATAATCCAGCCGCAGCTACGGTAATTTTTACAAAACAACCATCAAGTCAAAAATGAAAGAAAATTTACTTTTTTTTTAACTATAAAAAAAATTATTATGGTCGGCTCTGGGCCCCTAAATGGCGTGGGCCCCCCGCATTGCGGGGTCTGGCGGCACTGTAGTTCCGCCCCTGGGCTTTAGTGAACTACTACGTAGTCCCACATTTAGAAGTAAACTAATAGGTTTGATTGCACTAGTTATTATGTTATTGGTTAATGAATATTCCTACAAGTGTTTTAAATTACCTTTAAAGTATTGTGTGTTTGATAGGTACAATGCTCCATACAAACCAAAGATTCAAATGTGGGTTCAAAATTTGAGCACTACAGCGGACATTCTGGAACAGTGGATTGTAGTCCAGAATTTGTGGGTGTATCTAGAAGCGGTGTTTGTTGGCGGCGATATTGCTAAACAATTACCACAGGTAACTGCTAGAAACATTTCCAAACCACAGGAAACTGTAGGAAACACTTCCAAACCACAGTTAAGTGAATGAAACACTTCCAAACCACAGGTAACTGTAAGAAACACTTCCAAACCATAGGTAAGTGTAAGAAACACTTCCAAACCACAGGTAACTGTAAGAAACACTTCCAAACCATAGGTAAGTGTAAGAAACACTTCCAAACCACAGGTAACTGTAAGAAACACTTCCAAACCACAGGTAACTGTAAGAAACACTTCCAAACCATAGGTAAGTGTAAGAAACACTTCCAAACCACAGGTAACTGTAAGAAACACTTCCAAACCACAGGTAAGTGTAAGAAACACTTCCAAACCACAGTTAAGTGAATGAAACACTTCCAAACCACAGGTAAGTGTAAGAAACACTTCTAAACCACAGGTAAGTGAATAAAACACTTCCAAACCACTGGTAAGTGTAAGAAACACTTCCAAACGACAGGTAAGTGTAAGAAACACTTCCAAACCATAGGTAACTGTAAGAAACACTTCCATACGACAGGTAAGTGTAAGAAACACTTCCAAAGCACAGGTAAGTGAATGAAACACTTCCAAACCACAGGTAAGTGTAAGAAACGCTTCCAGACCACAGGTAAGTTAATGAGACACTTGAAAATTGGTAAAAATTTGATGCAGAACTACAAATTTGATATAATTCTTAATATGAAACTTCACCAACCTAGCTGTAACGGTACTCAACTTATCGCTTTTACAGACACGCAGACATACAGACAAAATTGCAAAACAAAGTTTTTCCGACTTAGGAAGGTGTAAAAAGTCTTGATTTTTCAACATCTCGATTTCCATTTTTTTGCACCATTATACAATCTCTATACTTAGTATACGAGAAAGTAAAAATGGACGTTTTTAAAAGCAAGGCACAATCACGAATAAGAATTTCGTGGGCAAAAATGAAAAACAGATCAACGGAATTTGAATGTGCTTAGAAAAGTATTTCAAATGAACTTGAACAACAAATGAATAGTAATAACCACAATTACATTTAATGCATAAGGAATCCAAACGATTTGCAACTATCGATAAATCCTGGCTGAAAGTCATGCAAAGAGCTCATGAAAACGACAATGTCATCGCTTGCTGTGCTGCCGATGACACGATGCAACAAATATTACCTCATCTTCAAGAACAACTTGAGCTCTGTCAGAAATCTCTAACGGGGTAATTATGTATGACACAAGCACTCTTACACTTGGGACATTCCTGTATGACACAAGCACTGTTATACTAGGGACATTCCTGTATGACACAAGCACTCTTACACAACGGGACATTCCTGTATGACACAAGCACTGTTATACTAGGGACATTCCTGTATGACACAAGCACTGTTATCTAGGGACATTCCTGTATGACACAAGCACTCTTACACTAGGGAATTCCTGTATGACACAAGCACTGTTATACTAGGGACATTCCTGTATGACACAAGCACTCTTACACTAGGGACATTCCTGTATGACACAAGCACTGTTATCTAGGGACATTCCTGTATGACACAAGCACTCTTACACTAGGGACATTCCTGTATGACACAAGCACTGTTATAATAGGGACATTCCTGTATGACACAAGCATTGTTAAACTGTTAATTAGCTATTTCTGATGATAAATGTATCCCCCTTGTCAGCTACCTTGAGAGGAAACGACTTCTTTTCCCAAGATTCTTCTTTGTATCCGATCCAGCTTTACTGGAAATTCTCGGCCAGGCCAGTGACTGTCATACTATTCAGGTAATGTACACATATGGGGAGGTTTGGTGGCTACTGTCATACTATTCAGGTAATGTACACATATGGGGAGGTTTGGTGGCTACTGTCATACTATTCAGGTAATGTACACATATGGGGAGGTTAGGTGGCTACTGTCACACCATTCAGGTAATGTACACATATGGGGAGGTTTGGTGGCTACTGTCATACTATTCAGGTAAAATACACATATGGGGAGGTTTGGTGGCTACTGTCATACCATTCAGGTAATGTACACATATGGGGAGGTTTGGTGGCTACTGTCATACCATTCAGGTAATGTACACATATGGGGAGGTTTGGTGGCTACTGTCATACCATTCAGGTAATGTACACATATGGGGAGGTTTGGTGGCTACTGTCATACCATTCAGGTAATGTACACATATGGGGAGGTTTGGTGGCTACTGTCATACCATTCAGGTAATGTACACATATGGGGAGGTTTGGTGGCTACTGTCATACTATTCAGGTAATGTACACATATGGGGAGGTTTGGTGGCTACTGTCATACTATTCAGGTAAAGTACACATATGGGGAGGTTTGGTGGCTACTGTCATACCATTCAGGTAATGTACACATATGGGGAGGTTTGGTTGGCTACTGTCATACCATTCATTTAATGTACACATATGGGGAGGTTTGGTGGCTACTGTCATACCATTCAGGTAATGTACACATATGGGGAGGTTTGGTTGGCTACTGTCATACCATTCATTTAATGTACACATATGGGGAGGTTTGGTGGCTACTGTCATACTATTCAGGTAATATACACATATGGGGAGGTTTGGTGGCTACTGTCATACCATTCAGGTAATGTACACATATGGGGAGGTTTGGTGGCTACTGTCATACTATTCAGTTAATGTACACATATGGGGAGGTTTGGTGGCTACTGTCATACTATTCAGGTAATATACACATATGGGGAGGTTTGGTGGCTACTGTCATACCATTCAGGTAATGTACACATATGGGGAGGTTTGGTTGGCTACTGTCATACCATTCATTTAATGTACACATATGGGGAGGTTTGGTGGCTACTGTCATACTATTCAGGTAATATACACATATGGGGAGGTTTGGTGGCCACTGTCATACCATTCAGGCAAGCTACATTTATTTAAACAACACAAAGTCCAGAGGCGTAGCGAGGGGGGGTTGCGGACCGCATCGGGTGACACCATGTAGGGGGGTGACACCAAGGCAAAAAATAGCAAAATATAGAGGGAAAAATGATAATTCTACGTAATTAAGTGATTTATTCGAGTGTTAAATAGTCTTTTAAGAGGTGTAAATCGAAAGTTTGAGGGTGGAAGGGAGGGGGGGGGGGTGCAAATCGAAAGTTTGGGGGGGGGGGTGCAAATCGAAAATTAATCATTTGTCCCTGGGAAGGGTCGCTACGCCTCTGGGGGTTGACACCATTAAGGGCCGCACCGAGTGACACCCTACCTCGCTACGCCACCGACAAAGTCTAAATTATTTTCGCAGCTTTAATAAAATTTAAAACAACAGCTGACACCTACCTTGTTCTACTAAAACCCCTCTAATGATTGATATAATGTATTGATTATTTGTATGGCAGGCTCACCTTCTCGGCTTGTTTGACAATATCAAGAGCGTGGAGTTCCATGAGAAGGTCTATGATATCATACTCTCGTGTGTTTCCAGAGAAGGGGAAAAAATTGATGTAAGTCAATACGAGTACCTCGGTTTTGTTACAGTTGAAAGGGAGCTAAGTTTTTCATTCCATCCTATAAACATAGTCGAAGGTCACTTACTTGTTTATTGATAACATGGAATTATTAACGCATTTTTGGTAAATGGTGTGGACTTTATTTCTATGACCAGCTGGAGAATCCTGTTCGCTGTGAGGGTAACGTGGAACAATGGCTGGACACGCTGATGAACGAGCAACAGCACTCGCTACACAGCATCATACGAGAGGCGTACCGGGCCGTGTCTGCAGCAGAATTTGAGTTGTACACATTTCTCAACAATTTCCCAGCGCAGGTCAGAATTTGATTTGTACACATTTCTCAACAATTTCTAACGCAAGCCAGAGGCTTCAACTCGTTTAGCAACCCATTCTGTAGTTTAAATTGAGATGTAAGGTTCTATCTCTGCCATCTCTATTCTAATGAACTCTTGTTGAATTTTTGTCAAATCCTCTAGATTGGCCTATTGGGTATTCAGTTTTTGTGGACCAAAGCATCAGAGGACGCACTTAAAGCTGCTAAGTTTGATAAAAAATTTATGATCAATGCCAACAATTATTTCTTGACTCTACTAAATATGCTTATTGGCAAGACAACTGAAGACTTGAAACCCATGGAACGTGTAAAATACGAGACTCTCATTACCATACATGTTCACCAAAGAGATATTTTTGACGATTTGGTTTGTATTAATTTACAATTTTAGGCTAACCTAATTATGTACTCCATTGTTTATTTATATCTTGGCACCTGGAACCTAGCAGTCGCCGAGGAGTTCACTACCCAACCCTTGAGTGTACTACCCCACCCTTGAGTGTACTACCCCACCCTTGAGTGTACTAGCCCACCCTTGGGTGTACTACCCCACCCTTGAGTGTACTACCCCACCCTTGAGTGTACTACCCCACCCTTGAGTGTACTAGCCCACCCTTGGATGTACTATCTCACCCTTGAGTGTACTACCCCACCCTTGAGTGTACTACCCCACCCTTGAGTGTACTAGCCCACCCTTGGGTGTACTACCCCACCCTTGAGTGTACTACCCCACCCTTGAGTGTACTACCCCACCCTTGAGTGTACTAGCCCACCCTTGAGTGTACTACCCCACCCTTGGGTGTACTAGCCCACCCTTGAGTGTACTACCCCACCCTTGAGTGTACTAGCCCACCCTTGAGTGTACTACCCCACCCTTGGGTGTACTAGCCCACCCTTGAGTGTACTACCCCACCCTTGAGTGTACTACCCCACCCTTGAGTGTACTACCCCACCCTTGAGTGTACTACCCCACCCTTGGGTGTACTACCCCACCCTTGAGTGTACTACCCCACCCTTGAGTGTACTACCCCACCCTTGGGTGTACTACCCCACCCTTGAGTGTACTACCCCACCCTTGGGTGTACTAGCCCACCCTTGAGTGTACTACCCCACCCTTGAGTGTACTACCCCACCCTTGAGTGTACTACCCCACCCTTGAGTGTACTACCCCACCCTTGAGTGTACTACCCCACCCTTGAGTGTACTACCCCACCCTTGAGTGTACTACCCCACCCTTGAGTGTACTACCCCACCCTTGAGTGTACTAGCCCACCCTTGAGTGTACTACCCCACCCTTGGGTGTACTAGCCCACCCTTGAGTGTACTACCCCACCCTTGAGTGTACTAGCCCACCCTTGAGTGTACTACCCCACCCTTGGGTGTACTAGCCCACCCTTGAGTGTACTACCCCACCCTTGAGTGTACTACCCCACCCTTGAGTGTACTACCCCACCCTTGAGTGTACTACCCCACCCTTGGGTGTACTACCCCACCCTTGAGTGTACTACCCCACCCTTGAGTGTACTACCCCACCCTTGGGTGTACTACCCCACCCTTGAGTGTACTACCCCACCCTTGGGTGTACTAGCCCACCCTTGAGTGTACTACCCCACCCTTGAGTGTACTACCCCACCCTTGAGTGTACTACCCCACCCTTGGGTGTACTACCCCACCCTTGAGTGTACTACCCCACCCTTGGGTGTACTACCCCACCCTTGAGTGTACTACCCCACCCTTGAGTGTACTACCCCACCCTTGAGTGTACTACCCCACCCTTGGGTGTACTACCCCACCCTTGAGTGTACTAGCCCACCCTTGGGTGTACTAGCCCACCCTTGAGTGTACTACCCCACCCTTGAGTGTACTACCCCACCCTTGATTGTACTACCCCACCCTTGAGTGTACTACCCCACCCTTGGGTGTACTACCCCACCCTTGAGTGTACTACCCCACCCTTGAGTGTACTAACCCACCCTTGAGTGTACTACCCCACCCTTGGGTGTACTAGCCCACCCTTGAGTGTACTACCCCACCCTTGAGTGTACTACCCCACCCTTGAGTGTACTACCCCACCCTTGGGTGTACTACCCCACCCTTGAGTGTACTACCCCACCCTTGGGTGTACTACCCCACCCTTGAGTGTACTACCCCACCCTTGAGTGTACTACCCCACCCTTGAGTGTACTACCCCACCCTTGGGTGTACTACCCCACCCTTGAGTGTACTAGCCCACCCTTGGGTGTACTAGCCCACCCTTGAGTGTACTACCCCACCCTTGAGTGTACTACCCCACCCTTGATTGTACTACCCCACCCTTGAGTGTACTACCCCACCCTTGGGTGTACTACCCCACCCTTGAGTGTACTACCCCACCCTTGGGTGTACTACCCCACCCTTGAGTGTACTACCCCGCCTTTGCGGAGGTGAATAAAATACACTCAATTATTTCATAAAGCACAGCTAAAAAAACTAAGATCAAAGCACTGCTCTTCTTAAATCATTTCAGACTAAACGCAACGTGAATTCAATGAGCAGTTTCGACTGGTTAAAACAAGTCAGATCGTACTTTAACGAAGAGACTGATTTGGCCCATATAGATATTACAGACGTAGTCTTTATTTATCAGAACGAATATCTTGGATGCACAGACCGCCTTGTGATAACTCCTCTAACAGACAGGTACTGGTTATGCCTTGTCTCATTCAAACCTATTTAACAGCTCCCTCTTAAGTAAATCACTTCCTGCATGTTTATTAATTCAATAGCCCGCTGACTCAGAAAGCTCACATTAAGCGCATTCTTCGCAAGTGACGCATTTAGGCCTACTTTGTTTACATCAGCCACGAATGACTAATATTAATTATTAGTCATTATTTATTAACTTCCACGGCTATTTTAAAACCTCATAGTATACATTTTAAAAGGAATTTTAAAAATCCAAATTGTGTCTTTATTTAATTTTTGTATATAGTTACAGAACGGTGGAAATTCAGTTTGAATTCTTAATGCAGCTACGTTCCTTTAATAGGTAAAATTAAAGAGCCGTCAATCATGTCCATTTTCAACCCCATATTCAACATATTACATTTTTGAGAAACTGCCTACCGCATTAGAGCTTTTCGCTACCATATACCATGTTTGCGTGGTATCTGCAAGTGGTCGATCCAATTCAAGCACTTCAGAAAATGTGTAGACATTTGTGCATCTCTCTTTCATACAAGTATCTGGCACTTCCGGTTTACATAACCCAATTCTATCAAAGTCAAACTATTCTATTTCGGTACCCCCAATTGCGTAATATTGGTTACAACCACCTTGTTTATATCACGTATCATGTGCCGTTGACAGGCTAATTCTATTTTAGTCACAACAATTACGTACCCACATCCTGTTTTTGTTACAGTTACATAATAGCTCGGTTCGGTTATGGCCTCAAGCTTGTCCTTGTTGATTGCCAAATACGTTGCTATCAATGTTGTTGACCTGGAATAAAAATGTGCTTATTTTTCACATTTAACAAACAAAGCGACCGTAAAAACAATAAAGAATAAGAGCCTAAAATGAATTCAGAAATGTTATAAAAGTTGCAAATCCATAGAACTTGAAAATGATTAGTTGATTTTAAGACTAAATTTCTATTTATTTCCATCAAGCCTAAGTTATAACCGGATGTTTCACTTTCGTAAGACAAATATTGATTGGATGTACAGGAACTCCGTGATCGATAACTATTTGTTTACACAACTTTTAAAGTTTTTAAATAACAATGCAGATTTAAACCCGATGACATAGTTTTCCTTTTTTTTTAGCTTACAATGTGTACAATAGAATTTATGGCAGCCTATCGAATATCCGGATACCATTGTTTATGTCGCCATTACACGTGAAAACCAAATTGTTTTTGCTTTTTTTTTTTTAATTTTATTTAGTTACCGGAAATATTAAAAACATCAAATACATCCAATCTTTAGTAAAGTCCGAAAACACTGGAGAGACAGAATTGTATAACCATATTAATTGTAGCTACGACGTTCATGTTTTTTAAATTATTTAATGGGCCTCTCGAATACTTTCTCGCTCGCGTCCATTGCGTTATTTGTAACTTTACACCTGTTAGATTTATATCTATATCTATAAAAGTAAAGTGGGGGTTCTTTGTTCTTCACACCTAAATTAGATCAGGTATTTGCATTCAAGTATCTAAGAAATTGGTCTCGACAAAGTAGGCTAAAATTTAATGTACCTGGAAAATTAGAGCCATCTCAATAATCGCGTTTAAAGTGACCGAAAACTGACCTAGACTGACCGTAGCCTCATATAAACTGTACATCAGGGGCGGAACTACAGTGCCGCCAGACCCCGCAATGCGGGGGGGGGGGGGGGCACGCCGTTTAGGGGCCCACAGCCGACCATAATCATTTTTTTAGTTAAAAAACTTAACTTAAATAGGTTTGGTCGTTTGTTCTTACTTAAATCTAATATTTGTCAAATACGTTTTTGGTTAAGGTGTTACATCACCTTAGCCCAGGCCCTCTGGATGTCAATGGGCGGCGCCCCTGCAGGCCCTGCTGGAACTGGGAAAACAGAAACAACAAAGGACATGGGTCGTTGTCTGGGGAAATATGTTGTTGTATTCAACTGTTCTGATCAAATGGACTTTAGAGGGCTTGGCCGGATTTATAAAGGTAAGAGACTGTAATATTAGGTTAAGTATTAGAGATGGTTTAAGTAAAACTCAAATGTCCAAGTATTAGAGATGGTTTAGGTAAAACTCAAATACCCAAGACGCCCAAGTATTAGAGATGGTTTAAGTAAAACTCAAATGTCCAAGTATTAGAGATGGTTTAGGTAAAACTCAAATACCCAAGACGCCCAAGTATTAGAGATGGTTTAAGTAAAACTCAAATGCCCAAGTATTAGAGATGGTTTAAGTAAAACTCAAATGTCCAAGTATTAGAGATGGTTTAGGTAAAACTCAAATACCCAAGACGCCCAAGTATTAGAGATGGTTTAAGTAAAACTCAAATGCCCAAGTATTAGAGATGGCTAAAGTAAAACTCAAGTGCCCAATTATTAGAGATGGTTTAAGTAAAACTCAAATACCCAAGTATTAGAGATGGTTTAAGTAAAACTCAAATGCCCAAGTATTAGAGATGGCTAAAGTAAAACTCAAGTGCCCAATTATTAGAGATGGTTTAAGTAAAACTCAAATACCCAAGTATTAGAGATGGTTTAAGTAAAACTCAAATGCCCAAGTATTAGAGATGGCTAAAGTAAAACTCAAATACCCAAGTATCTAAGATGGTTTAAGTAAAACTCAAATGCCCAAGTATTAGAGATGGCTAAAGTAAAACTCAAATGCCCAAGTATCTAAGATGATTTAAGTAAAACTCAAATACCCAAGTATTAGAGATCAGAGTTTCTTCCAGGCATCTCTTCGCCCCCCCCCCCGAACGAAATGAAATTTATATAATTTATATAGAAAATATATACTTTTAACAGTGTCCGCCCCCCCCCCCCCCCCCGAAGAAAATTTCAAGTGCCCCCCCGGAGAAAAAAGTCTGGAAGAAACACTGTTAGAGATGGTTTAAGTAAAACTCAAATACCCAAGTTTCTGAAAAGGTTCCATCTTCACAAGCTATGTCATTAATGCCAAACGTCATACAAATTGTTACAGCCAAAATAGATACAGACGAACACATGTTTGCTACATTATTACTTCCGTTTACTGTTACTGCTCGTAATAAGTAATGTTATCTGCAGTGTTACTCGCTAAAGCCAAGTAAAATAGAATTATTTCTACAGGTCTTGCCCAGTCAGGAGCATGGGGCTGCTTTGATGAGTTCAACCGCATTGAGCTACCAGTTTTATCCGTCGCCGCTCAACAAATTTACATTGTGCTCTCGGCAAAGAAAGAAAAAAAGAAAGAATTTATTTTTACAGATGGTGATCACGTGAATCTGAACCCGGAATTCGGGATTTTTTTAACAATGGTGAACTAGCAACGATACTCTTATTCTTTGTGTTACGTTTATAACTTTTACTTACCTCCTCTTATTCTTTGTGTTATGTTTATAACTTTTACTTACCTCCTCTTATTCTTTGTGTTATGTTTATAACTTTTACTTACCTCCTCTTATTCTTTGTGTTACGTTTATAACTTTTACTTACCTCCTCTTATTCTTTGTGTTACGTTTATAACTTTTACTTACCTCCTCTTATTCTTTGTGTTATGTTTATAACTTTTACTTACCTCCTCTTATTCTTTGTGCTATGTTTATAACTTTTACTTACCTCCTCTTATTCTTTGTGTTATGTTTATAACTTTTACTTACCTCCTCTTATTCTTTGTGCTATGTTTATAACTTTTACTTACCTCCTCTTATTCTTTGTGCTATGTTTATAACTTTTACTTACCTCCTCTTATTCTTTGTGTTATGTTTATAACTTTTACTTACCTCCTCTTATTCTTTGTGCTATGTTTATAACTTTTACTTACCTCCTCTTATTCTTTGTGTTATGTTTATAACTTTTACTTACCTCCTCTTATTCTTTGTGCTATGTTTATAACTTTTACTTACCTCCTCTTATTCTTTGTGTTATGTTTATAACTTTTACTTACCTCCTCTTATTCTTTGTGTTATGTTTATAACTTTTACTTACCTCCTCTTATTCTTTGTGTTATGTTTATAACTTTTACTTACCTCCTCTTATTCTTTGTGTTATGTTTATAACTTTTACATTACCTCCTCTTATTCTTTGTGTTACGTTTATAACTTTTACTTACCTCCTCTTATTCTTTGTGTTACGTTTATAACTTTTACTTACCTCCTCTTATTCTTTGTGTTATGTTTATAACTTTTTAAGTTTTAAAGAACTCATTACCTAGTACACTTGTTTACTTTGCTTTATTATGACAATGCCAGACAATGTTTTAGTTGTGTAATGTATTTGAGTCTAATCCCTCATTTTTGTTACGGTAAAATCTTTGAAGTATCTCTAGTTTGCATCTGTATGGGCTCTTTAAAATGATAGTAGTCCAACGCCGATTTCTTGATTTCTTGATATTTTTGATTTGAAGAATCCCGGCTACGCTGGAAGACAAGAACTTCCTGAAAATTTAAAAGTACAATTCCGGACAGTTTCTATGATGGTTCCTGACAGACAGGTGTGTACTACCACTTTATTTCATGTTTGACTATTCGGAGATATTTAATTGAATCCATAAGAAATCTGCGTCCTTCATTTGATTTATAGATCATTATGAGGGTCAAGCTTGCTTCCTGTGGTTTCATTGATAACATTGTGCTAGCACAGAAATTCTACACCCTCTACAAACTCTGTGAGGAGCAACTATCGAAACAAGTCAGTACAGGGCTAGTATCGTTTGGGAATGAATATGCATTTATTTAAAGAGCCTGTACGCTCCCATTCAAACTAAAGCTAAATGTAAATAACTCGATTTCTATCATTATTTTAAAAATAACTAATATCAATGAAGGTATTAAATATCAAAAAGCAAATGTGTCATTTTAGATCTATAATTTACTGAAAAATCTTTAACAATCTAGTAACTGTTTTGCTTAAGGTACATTATGACTTTGGATTACGCAACATTTTGTCAGTACTTCGAACACTGGGGGCTGAGAAACGGTCGAGACCAGAGGATACAGAGAACACAATTGTCATGAGAGTTCTAAGGGACATGAACTTGTCCAAACTGGTAAAGTGTCAATGTCTTTGTGTTTGCCCTCGACCTTTTCTAGTGCACAACGCTTTGTAGTGATGAGCAGCATCAAATGATAAGAGCAGTAGACAGATCTCCTACAAACAGTAGATATATTGAGTCTTGGAATAAACAGACCACGCCATCAGTTGTTGTAGGATAATTAGCACGGCACACTTAAATAAACACACTATTTACTCTTTATCTATCAATTTGATAGATGGAAGATGATCCATATTCAAATATAAATGATATCATGCAGGTTAATGTGGTTTAGCATATTGGCACAATGCTTCAAGTATTATGTTTTTTTCAACATAGGTGGACGAAGACGAGCCTTTGTTTTTGAGTTTAATATCTGATTTATTCCCTGGAATTAACTTAGACAGTGCAACATATGTTGATTTACAAGGCTTTCTAAAAACCAGGATAGAAGAGGCAGGACTTATCAACTATGATGCGTGGAATTTAAAAATCGTTCAGGTCTGCTCAATTTACACCTTTTTTATATTGATTAAGCAACTTTTTGATATTGATTAAGCTACTTCATTGAAGCAAGATTTCTTTTCAACTATAAAAATCTATTAATTTATTGTAGGTAAATAACATATGCATTGTGAGACTTAAGCTTGTAAACCATAAAATCCATTTTGCTAGCTTTTTGAAACTCAACGTGTCAGACACGGTATAATGACACTTGGTCCAAGCGGTGCTGGCAAAACCTGTTGCATTCGCGTACTAATGAGTGCTCTTAAAGACTTGGGAAATCCTCACAGAGAAATGCGTATGAATCCAAAGGCCATCACAGCACCTCAGATGTTTGGTCGTTTAGATGCGGCGACCAATGATTGGACTGATGGTATATTTTCCACTCTATGGAGAAGGACACTAAAGGTTAAAAAAGGTAAAACAACTTCTTTATATAGACTACATTATGGTGCCTTTAACTCGTGTTTTTTTTAAAGAGACTACAACATTGTGGAGATTTGACATGTTTATAGAGACTACAACATTGTGGAGATTTCACATGTTTATAGAGACTACAACATTGTGGAGATTTGACTTGTTTATAGAGACTACAACATTGTGGAGATTTCACATGTTTATAGAGACTACAACCGTGTGGAGAATGGACATGTTTATAGAGACTACAACATTGTGGAGATTTGACATGTTTATAGAGACTACAACATTATGCGTGTAGTTTCTGGCGATTTGACATGGTTATAGTGACTGCAACATGGTGGAGATTTGACATGTTTATAGAGACTACAACATTATGCGTTTAGTTCGTGGCGATTTGACATGTTTATAGAGACTACACCATTGTGGAGATTTGACATGTTTATAGAGACTACAACATTATGCGTTTACTTCGTGGCGATTTGACATGTTTATAGAGACTGCAACATTGTGGAGATTCGACATGTTTATAGAGACTACACCATTGTGGAGATTTGACATGTTTATAAAGACTACACCATTGTGGAGATTTGACATGTTTATAGAGACTGCAACATTGAGCGTTTTGTTCGCCATTGATTTCATTTGTTGGTATCTAAGTACAAATTCAGGTGGGTGGGGGGGGGGGGGCGGGTGAGCGAGGCGTCATGTTAGATTTAATTGCATACTAGACTACCCGTCATCCTTTGGATAACTGTTAGTTTCGGTGATCATCCATAAAAAACATCACGTCTGTCGTTTATCGTAAAAAAAAGCCAGACCCCACAAAGACTTAACACCTCAGACGTTTTTGTCTTTTAAAAACACCTATTTCGGCTGAGCATGGGTCTGACCACACTATCCTTTCATATGCTGAGGTCACATAAACAGGTCAACTCTACTTCACCTGTCCAGTATCTTGCAAACTAAGACATGTTTTTGTCTTTTAAAACACCGATTAGATTCCCAGAAAAAGTGGATACATTTTAATAACATAATAACAGTAGGGTAGAAAAATCTAATTAATTTAACTTTTTTTTCTAATTTTGACAAGGGGGTAATTTAAAAATAAATTAAACTCACGCTAATAAAAAAAATGTGAATGCAAATCTACAGACGTTCTAGAAGGAATTAGTGTTGCAATAATATAATTAGCAAAATGTGAATGCAAATTATGCGGATGTGGAAGAGAAAATTATTGATTGAAAATTATAATTAGCATGGATTGATAAAAGGCAATCTTTTATTTATTTCATTCACTGAATGTACTGTTTACTACTTATAATTTTTAATCAACTATTCCGCACTATTATAGACGCGTCATCACGTTCATTGGGTGCGCAATGGTTTTAGTTATGAAACTCTATTGTAAATTTTTAAAATTTAAAGTACTGGGAAATAATGTGTGCAAATCAAAAGTTTGAGCGGGAGGAATTTCAAATCAAAAGTGGTGCAAATCGAAAGTCTGAGGGGGATGCAAATCAAAAGTTTAAGGGGGTGGGGTGGAAATTGAAATTTTGACGGGAGGGGGTGCAAATCGTAAGTTTGAGGGAGGATCAAATAGAAAGTTTGTCCCCGGGCGCCGGAAAGGGTCGCTACGCCTCTGTTTTGTCGTCATTCACTGTGTCAGACGCGTCCGCCGGCGCTCGGAAAGGGCGCTATTTGGAGCTACGAGCTAGATTGTGAGCAATATGCCTTTATGATTGCATTTAAATTGTGTTTATGTTATGAGTGTTGTGTTTGTTTTTTCGTTTGTGTTTTTTTTTTGCGTCCGTTTGTGTTGTGTTTAGTTTTGTTCTGTTCACAAGTTGGTACACTTAAAAAAAGATCTATTATATAAGCGGCCAAGTAGTGTGTCAGTCCTTCCTTCGTCATCGCTAAAGATTTTGGAATCATAAAAGTAAACATCGCACCATGCTGTGCTTTTGAGTGCACCGCAGTGTATTATTTAAGAGTAGGGTTTGTTTATATAACGACATAGAGCTATTTTATAAATGCCACTGTTTTTACTCTTTCGCATAATGTCAAGAAAATATTAAATACACGCACACTGCTAAAACATATTAAAAAGATTAATGTCAACTATCATTTTCGTTTAGATTCCCAAATAAGTTTTAAAATAGTTTTAAATAACATAATAACAGTAGGCTAGAAAAATCAAATTAATTTAACTCTTTTTCTAATTTTGACAAGGAAGGTAATTTAAAAATAAATTAAACTCGCGCTAATAAAAAATAAACCGGGAGTGATCTCCCCTAAACTTTCTCGAATATTCTTATATAACTTGAAATATAGACATGATTTTTAATTACTTAAACTTTTAAAAATAGAATAGAATCTCATAGAAAAAAGAATTGCGCACCAAGCGAACGCCAAAACAAATTGTGCATAATTAATAGTGCGCAATATTATTAGTACTTTATAAATTTACATCCGTTTTTTGAGAAATCGAAAATAGCGTAAATTAGTACTTCCGGTCAACGGAAATTACTCAAAATTTGACAGAAGGCAGAGAATTACATCTTTTACTTACATGTGAAATTTCATTTATCTATCTGAAATAGTACTCAAGTTATAGGCTTTTGAAAAATTCAAAGTAGAAAAAGTACCACTTCCGTTTATCGGAAATAGCTCTAAAGTTGATCAGTATCTACGATTTTGATAAAATACTTATATATAAAATTTCATCAACCTAGCTGTAACTGTACACACAGACAGACAGACACACAGACATACGGACAAGATTGCAAAATTATGTTTTTCCGTATCAGTGAGGTGTAAAACTTCGAGATTTGTAAAAATCTCAATTTTTTTGCACGATTACAAGACTTTCTCTATACAAGAAAGTAAAAAATGTGACCTCCTAGAACAGGGGTCGGCAACCTTTTGAGACGGAAGAGCCAAAAGTTATTATTTACCAAATATCGCAGTTTTTAAAGAGCCACTTCACTAACACTTTTATTTCAATATTATGATACTTAATTAGGACTATATATATATATATATATATATATATATATATATATATATATATATATATATATATATATATATATATATATATATATATATATATATATATATATATATATATATATATATCTTTAAGTATGAAATAATATTTATTCAAATCAAAACATACACGTTACGTAGAAATACGTATTAAAGTATTTTATCTAGATCTTCTAGAATAATAAAATCAGTAATCAAAGTATCTAACTTTCATTATTGAATACTATTTATAACAGTTTCGCCTTGCATGCCGTTTATAAGTTTGTTTAAACCTGGCTCATAACTTGTATTTGTTAGATGGCTTCTATACTTTGTATTATATTCATGCAAGAAAACGTTTGCTCACATGAATAAGTGGACCTGAAGATTGTCAGCACCCGAAATGCCAAATTCTTCACCTTACTATAGCATCCTGCAAGACTATTCCATGCGTCACGAAGTGATTGTAGGAAAAAAAAGTCACAGGAAAAAAAACACAGGAAAAAAAACACAGAAAAAAAGTCACAGGAAAAAAAGTTACAGGAAAAAAGTCACAAATATATATGTGATTGGAATTTGTTTATACTTTTATGAGTTTTTTATTCAGAGAGTGCAAATTAACTTAGGATTAATTAAATGTAATGTGTAGGTTGTATACGCATGTTAACTTTTATAATTCATCTAAAAACATTTAGTATGAAGTATTTTGATTGTAATTATGTAAAACATAATACTGATTTATAGCATTTATAGAATGTTCCAACATCCTCGGTTTTCATTGTGTTTTTTTAAAATACTAACATTAAACTACCGTGAAATGGTAAATTCATCTGACTTGCTGCCCTCAACTCATCGCAACAATAGTTATGATTAGTTCAACCACCATTACTGCCCACATTTATCACGCTCATTACATAACAAAGCATATGATCAAAACAGAAAGCCGACAAGCCTCAAAGGCTGTCATTGACAACACACCATATGTTCGGACAATGCCGACTGAGGAGAGGCCAACCAGAGAATAGCCTACGGCAAAACATGCAAAACACAATAATGTGCCTAAATTTCTTTTATAATTAGATTTTCTATCGCGTATTTAACTAAATACTAACAAAAGTTGAGATTGTTGTGTAAATTATCTTAGAGTATTTTACTTACAATTGTTTTAAACCATAATGCTTTTAAAGTCTAGATCTATAAATAATATATGCTATCAAAAATTACAATCCACAACAATAAACATACACAATTTTATAATTTTCAACAAATTTAACCAAAATATTTCTGAAAAGATTTTGTGACTTTTTTTTTCTGTGACTTTATTTCTTTGACTTTTTTCCGATAAAATTTTTCCATTGTGACTTTTTTTCTGTGACCTTTTTTCCTAGCAAAAACTGTGACTTTTTTCTGCGTTTTTTTTTCCGTTCACCATAATAGGGCCTAAACTCGCGGCATTTCTTTTAGAGCTGTCCAGTTGTACAGTGAAACGTGCATGTTTTACTGGACCTCCAAATCATCTAACTTGCTCTTGAGGTCTGTGAACTTACCGCTCCACAAATGTTTGGTTTTTAAATCTAGCAATTTAATTTGAAGCGAACCAGCAACAATTCCAAATAGCTCAAAGTTAATCTTATTTATTTATTTATTTATTTTTTTTTGAGAGAATCTACTATGAACGTCAGAGTGCTTGCATTTCTTTTGAATTGCTAAAATCTCTCAGTGAACCCATCCTTCATTTTGTTTATAGCAATGTTGAAGTAATTCATGTTAACAGTAGCGTTGGCTTTATCATGATATTTTTGTTTAGATTATTCGAAATAAAATAATTTACCGCTCTCCGTGTCTTCAACAGAATGAAGTGATTTTTTTTTCGAAACAATCATCTTCTTCAAGCAAGGCATAAGCTGGGTTTTCCTATCCATGCAGTTTTACATTTAGCTCGTTTAGTTTCTTTTTGATTTGCAAAAACTTCTTTTTTTTGCACGATTATATGACTTTTTTTATACTTCGTATATACGAGAAAGTAAAAAAATAATAATAAAAAATTAATAGTGACGTGATGTTTCTCGAACCCGTATCACCCGTATGGTAACTAGTATACTGTCCGATTAGATATTAGGGCACTTACATTTAAGGGCAGAATTAAGTGTATAGGCCTAATATACTGTAAAGTAAGAAACTTCAGTTACGCGAATAGGCCCTATTAGGCCATAAGTCTAGTTTTTCCTTAGCTCTAGATCTAGAACTAGATATATAAATCCCATGTTATTTCGAATTAGATGATCACTGAAGCAAAAAAGCAAAGATTTATATAGAATAGTTTAGGACTAACATAGTTTAATAAAGAAACTCAATGATTTATTGTGTTTTTATAATTGTTTTTATTTTTAACTAATTAATTTTGGTTTGACCTAGATTCTAGATTTTAGATCTAGGATTGACTTTCTCTTTGTCCGACAGCTGATCTCTAGATCTAGAGAGATTTATTTTATATTCAAATTAGAACTGATGAAAATTTATAATAGTGCTTGAACCTAATAAAAACGGACGTATCGTTAAAGCTATAGCCGACAGAAAATTGGCTTTATAATGCGTTAAACTTTTGAATGGGCTAACACATGGGCAAATAATTCTTCGATGGAAGCCGCCATTATTGTTATAAAAAGTAAATAAAGCATGTGACGTCACTATAAGTAAAGTCATTGTTCTGAACTTTTATTATTAAAGTAGTTAAACTACAAATGAATATATCAATAAATTAATTAACGTCTTTAAATAAATTTGTGATTAACAGTTTGGTCAAAAAGAACATTGTTCTCTACCTAAATACGTATTTTACAGCTGTACACATAGTGCAGATTCTCTCCTGTAACCAAACAAACAAAAAACAAACAAAATAAATAAATATACAAACATGTAAACAAACTTGATTTTTAGTAGTATATAGATAGAAAGATAACGTATATATTGTTAATGAATGAATGAGGTATTTAACATGTGTATGTATTTTTGAAACGACAGGTGAACATGTTTGGCTGATATTGGACGGTCCAGTTGACGCAGTGTGGATTGAAAACTTAAATTCGGTCCTTGATGACAACAAAACTTTAACATTAGCTAACGGTGATCGTATCCCTATGGCTCCCACCTGTAAAATCTTGTTTGAAGTTCATAACATTGATAACGCCTCACCTGCCACGGTATCACGCAATGGCATGATTTTCATGTCGTGTTCAGTACTTCCGTGGGAGCCAATACTTCAAGTTTGTTTGTTTTTCTACTTTGTTTTAGTCACGTTTGAAATTGAAACAGTTCAAATAAGACATTTTGGTTTAATTAGCTCAACTGTTTTTACGTTTTGGTATAAAAATTTGCGATGTGGTGAGCAGTGGCAGTAGTTCCTCAACTCTGATGGGCACCAGACTTTAAGGTCAAAGAAACAGATGAGTTCTACAGCTAAAGACAGACTATAGTTCAATTTATATATTTGTATCACAACAGTGTTGCTGTTGTTAGTTAATAACGAAAATAGCTTTGTTTCAGGGCTGGCTGTTAAAACGTTCAGCGAACGAGGCAAGTGCACTAGTACCTCTTTTTGACGCCGTGTACAGCGACACAGAACATTTCGTCTCACTAAATACAGAAGAGAAAATGGAGCTTTTGTCTTGCAATAAAATACGACAAGTAAGTATTCCTTTCAACAAAATAAACTCTATCAGCTGTTAAGCTTGTATATATATTTTTCAAAATGTTGTATTTATAGATGTGTGACTTACTGGAAGGATTGATCCCGGCTTCAGTAGAAGAAAGAAAAAATATGAGTCCTAAACATCTGGAACACCTTTTCCTATTTGCTTTGATGTGGAGTAGCGGTGCATTGCTAGAATTGGATGATCGTGTTAAAATGCAAGAGTTTTTACTCAAACATAAATCTAAATTAGATTACCCCAAGATCACTGGAGACGAGACTATATTTGAATATCTTGTCGCATCCGATGGTTAGTGTTTTTATTCTTATATCACTCATGAACAATTTTAAACTGATTGGGCAATTCACAGAAAGCATAAGTATAACTCTTCGTTACCGTTTAATTGAAAGACCATTAAAGAACAAAAAGAAAATCAAATGATTTAAAATATAGGGAAACTTGAATAAATAAATAAAATAATATCTATAATATAAGCGGGCTGTGTCTGTCCTTCCTTCCTTCCTTCCGTCCGTCATCGCTATAGATTTTGGGACTATAAAAGTAAACACTCGCACCATGCTGTGCTTTTCAGTGCACCGCAGTGTCTTATTATAAGTAATAGAGTAGGGTTTGTTTATATAGCGGCATAGAGCTATTTTATAATTGCCACTGTGTTTACTCTTTTGCATAACTTAAAGAAAATATTAAATACACGCACATTGCTAAAACGTATTAAAAGGATCAATGTCAAATATCATTTTCGTTTATATTCCTAGAAAAAGTGGATACATTTTAATAACATAATAACAGTACGGTAGAAAAATCAAATTAATTTAACTCTTTTCTAATTTTGACAAAGGAGGTAATTTAAAAATACATTAAACTCACGCTAATAAAAAATGTGAATGCAAATATACGTTCGTCATAGAAGGAATTAGTGTTGCAATAAAATAATTAGCAAAATGTGAATGCAAATTATTCGGATGTGTAAGAGGAAATTGTTAGAAAATTATAATTAGCATGGATTGAGAAAAGGCAATCTTTTATTTATTTTATTCACTGAACTTATAATTTTTAATCAACTATTCAGCACTATTACGCGTCATCACGTTCATTAGGTGCGCAATGGTTTTAGTTATGAAACTCTATTGTAAATTTTTAAAATTTAAAGTGCTGGAAATAAATTGCGTGAATGGATAAAGTGAAATATTGTATATATTATAGATACTGCCTATTATTTATACTGTTTTCTAATTATTATTCTATCTTTCGGGTTTTATAGGAGAGGCGTAGCGAGGGGGGGGGGGGCATATGTCCCCGGGTGCCGACCTTAGGGGGGCGCCAAAGTGGGTTGGAAAAAATTTGCGAGGGGGGTGGTGGTGGAAATCGAACGTTTTAGGGCGGGGGGGGGGGAAGGGGTGCAAAATCGAAAGTTTGAGGGGGGTGCAAATCACCGGAAAGGGCGCGATTTGGCGCTACGGGCTAGACTGTGAGCAATATGCCTTTATGATTGCATTTAAATTGTGTTTATGTTATGAGTGTTGTGTTTGTTTGTTCGTTTTTTTTTGTTTTTTTTTTGCGTTCGTTTGTGTTGTGTTTAGTTTTGTTCTGTTGGTACATTTAAAAAAGATTTACCGTGGCGGAGCACGGGATGCAGCTAGTATAGACTATATATAGCACTGGCCTCTGTAAAAACAATATCTGTAAAGGACCATGACATGTGTGTTTAGTAATCAACATATACCCGGCATTGCCCACTCTAACCCCAACCAACCAAAACCAGAACACAAAAAAAAACAACCGCAAACATAACGCAAACACAAATACAAACACAAAGAAAACACAGAAATAAAGAACTAAATGTAAATCATTTTCAGACACAATTACAATTTTAGTGAATGGTGATAAATTTTATAAAATTTTGTTTGACGGACATAGCGACAATTATCACTCTAAAAATAAAAAAAATGTTTTACAACACCTTCAATATTAATTTTTTTTTAAAATAATGAATTTAGACTTAAGACGATGAGCACTTTAGAAGTATAACACTACTAGGCATACTGCCTAGCTTCGCTTAGGTTTTCAAAGAAGTTGAGAAATTGAATGATTAATTAATAGGTGATTGGCTGTTATGTTAAATGCTTAGGGCCTAAATTTATTCAGTGGGGTACTTTTATTGTACCCATCAACTGATGGAATATTTGCAAACTTATTACTCGCAAGGTTATTAGAACTGAAAGGGCTTTCATAAAAATTATCAATCAAATATTAAACTAAATTACTTTTGCAATTAATTTTACAATTTCAATACAATAGAAAACTTAATTTATAACAAAATATCCATTTAAAACAATGCTACACTTTATGATTTTTGTTTTTTCTTAAAAAGAGTATACAAAATATTAAAAAATTGTTACATTAAAAAGTTACCTCCCATGTTCATAGACCAAATGACCAAATCTCGTATAATGAGAATTTCACTCGCAGTCAATTTTAGCCCTCTTCGATGGCTTTGATGCTGACCAACAGTTTTTCCATACGGCCCAGTCATCTATAGAGGTGTATGCAAAAAATTAGCCAGATATACTGAGTATCCTAAAATCCGTTTTGAAATGACCCTCTGTTTTTCCCATAAAATACAAAAATTATATAGGGAAATACAACTGGTCAGTTTTGACCGCTTTACGAAGTTTTCCCAGATATGCCGAGTTTTTTGTGACACCCCAAGGCGTTCTCCTACAACCTCACAAAGGGGGGTCGTCGGAGGAAATTTTTTTCGTATTATAGCCCATATAAGGCGCCGGTCAGTGGAGGTCAGTTTTGACCCCCTCTCCGTGGATTTTTCGACCAACCGTCACCGGCCCTCGTGTTCTATCGCCCCAAGGCACCATCGTGCCAAATTTGACGCGCCTGCGGCGCCGGGAAGTACCCTATCGGGCACTTGACCACTTTGCTTTATATATATAGATGACGACGATAAAATCTTATTTTTCTAGTATCCCTTTGTAATTCGCTGCCCTCCACATACAGAATTGAATTTCTATATATATATATATATATATATATATATATATATATATATATATATATATATATATATATATATATATATATATATATATATATATACTATTTTTTTTTATTAATCGGAAATAGCGTGAAATATTACATCTGGTCACGGGATTTATTCAAAATTTGAAGTATTAAGGTTTTATACACATAAATGAAATATAATAATATCGTTGATCTTACAAAGTTTGAGAGTAATTGAAGAATAAGATCTTATATGTGAAATTTAGTCTACCTAACTCAAATAGTACTAAAGTTGTTGTTTTCCCACGGAAATTAAGTACCACTTTCGTTTATCCGATATCGTTCAAAAGTTGAGAGAAAAATGTGCACGCTATCTTATACTTGTATTTTATATTCTGTCCTCCTAACGATTCTCAAGTTATGGGTTTTTAAGAAACTGAAAGTTGAGTAGCTACCACTTCCGGTTACCGGAAATCGCTCAAAGGTTTTTAGAAAACTATAATATTGATATAACTTAAATATGAGATTTCGTCAACCGTACTGAAACGGTACTTAATTTATCGTGTTTAAAAAAAACACACACACACATACACCAACAGACACACACATAGAGACTCACACAGACACACACTCTTTTTGAATGATAATTAAGGTTTGTTTGGTTTTTATATAGGATTTTTGCTTCTCATAATCGTTAGTTCTATCTTATAGAAATCCCAAACGGGGGTTATAATCCAGGGAGTTGATGTCGCTGAAGGGGGTGTGTCCTTGGGGTTAATATCGAGAGTTCATATCTGGGGTGTTAATGTCTAGGGGGTTTATTACCGGACAATTCTTTAAACATTTTGTTACAGGAAAATGGATCCACTGGCGTAACCGAGTGGAGGAATACATTTACCCATCCGACTCTGTTCCTCTCTTTACGTCTATACTCGTGCCGAACGTAGATAACGTCCGCACAGACTTTCTCATTGAACTTATTAGTAAACAAAACAAGGTAGTTTTTTTAAAGACTATTTATGTAGTGGGATTTTTGTAAGTGGTGTGCTTGATTGTGTTTATAACTGTGTTGACGCTCATAACTAAGTTTTGCTTGATTCTATTTATAACTGTGTACTTACGCTCATAACTAAGTTTTGCTTGATTCTGTTTATAACTGTGTTGACGCTCATAACTAAGTTTTGCTTGATTCTATTTATAACTGTGTACTTACGCTCATAACTAAGTTTTGCTTGATTCTATTTATAACTGTGTTGACGCTCATAACTAAGTTTTGCTTGATTCTATTTATAACTGTGTACTTACGCTCATAACTAAGTTTTGCTTGATTCTGTTTATAACTGTGTTGACGCTCATAACTAAGTTTTGCTTGATTCTATTTATAACTGTGTACTTACGCTCATAACTAAGTTTTGCTTGATTCTGTTTATAACTGTGTTGACGCTCATAACTAAGTTTTGCTTGATTCTATTTATAACTGTGTTGACGCTCATAACTAAGTTTTGCTTGATTCTATTTATAACTGTGTTGACGCTCATAACTAAGTTTTGCTTGATTGTGTTTATAAATGTGTTGACGCTCATAACTAAGTTTTGCTTGATTGTGTTTATAAATGTGTTGACGCTCATAACTAAGTTTTGCTTGATTCTATTTATAACTGTGTTGACGCTCATAACTAAGTTTTGCTTGATTGTGTTTATAAATGTGTTGACGCTCATAACTAAGTTTTGCTTGATTGTGTTTATAAATGTGTTGACGCTCATAACTAAGTTTTGCTTGATTGTGTTTATAACTGTGTTGACGCTCATAACTAAGTTTTGCTTGATTGTGTTTATAACTGTGTTGACGCTCATAACTAAGTTTTGCTTGATTATGTTTATAAATGTGTTGACGCTCATAATTAAGTTTTGCTTGATTCTATTTATAACTGTGTTGACGCTCATAACTAAGTTTTGCTTGATTGTGTATATAAATGTGTTGACGCTCATAACTAAGTTTTGCTTGATTGTGTTTATAAATGTGTTGACGCTCATAACTAAGTTTTGCTTGATTGTGTTTATAACTGTGTACTTACGCTCATAACTAAGTTTTGCTTGATTGTGTTTATAACTGTGTTGACGCTCATAACTAAGTTTTGCTTGATTGTTGTAATAATTGTTTACCAACGCTCATAATAACTAACTCCCAGGGTGTACTGTTAATTGGCGAACAAGGGACAGCAAAAACCGTTATGATCTTATCAGCAATGGCCAAAGCCAATCCCGAAGAAAGACTGAGTAAAAGTTTTAATTTTTCATCGGCCTCAACACCCGGTATGTTCCAGGTAAGGTCAGCTCAATCTTTCAGCCCTAAGAAATATTGCAGTACCAATTTACTTGTCATGATAGCAGCGATCACACAGAACCCGATTGTTTTAATCTGATTTTGTTTCTATGATTTACACATAATTTATGTACAAATTTATCAAGAAATATCTTTGTCCATCAATACACAACATTTAACAATTTTGGTAAAGGCAAGTGTAAAATGAACCGTTTTAAAATCAGCTCAGATGTATTAATTATTTTTTATTCTTTCTGCCAGAGAACAATAGAGAGTTATGTGGAGAAGAGGGTAGGAACTACATACGGTCCACCAGGCGGAAAGGCTATGACCATTTTTATTGACGACATCAACATGCCCATCATTAATGAATGGGGTGATCAGGTTTGTCTTTACAATAAAAACAACTACAAAAAAAAACTGTAGAGCTTGAAGTCTAGGTTATAAATCAAATAAATCTGTCATATCAGTCTATGATAGTTTCTGCTCCCATATATGCCCCATTAGAACAAACGTTGCATTATCTGTCGCCTAGCCAACATAATTAAAGAAATATTGTTTTTTTTTTTTTAATACTTTTATTTGCAATTAAAACAAGTACATCAACATCACATTTTTTAACATAATTTTGAACACCAAATGAAAACGGAAGGTTTTGCAAATGTACATAATGAATGTTTACATGATGTCATGTATTTGATTATAAAAAATTGCAAAGGATGACAGTAAAAGGGGTGAAGGTCAAATAAAGAAATATTGTCTTAGGAGAAGACAGTGAACCCAGATCAACCACGTGTTTAAGTTTAGATGCTCCTGTGCCCATTTTCTCATTATATTGTTTAATTTTATGTTAAAATACGGTTTAGTAGTTCTATATAAATGACCTTAATGCAGTGGCACCCCCCCCCCCCCCATAAAATTCACATTACTATTTTTTTTTTAAATTTATTTTTTAAAATTATTCCAATCTAAAAATTAACCGTAGAATATCTTAGCGCGAAACTGTTAGCAAAATAAAAACTTTCATAGTAAAACGAAAACCAAACATGGCGTCACATTGAGCATATAGTAGGAAATAGTCGAAAGCCGGGAGAGTGCACACAATATGATGTCATTGATTCTCGAGTAAACATTGAATTAAAAAAAACAACATTTTTTTCTAATCTTAAAAAAGTGGTTTACGTGAAGAGTTTCTTTCATATAATTCTTCGGGTAGGGGCGAAGCCCCACCCCGGCATAAGAACGTCTGAGCCCCCCCTCCCCCCCCCCCCAACTCAAAAGAAATGTCATCGATACTCTATAATAAAATTACCGCCTAATTCATGTGTCTAATCTAAAAAGTGGTTTGCTTGCAGAGTTTCATTCATGCATCTCTTCGGGTAGGGGCGAAGCCCATTTAACTTCCCTTCCCTCCCCCCGGTAGAACGTCTAATCCCTCCCCTAAAAAAACAAATATAATTTATATAGAAAATATATTTTAGGGGGCGGATTGGAAAAGTATATAATTATATAGCGTTGAATGGGACGGTAGAGGTGCTTTGGTGTGTGTGTGTGCGGAGCCCGTCCTCCCAAGTAGTTGCCTGAAAGAAACTCTAAATGGGACTTTTGTCATGATTGAGATTAGGTGCATCGTTTAGAGGTATGGCTACGACTATATTAAATATATTTCGTATAATTAGTATAAATGCGCGATAACTACGTGTAGATCAAGCTTAAATGCGATAAAAATGATGATTCTGGATAAAAATCCGTTTTCAATGTCATTTTTCGTTTCCGGTTAAATTGAATTAAGGTGGTGATTTTGGTTTTGGTTTTAGTTTAGAGAAAATAGACAGCACTATCAACCTTGCGCAAATTGTATCCTTCCTCAACGGGCCAATTTTCTCGTCTTTAATAATAACGTGGCAATGTCCAATTGAAAAGTAAATACTAATGAACAGCATTTGCTTTGCTTACATTAGACATGGATAAAATATTAATAATTATTAACAGTCATTATTAATTGATCTTCACAGATATTTGAAAACAATTTAGTAGAAATTTTAAAAGAGTTTTTCTTTTATACAAATGTTTTCTTCGTTTTTTTTGGCGTGTTATCAAAGAACGGGACAACAAAAAAAGTTTAAATTCTTAACGCAGGCACGTCTGTTTAATACGTTCAATTGAGTGGTCAAACAGGTCAGCTTTCAACACCTTAATTTGACATAACTGAGATACGTTTTAACAACGAGTGTCGGATATTATAGTCTGAATCCTAGAAAATAGAGCCACTATATAAGTATATATATATATATATATATATATATATATATATATATATATATATATATATATATATATATATATATATACATATATATATATATATATATATATATATATATATATATATATATATATATATATATATATATATATATATATATATATATATATATATATACATATATATACATTGTACCATGAATGCACATACATCCGTTTATTCTGTATAACGGGTTTGTCTGACCTGATTTTGTCTGTTATGCTATGTGACTAGACGGTAGGGGCTTTACTTAGCGATGAAACCTTGTCTTAACATAATATGATGCCTCTTTTTTGTGGGATAAGAGACAGTAATTTTAATTATTGTTGTCATGTCATCACAGTGCTAAATGTTTGGAACACTTTGTATAATATTTGAAAGTTTAACGGGTGGTATACCATTTGATTGTTTCTAAAATCTCATCAAAGTATTGGTCAAAACTGTGCCCTTTGATCTAAAGTTGATGATTTTAGGTAACCAACGAGATAACACGACAGATGATGGAGATGAAAGGCATGTACAGCCTGGACAAGCCCGGAGACTTCATCAACATTGTTGACATAACGTTCATGGCCGCCATGATCCACCCCGGGGGAGGTCGAAATGATATCCCTGAGAGATTGAAAAGACAATTTTGTACCTTTAATTGCACACTGCCTTCAAACAACTCCATCGATAAAATTTTTGGTATGTCTCAAGTGCAATGCGATATTGATTTCTCAATAGTATATATGGTATTGTTCAAATTTGAACTTTTTAATTAAAGGTATAATTGGCGAAGGATACTTCTGCAGTTCACGCTTCGTGCCAGTGGTAGTTGATCTGGTGAAAATGTTGGTCCCTTGCACACGCTTGCTGTGGCAGAGAACAAAGGTACATCGTATTCTCGGGGAGGGGGGTGAGCGGGGTGGACATTTTTTTAAAGCTGATTTTATGCCACAGTTTTGAATTATAAGCAGTCAAATCTATACATACTGTCTACGTTGAGAAATGTAATGGCTACACGACTTTACATACAGTCTAAGTTAAGAAATGTAATGGCTACATACAGTGGCGTAGCGAGGGGGGGGGCGGGGGGGACATATGTCCCCGGGCGCCGACCTTAGGGGGGGCGCCAAATTGAAAGTTTGAGGGTGGGGTGCAAATGAAAAGTTCGAGAGGGGGGGGGGTGCAAATCGAAAGTTTGAGGGGGGGGGTGCAAATGAAAAGTTCGAGGGGGGGTGCAAATCGAAAGTTTGAGGGGGGGGGGGTGCAAATGAAAAGTTCGAGGGGGGGGTGCAAATCGAAAATTTGCTCCCAAGGGGGCGCCAAATTGAAAGTATGTCCCCGGGCGCCGGGAAGGGTCGCTACGCCTCTGGCTACATATAACCTTAAGGAACAGTGACCGGCCAAAAACCTCGTTCTAGCTTTTAATTTACATTAAATTGGTGAGTCGATAAATGTTGCCACTTATAAAAGAAACGGTAGTGACTTTTGTCACGATGGTGCAAGGGAGGGGGGCGCTTTTTTGCTAAATAAAATCGCAAGAGGATTTACACTGGATTGGTGAGTAGATAACTTTTGTCACTTAGAAAAGAAACTAATTGTAATTGAGCGCATTGTACGATTGTGTAACATTTTAAAAAAATTTGGTTTCGTTAAAACCCGCTCTACCAACTTTGTCCAAGAAGGTGGGGAGGAGGGGGGAGGCGGAAGGGGCGCTTTTCGCGAACAAAAATTGCAATAATTTTTACTGGATTGGTTTTAACACCTAGAAAAGTAACAAATTGCATTAAAGCGTATTGTGTAACTGTAAAATAAGAAAAAAAGATGGTGGGTGGCGCGCTTTTTCGCCAATGTAAATGGGAAAGATTTACACCGGAGCGGTGCTTAGATAAATCGTTCAACACTTAGAATAGAAACCAATTGTATTAACGCGGAACGTACAATTTCACTAGTCACATTTGTTATGAAATGACGCGACGAGTTCTTTGTAAGATTCTTACACTCCTCTCGACTTCAACGTGAGAGATCAGATCAGTGTTTCTTCCAGACTTTTTTCTCCGGGGGGGGGGGGGGGGGGCACTTGAAATTTTCGGGGGGGGGGGGGGCGGTAGACTTTCTTCGGGGGGGGGGGGGACACACTGTTAAAAGTATATATTTTCTATATAAATTATATAAATTTCGTTTCGGGGGGGGGGGGGGGTCGGTAAAAATTTTTCGGGAGGGCAAAGCCCCCCCCCCCCCTCCGAAGAGATGCCTGGAAGAAACTCTGGATCAGATCGCTGTATTAAAGAGAAATAAATATCTCGGATTCTTGAATCGCTATCCGATCAGTAAAAGAACATAAGGTAGACGGAAGTTGATACTCTTGCCGAAATTTTAAGAGCTAAAAAATTAGTTTATTGTACCGAATGGATCATTTTTTTATTGCTTGTTTCATAATAAGTCCTAATACTGCAATTTTCATATAGTTAAAGCAACTAGACCTACTAAACGATGTAAAAATGATACAACACGACGACCGCTAATCCTTTGTTACTTTGTTCAACCTAACTGATAATTTAAAACTGTAATCCATTATTATCGAAATTGTTCTAAAGACACGACTAAAAGTAGACAAAATAAGCTTGCACCGTCTACAAACTACTCTAAAGCAGTGGTTCTTAACTTTTTTGGATGTACCGAACCCATCCAGTTTCATATGCGCCTTCGCCGAACCCTTCTCAATAGTTTGACAAAATCTGATCGTGAATCATATGAGACGGGTGTGTGTCTTGACCTCCGCCGAAGCTCTGAGACTTACTTACCAAACCTCTTGGGTTCGATTGAACCCAAATTAAGAACCACTGCTCTAAACTTTTTTTTATTTCTTCTTTTTATTCGTTTCGGTTTCCTAGGAGCATAGATGTAGGCAATACTTCGTCAACTCACTTGATTTTTATGAAGATGGAACCCTAATATTCCAGCTTCCCCATCTGTATTTCAAACTATTTCCTTTATGACTTTTTTTGTCTCCTTTTCCTCTTTCCCCGTGGACTTTACTACAGCACCTGCTTTGTGATGTTATTTAATGTCTTTCTGATATTGTGCCCTAACCACTTTTCCATGGTCTTATTTCATTCTCCGCTGTCTGTAACCTAGCCCCGAGCCATAGAGTAAAAGAGACTTCACATTTAGTTATAGATCCTGATTGAATTTTTTGGCAATGCATTTGAATTCCACATTGGCTTAGAATGTTAAAACGGGTTCCATTCGCTCACAAGGGCAGAGACAACATTAGCAACAACCAAATTAGATTCTGGTGATTTCTCTTGGCTTTGATATGCGTTACATTCACTTTATTTTTCTAAATTTCCCACACTCTCATCACTCTAACAGCAGGCCGGTTCCTCTTAGCTCAAACGTTTCTGGTACAACGCTCTCTTGACGACTCGTACCTAAAAAAAAAGCCTTGTATGTTACTGAGTTACTGCATACGTACGTGGTCGTACCATTGGATTATTCCAACTTCTTTAAAAATGTATACTAGGGGGGGGGGCGGGGGGTGCGGTCCGCACTGGGTGACACCATGGCAAAAAATAACAAAATATATAGAGAAAAATGATAATTCCACTTAATTAAGTGATTAATTCGAGTGTTAAAAAGTCTTTTAAGAGCAAATTTGAGAATTCCGACAAGGGTGGAGGGGGGGGGGGGGGGGTGCCAATCAAAAGTTTGAGAGGGGGGAACAAATCGAAAGTTTGAGGAGGGTGAGGAGGGGGTGCAAATCGGAAATTGAAAGTTTGTCCCCGGGCGCCGAGAAGGGTCGCTACGCCTCTGGGGGTGACACCATTAAGTGCCGCACCGGGTAACACACAACCTCGCTACGCCACTGTTTGAAAGACAGAGGGACAAGCGTTAAATAGTTTTAATAATTCTTTTTCAGTCAAAAATGCTCCCCACGCCAGCCAAATTTCATTACATATTTAACTTGAGAGATTTATCCCGCATATGGCAAGGAATGTTATACATTCAAGGAGAGGAGTGCAACAGTGCAAGGACGATGATCAATTTGTGGAAGCACGAAGTTTGCCGTGTAATAGAAGACAGGTAATATCTTATTTGTTGCATCTTTACTGCACTGGAATCCCCAATAATTAATTTTACCATCTGCAGCATACATGGTTTGATGAGATTTTCTCCTTTGTGTGAGAGGTTTTTTTGCTTGGCAATTTCTAATACTACTCCATATGATGCTTGCACTAATGCTGTGTTTTCTTGGTGAAAACGTTCCGTTCGATCAAGTCTCTGACGTTTGCAACTAGCTTCATGCCGACGAAAGAACTACATATCTTTTTTGGTGTGTTCTCGTCTCAAATTGTGACTCGTCTCAAATTGACGTTTGGAAGTTTTAATAGACTCCTGACTAAGAACTACTTTGTTTATTCTCTATTCCATTTCCAGTGATGTTAGTAATGCCGAATTTCAAATATTTTTTAAATATTCATGTTTTTTTATTCATTGCTGGAGTTTAGTCTACCAGTTGGCGACCCCCCCCCCCCCCCCCCCCCGAAAGCCGTTCGCGACCCCCAACGCGGTCGCGACCCCCAGGTTGGGAACCTATGCTTTAGATGGTGAAGTGTGCAAATATTAAACCACGTTTATACATCTTGAATAATAAACTTTAGATGGTGAGGTGTGCAAATATTAAACTACGTTTATGTATATGAAACACGAACCTTCAGACGACAAAGGCTGCAAAAATTGAAAGTAAATTGCAAAAAGAAAACTACGAAAAGGAACAATAATCTCCTAAAATTTCACGAAACTATTACAGTCCCAAAATAAACTCCAAACATGGCGGTTATTTAGCAATGGACACCAGCGAGAAAAGTCTCAAAGGTATTTGAGAGGTGTATAAATTCATTTAAAAATCATGCACAGCGTAGTTACAATTAATATGGTTATAAAATCCTGTCTATCTGGTTTTTTTCGGACTTTACTAAATAAAAATTTAAAAAAAAGCAAAAACAATTTGGTTTTCACGTGTAATGGCGACATAAACAATGGCATCCTGCTATTGGATAGGCCGCCATTGATTTTATTGTACACATTGTAAGCTAAAAATAGAAAACTAGGTCATGGGGTTTTAAATTTGCATAGTTATTTAAAAACTTGATCTGCAAAGTTTTGTAAACAAATAGTTATCGATCACTAAGTTACTGTACAGCCAATCAATATTTGTCTTATGAAAGTGAAACATCCGGTTATAACTTAGGCTTGATGAAAATAAATAGAAATGTAGCCTTAAACTCAACAAATTATTTTCAAGTTCTCTGGATTTGCAACTTTTATAACATTTATTCTAAAAATATAAAATTTCTAAATTAATTTTAGGCTTAAGTTTTTATTTTTTATTTTTTTTTACGGTCTAAATCTAAAAAGCACGTTTTTATTCCATGTCAACAACATTGGGGACGGAATCTCGTCAACTCGCTCGCCTCCATTTGAAAACATAAACTATGAATTACTTTAATTAAAATAATATTTTTGTTTAATTGTTAATTTTATGGATCTAGTTCTATCGGAAGTACTGACATTGTCCGCACTGGCAAAATTTCGGTAAATCATAATCCTTTCATTTGTATTGACGTTTTGGTACACTTTTAAAAGCTTTTATTTACTTCTTTTAGAGATCGTAATCTACTGGTCGGGTTTGAACTGTGATTCAATAATAAAAGGGGAGATAACAAGATTAAATATAACTTAAATGTTTTAGTAGAAGCCTATATTGATCTAGCGTTAAGTTTATTTTGAACAAATTACTAAAAAGTCGAAAATAAAATAAATATGAAAACTTTATAATAACAAGCTTAATACACATTTTTAGTCTTAGTTGTACGGTCATTCACGCCGAATGTTTACAATCGTAGAACTGAGTCGTTAGTAAAGATAAGGGGTCATCCATAAATGACGTCACACTTTTTTTGACGATTTTTACCTCCCCCCCTCCCCTCCGTCACACTTCGTCACAAAAAGCCAGACCCCCCCCCCTAAAATGACGTCACACCTCAACCTATAACCCCCCCAGAGGCGTACCCAGGTTTTCGGTGTAGGGGGAGCGAAAATAGCAAAAAAAGGCGCCGAATTTGTAATATCTTCTATATAAGTATATATATATATATATATATATATATATATATATACTAGCTGTATCCCGTGCTCCGCCACGGTAAATCATTTTTAAATATACCAACTTTGGAACAGAACAAAACTAAACACAACACAAACGAACAAACGCAAAAAAAAAAAAAAACAACGAAAAAACGAACACAACACTCATAACATAAACACAATTTAAATGCAATCATAAAGGCATATTGCTCACAGTCTAGCCCGTAGCGCCAAATCGCGCCCTTTCCGAGTCCCGGCGGACGCGTCTGACACAGTGAATGACTACAAAACAGAGGCGTTGCGACCCTTTCCGGCGCCCGGGGACAAACTTTCGATTTGACCCTCCCTCAAACTTACGATTTGCACCCCCTCCCCTCAAAATTTCAATTTCCACCCATCCCCTCAGACTTTCGATTTGCACCACTTTTGATTTGAAATTCCCCCCGCTCAAACTTTTGATTTGCACCCCCTCAAACTTTCGATTTGCACCCTACCCCCCTCCCCCTCCCTAGAACTTTCGATTTCCACCCCCCCCCCTAGCTACGCCTCTCTTATAAAACCCCAGCTTGTCCGCAAACCGAAAGATAGAATAATAATAAATAATATACAATAAAAAATAGGCAATATCTATAATATCCGTGTTTACCTACCATATATCACTTTATCAATTCACGCATTTTTTTCCCAGTATTTTAATTTTAAAAATTTACAATTGAGTTTCATAACTAAAACCATTGCGCACCCAATGTCTATAATGGTGCGGAATAGTTGATTAAAAATTATAATTAGTAAACAGTACATTCAGTGAATAAAAAGAAATAAAAGATAGCCTTTTATCAATCAATGTGCTAATAATAATATTCCAACAATAATGTACTCTTACACGTCAGCATAATTTGCATTCACATTTTGCTAATTATATTATTGCAACACTAATTCCTTCTATGACGAACGTATATTTGCATTCACATTTTTTTATTAGCGTGAGTTTAATGTATTTTTAAATTACCTCCTTTGTCAAAATTAGAAAAGAGTTAAATTAATTTGATTTTTCTACCGTACTGTTATTATGTTATTAATATGTATCCACTTTTTCTGGGAATATAACGAAAACGATATTTGACATTGATCCTTTTAATATGTTTTAGCAATGTGCGTGTATTTAATATTCTCTTTACGTTATGCAAAATTGTACAAACAGTGGAAATTATAAAATAGCTCTATGCCGCTATATAAACAAACCCTACTCTAATACTTATAATAAGACACTGCGGTGCACTGAAAAGCACAGCATAGTGCGTAGTTTACTTTTATAGTCCCAAAATCTATAGCGATGACGGAAGGAAGGACTGACACACTACCAGCAGCGTTATATTATAGATACTAGCTGCATCCCGTGCTCCGCCACGGTAAATCTTTTTAAAATATACCAACTTTGGAACAGATCAAAACATATCACACTACAACCAAAAACAATGAACGCAGCATAATCTGTTTCGTAACCCTTGTAAAAAAAACTTTATAATTCCTGGGACAAGCGAAAAGGGAAAATAATCAATATCTTAATATAAATATGTATATTCTACACATTTTATTATAAATATCAAAACAAATCAATAATTACTTATGAATCTAATAAAGTAGCTTAACATTATTTGTTTTTACAAAAGTGTTTTGTCTACAATCAGATCTAAATATATTGTCATCATAAATGCTAAAATATTGCAGCATAATGAAAGTTTTTTAAATCAGAATTGGTATAAAAACTAGCTTTACAAAGTAAAAGTAAAACAATCGGAATAATAGTCTACATTCAACTAAAATATTGGTCTTCCATTACATATCATTCACTTTTTAATTAGCTACTGACTTTATGTGTTCTTTAAAGATAATTTTTTAACATTATGAGAAGGTATGGGTTAGATCACTGCTCACACACCTTTTACTGGTAATTGCAAAAACAATATTCACAGAGATTTACGTTTTAATAGCTATGATTCTGGCGGCATGGTACTTTGGTACATCATTACGCGTTCCAAATGTACTTAACAGATCAGTTCGTTGCGGGTTGGGAGGAGGGGTTCAACTTCATTCACCACTGTCCGGTCACTTTAGGTCAATTATCCAATCCAGCGTATACCAAGGTGTGACATTAATGTCGCTCTACACAATTGTGGTGGTGAGGTGGGTGTGGATAACCAACTCAGAGTGAACATAGCGTCAGTTTTTAGATGACTGTTCTAAACATAGGGGTCATCCATAAATGACGTCACGCTTTTTTGACGATTTTTACCTCCCCCTCCCCTCCGTCACACGTCGTCCCAAAAAGCCAGACCTCTCCCCCCCCCTAAAATGACATCACACCTCAGCCTACAACCCCCCTCAAAATTGCAGTTAAATTTTTTTAAACAGCTATATTTTCCCAAAATTTTGTCTGAACTCTGTCAAAATATAGTATTTTAATCAATTGTTATTACAATTTATTAAAACAGTTTTCTAAAACGCAAAATAACGTCTAAACTTCGTTTTCTAACATTACTTTTTTATAAAGCAAAAGTGTGACGTCGCACCATCTGAACCCCCCCTCCCCCTCATCACACACCGTCATAAAATTTCGGACACCCCTACGAGTGTGACGTCATTTATGGACGACCCCATACATATTCAATTACGCATGTATACTGATTCAAAAGTAGATCTAGATTTAAATAAGTAGCGGATAATTAACTGTGCGATAATACTACCACTTCATCGTGATGATGTCGATGACCTTGTCAAAATCGCCCCACCGCTACGCAGTTCGACCATAAGTAAATTTAAATAGAGGTGCCACATTAGTTGTATTTGTGTCTGTATTGTAATTTTAAAAAATAAATTACACGATTTAAACTGTATATATAAAGTAATTATGATTGAAGTTTTACATGTAACATTTTCTAATTCAATTATTCGTAAGCAAAAATACATTATACAGTTGCCTTAAACTTAACACCCCTCTTGCCAAGTGGTACTGCCTGTAGAGGTTTTTTAAACAGTGCAATGCATCGTAATGGTTATTTTTAGAATGACAAACTGATACAGCTGCTAATACGTGTTATAAACGTTGACTCTACTAGTCTATTACTGTTATAATTAATTGCTGCATGAAATAAATCTTGTGATTTGCATAGAGGTGCCGACCAAAGATAAGTTTTTAACAAATATCAATGTTTAAAACTTTGAGTTTAAAAAGTTTCCAAAAAGGCGCCACTTTGCTAAAAATGGCCAGAGGGGGAGCGGCCGCTCCCCCTGCTCCACCCCTGCGTACGCTACTGAACCCCCCTCAAAATTGCAGTTGAATTTTTTTTAAACATTGATATTTTTCCAAAATCTTGTCTAAACTATTACAATTTATTAAAACAGTTATATCTAAAACGCGAAATAACGTCTAAAATTCGTTTTCTAACATTGCTTTTTTATAATGCAAAAATGTGACGTCGCAACATCTGACCCCCCCCCCCTCCCCCTCATCACACATCGTCACAAAATTACGGACCCCCCCTCCCCCCTACGAGTGTGACGTCATTTATGGATGACCCCTAAGCTAGTAAATAAAATATGACGTCACAGGATCTAAACTCTAAACCTTTTGTGAACAAAAAAAAGCAAATTCAAATTTAGTCTTTCGCATTGCTGTATCTAGAGAACCGTTTATTCTATAAACATAAGTTTGGTATCATTTTGCAGCATTTAGTCCCCTTAATACAACCATGTGGTTATTTAGCAACTAGTTAGTACAGATTATTAGGGGCAGATAATAGCGTTTTTAAACTATTTGAAACTAGTGGAGGTAATAAGATAAACAATATGCTATCGTTTAATTTTTTGCTGTTGGTTAGGTCTCGCTAAAATATGTAAAAGTTCTATGAATGAAAGCAAATTATTTTTTTTAAACCTAATTATTTAAGACACTAAATTAGCTTAGGGGCTAAGTAAACTTTCTTGTATGACTTAAAACTTTATTTACATGATACTGGAACATGATGTACATCTGGTTATGCCCATGTTCAAAATATATACTGAATATAGTCCATGACTATACAAGAGTCAGAATTGGCTTCTGAATATCAGAAGAAACACTCAAGAATAAAAAAATGGGTGCATCTAAGTCAATGTACATATTTCTCATTTAGATTTGTGAACGAGGAGGACAAGGCTTGGTTTCAAAAGACCTTGACAAATGTTATCAGTGAAGAAGTTGGTGCCGAGACCGCTCAGCTATTACTTTCATTTCCTCATTTCGTTGATTTTATGAGGGAAGCAAAAGAAGAAGTGGTAGCCGATGACGAGGCCGGTGCAGGTGGGGGAGGAGGAGGAGGGGATGAGGAGGACACCCAAGTACCTAAGATATATGAAATGGTAGGTGTATGTGCAACTGCTGATCTCTGTGGCGTCTTTAAAATCAGTGTATGTATATTTATTTATAGGATGGCCTGTTTGAATGGTAGACGTTTGCCTGTTAACTCTGATGATTACCTCACTTAGTTGGGAAAAGTAAAGTCGACTGGCCATAGCGTTAACCACAACATCCCTTCATATGCGAGGGTCAAGAAACAAAAACTCTGCTTCATCTGCCCTACGGATCGCTAGGTCTAAAGAGGCATCTTTATTTCTTGATGAATCATTCTCGTTCAATCATTCTCTCTAGCGACTCCCTGTCACAATCAATCCTTAATCAAACACGCTTTGCACCTATGGGCCACCATAGCCTAGGCCAACTACGTGTTTATCCACTACCATTCTGCCTCCGTCCTCACAACATTTCGTTCTCTGCCTTTGTGCCTCCAATCGTTCTCACGGCGATTTCTGCGCACATACTCAAAAGTAGCGCTGCTTATATACATACAAGACACTCCCAGCTGTACATTTGGTGTTGTTAACAATGTCAAACAAGGTAAAACTATTTTGTTTCAGTATCACCAACTACGTCAAATTTCCTACTGGTTAATCCATCTGTCTACTGAGTTGATTACACAATAAATTCAGAAAAAACGTTTTAATAACAAGCTTTTATGTAATAATGCACTAAAAAGGAGAAAATAAATTATACACTACTATTTAAATAACTACAAAGAAAGCGTGGGCCACTTTAGTATTTATTGGATACCTTTACTAATATTTAGGATATGTGATATATATATATATATATATATATATATATATATATATATATATATATATATATATATATATATATATATATATATCACATATCCTAAGTATTTAGGATATGTGATATATATATATATATATATATATATATATATATATATATATATATATATATATATATATATATATATATATATATATCGATGGTCTCGGTCGCAAACCGTCCAACTAAATGTATATTTTACAGGAGAGACCAAAAACTGATTATTTATTTGTTGATCGCTCTAATACAATTTTTTTTAAAAATGATTTGTGCGAAGAAACTCTCTACGACTATACTGTAGCGTTTTAAAATGAGTTTTGTTAAAATTTTAAGGGTTATAGCAGGTTTTAAAAGATAGTTTGTTTTGTTGGTGTCGTAGCCAAACCGCAGACATGGCCGTTTTGAACCGAGAATTTCTGTCTCAGCCGCGTTCGTTCGCATGACTTGCTTTTAGGCGCTCATATATGACAGTTTTTATCTTTTTTCTGCTCTTGTACAACTTGTAAGGGGCTACAGATGATATCATAATCTTACGACTCTAGTTAAGCAATTGCCATCTAATCTGCTAATTCACTTTGAAGTAGATAGTAGCATCAGGGTTGTACTGCAAGGTCAAGGAGGCACCGGTGTCGCGATAAAATTTTAATGGGTCGAGGAGGCGATGCATCTCCGGGTATTGACACATATCCGTCGAAGATAAATGGCTGGAACTTCTGCAATGTTTCGGCTGATATGGCGTCACGGCTGGCGATACCATCACCGACCACACCAACATGAGCATTCACGGCGTGGTGAATGGCCTTAGGGGCAGGCTCGACGCGTGTCTTTTCTTGGGTGTATTCTGGGATTATGATGCAAACGCCAGAATTGTGTACATCTAACGGCTCCCAATTTGTTCAATACAGCCATAACCTCGGGTGATATAGAGATCCCAATCCAGGTGATCCCTCGTTTGTTGGAAACAGGATGTTGGGTTCACCCTAATGTCCTTCACACGTTTACTGCAATGTCTAGCCAAGTGCCCTTTTGCTTGGCAGTAGTAGCAGATAACTTCACGCGATGCAGATTTGACTGGCTGCTGCAATGAAGATTGGCCTGGGGAGTTACCTGCTCTACCCAGGTTTGGTCTTTGAAAACCTTCCTGTATTATTGTCTCATAATAGTCCTTGTGGTTCAGCGTCTAGTTATCAGCCATCTCGGCCGCCTGACGAGTCGAATTGACCACGTTGTCTTGCAGCTGAATTTGTATTCGAACTGGAAGGCAGTGTTTGAACTCTTCGAGTAGGAATAAGGAGCAAACGTCTTCAAAGGTAGTTACATTTTCAGCAGTCAACCACTTGTAAAGAAACTTTTCTTTGTTGTAGAGGAACTCAACGTGAGTTTCCTCTAGAGCTTTCTATAGACTCCTAACTGGCTTCTGTAAGCTTCTGGTGTCAGTTCGTAAGCTCTCAGTATAGCTTCTTTAACAAGCTGGTAGTTTGACTGAATGTCAGGGCTAAGGGATGTTAAATATCCGCAGCTTTTCCAGTTAACACAGGGCTAAGTAGTGTAGTATATTTGTCTTAGGGTCAATCATAACTCCTACATTCGAACTCGAATGATTTGAAAAACCTAACTAAATCCTCTTCGCTAAACTTCGGAACACTAGACTGTAAGGAAGCGAGTTTTATAGGAGGAGATGTAGAGGAGAAAGATCGCAGCTGTAATTCCCTAAGCCTAATAGCCTGTTCGGAAGCTATCTTTTCTCTTTCTACTGCTAACCTTATATCTTCCATCTTAGCTTTACTCTCTAACTCGAGTTCCTATAGTTTAACAACTTCAGAGGTAGGATCACTCTGTACAATGGTGTCCAGACACTCCTCTTCTAACAACCCAAGGTTCACTAGCTCTACCACAATCTCATCACCCGATTTTTAGATGCAGCTTTAAAAGAGATATTTAACTTGCGCGCGATGGCCACTAATTCTACACGTTTACAATTATCTAACACCCCCAATGTTGGACGCTCTATAAAATTCATTATGTCCATTGTTAAAGTTAAACTGTGGCGGTCAACTTAAAAAAAATGCTCTCATAACTAAAAGTAGAGTCGAAACACTAAACGTAGGGCTATCACCTTTGACACTTCAATTGGAAAACACCAGCTATACTGGGTAAACAAAACTCAAATATATCCATCTGCACTGGACCACAAACGACTTACTTACGTGTACTGGGAATTGACCCTCCAGCTATACTGACCAAGCCATCAAACTCCAGTTCCACTGGACCACACAAAAACATTCAAGTATACTGGGCATTAATCCCTCCAGCTATACTGAATAAAAAATAAAATTCCAGCTCTACTGGACCAACATAAAAAAAACAGAGCAAAATAAACTCAGTGTCAATACAAAGGTGATAAGCACGATACTTACTCAATGTTTCCTGGTTCCATGAACAAATTTACTATGACTACTTTTAAAACTTAAAACTAAAACACAAGCTCTTGAGCCCCCAACTGAAAATGGCATCAAAAGAAACTAGTCAACTCGTTGCCTATTCTATTCCGGACGATAGCCGCCAATTGTTACGACCCGATCTCCCTAGACCTTTCGATCGAAGAGGCGAGGTAGACAAGAACACACATTAAAACTAATGAACACCTTTCAATAATAGCTAAAGTTGAATTCTCACAACAGAGATACAATATTTAAAAGTAACCGCCACCAAGATACAATATATGAAAATCCTAACACCTAGTCTAATCAATACTATGTACAACTACACGTCCCTACTGGTGAGCTGCTATGCCCTGACTGCCTAGTCTAACCACTCACCCTCCTAATATCCTGGAGTCTCATCCCCTCCCCGACTAGTGTGGGAACCTTGTTAATAGAGCCTGGGCCCAGGTCAGGTCCAGATATGACCGTCCCCTCGGTTCCGTCCGTTTAGGAAGGCTTTCCCGGCCATACATCACGGGCTGTTGGCCGTTACCAGCCGAGTGCCCAAGACACCAGGTATGCACCGCCCACAGCGTGGAACCAATCAGCGGTGTGGCCGTCACGACCCAAAGATTCCCACGGCCAGCACTGGTCAGCCTCTGACCACCGCCAGGTTGTTGGATGAGAGTGAGATCGCTACCCCAACATACGGGTCAGCTCAGGTCAAACACCAGGTGGTCGTAACAAGTGACAATATATATATATATATATATATATATATATATATATATATATATATATATATATATATATATATATATATATATATATATATATATATATAATATAAAGCTCAATTCTGTATGTAACGCATATGTTTGTCGTTGGTCTTGAATGGATTTAAGTGTTAGACAATTATCGTGCGCATTTGTCTAAATTTATGAGTTAAAAAATTACTATTGAAAGTGTTGGGAAATAATTTTCATTTTTCAAATTATAGTAATAATTGTCGGCATGTTCATTAAACACAAGTTTTAAAAAAATATTATCTTTTACAAAAATTCTAATTATGTCTTTATTTAGTCCTATAGCACTTACTTCCCTTTGATAAATTAGGAAAACACAATTACTTCCCTTTATAAAACCATTGCATTAGTGGAAAATAATTTACTTTTTATTACTTTGTTTTGGTGTTGGGAAAAAAATAATTACATAATTAGTGGGGATTGATCAAGTGCAAATGTTGTAGGTATTTTACGGATAAGCTTGGAGTATTATAATTGTTCATTAAATTGAAACAGGCGCGTTCGTTTAAGTGAGTGCAAAAGACTATGAATAAGTTGGGGTACTATAGTCGTTCATTAAGCTAAAACAGGTGATTCCGCCCCGGGCATTGATGTTCGCGTTAGTGTTTTCTTTGTGTTTAGGTGGGTTTGCGTTAGTGGTTGCGTTTTGATTTGGTTCGTTTTTGTTCTTTCTTTTTTCGTTTTTGTTTGTGGTTTTTTGTTTGGGTTTGTATTTGTGTTTTTGGTTGGTTTTGCGTTTGGATTTTGTTTGTTTTCGTTTGCTTTTTCGCTGTTTTTTTTTTGTGTTGGTATTGGTGTTTGTGGTTGGGTTTGTTGTTAGGTTTTTGTTTTCGTTTGCTTTTTTGTTTGTTTTTTCTTTGTGTTTGTATTGGTGTTTGTGGTTGTGTTTGTTGTTAGGTTTTTGTTTTCGTTTGTATTTGTAATTGTGTTAGCGTTATGTTTGCGTTTTGTTGTTTTGGTTGGTTGTGGTTTGGGTGGGCAATGCCGGGTTTATGATGATTACTAAACACACAGGTAATGGTCTTTAACAGAAAGGTTTTTCACAGAAGCCAGAGCAGGATTGGCCGGCCAATCCGCGCATTGGCCAATATCGCCTCCCATCGGTCGGTCAAAGTCCGAAACTTTGCTTGATTTCGGCCTTTGGCCGGCCATTCCGTGGACTGGCCATGGTGGATCGGCCAAAGTCTTAATTAGAAGATCATCTGGCTAGGGACGACCGGCCAAAGTCCGAATTAGAAGATCATGAGCAGATTTTTTTTTTTATGCCGTAAGGATCATGAAATTAAGTCTTTATTGATTATTAATTAAAGTAAATGACAGAAACATTCAAATTTTTTATTGTACTATAGTCTCAATCTATCAATATCATCATTTTTTACAACAAGTTGAACTTTTATGGTATTTAGAATTACATAGCAGCTTGTTATTTTTACACTTGCAGCGATTTGTTGTGCACTTGGTTGTGCAATTGCAGCGAGTGTAGCCTTGGCCCCCAGTCAATGATTGTGAAGGTGCGATCGTTCGTAGTGATTTTTATCAGTGCCAACTGACGACAATAAGAGCAGTTTTTGGTGAAGAATTGAAAACTCACTTCCAGCATACAGTTGTTTTAGAACACCATGTTCCGTTCCTAATTTGTAGAAACCGCCCTCGACGCTCATGACAACTGCAATCACGCTTCGGGGATCACCGTGACCTCTGTCAACATCTGGAAAACGGATGCGTACATTGTCACCCACTTCACCATCTTTAAATTTTGTATTTGATGTTTTAAGCATCTTAGAACCTTGAGTTTGCAAGCCAGTATGAGCTGCTGATCTGTGTTCCATGATGTCTTGTTTGTTGTGACACAATCTGCAGGTAATGTTCCCTCCTTACCCTTCGTCTGCTTCATTGGGTATTCCACAAATAGCATGGACATCGTTGCCACAGGATCCAAAAGAATGAGCTGCACTACAATGTTTTTCACAAACTATATAGAATCTGTTGGCCACATTATTGTCACGCTACTGGTCTGGACGTTCCGCCACGGCAGTAGATGTGTTAGCTGAGGATGTCGTTGCATTTATGGCAACCTCCATTTCTTGTTCAATGTTCTCAAGATCTTCCTCAGTAACTATTTTATCTAGAGCCCTTATATGGAAACTAACATGGATTTACATTTTTTTTTCTTTTGACAGCCATCTGCTATGTCTGTTTCATGGTCTGACGGCCCTTTTGATCCATGTCGCCTTGCATATAGAATGCTATACAAACAAGAGCTAAACAATACGTTACTCTCAATGAAAACGCACCCAGAATAATGAAAAGGCGATCACAATTTAGTCTAGATAGAACATTGGCCAGGACATCCCGGCCAGTGCGCGCATTGGCCGGCCAATGTACAAAATACGCTGTCAAGTTTAAGCGCTTCGGACTTTGGTCAGTACGTCCCGGCCAGTGCGCGCATTGGCCGGCCAATGTACGAAATACGATCTTAGTGCTAAGTTCTTCGGGCTTTAGCCAAGAGGGCCGGCCAATGCGCGGATTGGCCGGCCAATCCGCGCTTTGGCCGCACTTCGGGCTTTGACCGTAACATATATATATAATAGGCCCTATATGATTTATATATACATTATATATATAATTTATATATAATATACATATATTTAGTTTAGATTTGCAGATGTGTAGTATTTAACCAAGAAAGCTAAACTAATGCTTGATTGTACATTTAGGTTGAAGATTACGACATTCTTAAACTAAGATTAAAAGCTTATATGAAGGATTACAATGAACAGGTCCGAGGGTCAAACTTGGATCTTGTTTTCTTTAAAGATGCTATGATTCATCTGATGAAGGTTTGTTATACTAATACACATATCTATTTTTTAGCTGCTTGTATTATATTTTTTGTGTATTTTTTTATGTTCCTAAAATGCATAAGACACGTTATTTTCACCATCAGTTTGCATTGCCTGCTTGTTCGCTTTAGTAGTATAGTTTTCATCATCTGAACGAAATGAAAAATTAGTAATAGACTTTCTTGTTTCTGACATGTACTTTCGTGTACTAAAAATGATTTATTTACGCACATTACAAACATCTTTTTTAATGAATGTTAAACCTGAATTTTAAATGATTAATTAGATGGTGATTAGATGTTTTAAGGAAAATTATAGTAGGGTTTATGCAGTATTTTTCCATTTTAGGTTTTTCATACAAATGTGCTATGTTTATATATACGGCATCTGGTAACTTTTAACGGCCTTCCGGGAACTTTTTTTTTTTACCTCAAGAATTAACAAAAGGTTTTGACATTGGGTTTTTTTCAATGTACAGCTTCTGAAGATTTCACTCCCTTTAATTTGGTAGCACTCGGTGAATGGGGAGAATCTGACAAAATACTTACTTTATGTCTGGGTAAATTACCAAGGCTTATGCTAAAAATTAGCCAGACACACAGAGCTTTAGTACAATATAAAGCTTTTTAAAAAATTACCGTTTTTTTTTTTCACAAAAATTTACCATGTTTTTAGACAGCCGATAATCAGTTTGCGAAGGAACACCGCTATTTTCGTTACCCGAGGGGCTTCTTCTACGACTTCAAGAATTATCACGGTTTTTCATGTAGGGTTTATTTTTTTAAATATATTATATATAGCTTACACAAGGCGTTGGTCAGTCGCGGTTAGTTTTCACCCAATGATCATGGATTTTTGGCTGATCGCATTTCTTTCCATGATCTATTCGCCCTACACTACAGCCTGCAGAATTTGAAGCGTCAGCGGTACCGCCAGCTGACCTAACAAGCAGCTGACCACTTTGCTGAATATATATATATATATATATATATATATATATATATATATATATATATATATATATATATATATATATATATATATATATATATATAAGCTGCAGACACTAGTTCGTTAAGGTGTGAACAGAATGATACATTTTAATGGCACAAAACGTCTGATTGTTTAAATAATATCCCGTAAAATAAGTATGAGTGTCAAATAATCATATGAATTGAGGGAAACAAATTACAAAACGGGAAACTAACTCAGCAGCATGAACCCTCGAACCACACATCCAAACAAAACACACATCACCCGCCAAAACCCCCATCCAATAACCGCCCCACACCCCGTACCATCCCAAGAAACAAAAAAACGTGTATCTTAAGAAGAAAACATCACAAGCAACATCCCACTTTCCTATACAGCAGGACCCGCAGAACACACCCCCACTGCACGCACCCACCTTCAAAATTCGATCACTCATGCCACACTATATACAACACTCCCCACCACACTCACACCACAGCATACGTCACATTGGGTAGGGTGAAGTAGAGTGGAGTAGAGTGGAATACAGCGGAGGGGCCATTAGTACAATACAGAAGAATAGAGTAGAACTGAGTACAGTAGAATTGAATCGAATTGAGTAGAATAGAGTAAATGGCAGTAGAGCAGAATTGAGTAGAATAGAGTAAAAGGCAGTAGAACAGAATTGAGTAGAATAGAGTAAATGGCAGCAGAATAGAAATAACCATGGTTGAGTTGTAATAATCTTCTAAATCTGGTGGTATTTGGTTAACAAACGATATGCTATTTGAACTTTCTGTACGGTATGACTTGTGATGTTGAGATGTTATTTAAACTTTCCGTACGGTGTGACCTATGATGTTGAGATGTTATTTAAACTTTCCGGACGGTATGACTTGTGATGTTGAGATGCTATTTTTGAAACCTTGTATCCTGGCTTCTTCAATATTTTGTTATTTCTTAGATTTCACGTGTAATTCGGACACCTAGAGGGGCGGCACTATTAGTCGGAGTAGGAGGATCTGGCAAACAGTCACTAACAAAACTAGCATCCTTCATTGCGGGCTATACTTTTTTTCAGATTACAATCACTAAGTAGGATTTTATATATTTTTATTTTACTTCTAATGTTTAATTATATTGGACGTAACAAACGTTTTTTTTTTTTTAATAGGACGGAACTAACGTAATTTTTTTTTAAATTGGACCAAGCATACGTTATTTTTTTAATTTGACGGACAAGCGTAATTTCTTTTTATATTGGAACGAGCAAACGTATTTTTAGCGCATTTTCCTTAACTCGTCATTTCTGGATGGATGGATGGGTGGATGTGTGTCCGCAGCTTTATGTCGTATCTCCTCCTCACCGAATAATATCGAGGACTAGTTCCAAAAGCAAATATGTTAAGAAAGTTCCGAGGATGATTGTGGGCCAAAACGATTCCGGAATACCTTCCTGGATTTCCAGGAAAAGCCAAAAAACCTCGAAAAAATGCAGTTTTTGGCCCATATCTCGGCAATTAGACCACTTAGCGACTTGAAACATTTACCACATTTACCAATCGATTCCTGCCATAATTTAGAACAATATTGCAGAAGAAAGTTTTCAAAAATATCCTTTCGTTCGGTCACAAAAAACTAATTAAGGAAATTGCGCTTAAATTGTCACTAGACTTTTTATTAACTTGTTTTTAATTAGACTGAGAATACGTAAATATTTTTTTTGGATCGAGTAAACGAATGTTTTTTTCAAAAGTTCGGAGCAAATTTAATATTTCAAAATAACTTTAGACACTGAATATAAAGGGTTTGATTAAATTGTGAGAGTGTGTGATGTTTGATTAGATTGGAGATGTGTGATGTTTGATTATATTGGAGGGTGTGTGTGTGTGATGTTTGATTATATTGGAGTGTGTGTGATGTTTAATTACATTGGAGAGAGTGTGTGAGATGTTTGATTGCATGGAAGATAATGTGTGTGATGTTTGATATATGTTGGAGTGTGTGTGTGATGTTTGATTACATTGGAGGGATGTTGTGTGATGTTTGATTAAATTGGAGTGTGTGTGTGTGATGTTTGATTAAATTGGAGGGTGTATGTATGATGTTTGATTACATTGGAGAGAGTGTGTGTGAGATGTTTGATTGCATTGAAGATAATGTGTGATGTTTGATATACGTTGGAGTGTGTGTGTGTGATGTTTGATTACATTTGAGAGTGTGTGTGTGATGTTTGATATACGTTGGAGTGTGTGTGTGTGTGTGATTTTTGATTGCATTGGAGAGACTTTCTGACGATGCCAACCATTTGAAAATTAAGCAATCATTGTCCTTTTTTTTTATAGCAAAAACGACAATGTCTATTTTGTGCTCTATCTGATGTTTTTTAGGGCTTATAACATAAACAACTTAATGGATGACTTAAAATTTCTGTACCGTGTGTCGGGACAACAAGGCAAAGGAGTGACATTCATCTTTACAGATAATGAGATCAAAGATGAGAGCTATCTAGAGTACATTAACAATGTTCTCAGCTCAGGCGAGGTAAGGAAATAAAGAAAGAAATTGAGTGGTAATGCGAGGAAATAATAATAAAGACAATAAGAGGTGAGGAAGTAATGAAATAGAGTCCTTTCATATGACGTCACGTCCGTTCGTGAATGTAAACATCCGCCATCGCGGTGTACAGATCTACATTCAAAATGGTGATCTGTGCGGTGAAAGGTTGTGATACTCGAAGTGGCAGATCTAAAGGGATTCCTTTATTTCTACTGCCAAGGGTTATGTTAAACCAAGATGATAGAGATCGACGGTTAACAGAACGTAGACGCCGTCAATTTTTAGCCAATATTTATCGCAGCGGTGTGAGTGAAGCAGCGGCAAATTACATGCGAATCTGTTCTCGACACTTTGTTTCAGGTAAGGACAGTAAAATAATAAACTTCATTTTAATTATAAAAGATAACTATTAATAAAACAAATATGCTCCACCTTCACAAATACTATCAGTAAAAGACAAAGTCAAAAGTAATAATAAGAATAATAAGATTTAATAGTAATAATAGTCTTTTAATATCTAGATCTAGAATCTAGCTCTAAACATGGCGTAAACAAAATTCGGACCACCGATCTAGATTCTGGATTTAGAGTGACTGGCTCCGCTGGGTAGACATAGAATCTAGAATCTACTTATTTACTTAAATTTAATTACAAAATTTAGATCTACATTCCATTCAAAATACCCCCATAATAAATCAAAAGTATTCATAATAATAAAGCATTTAGTTGTCTCTAAGATCTAAAATCTCGCTCTATAATCTAATCATTTTTTTAGCCAACGAAATTTTCTAAAATTGAAATAGATTGTATGACTAGACTTAGATCTAGAATCTGCTACTTTAATTACATTTTTAAAAGTTTATACAAGCATGCAGTTGATATTATTGTAGTAGAAGGCTTTAATAAATTACTAAGGCCTACCTACTTTGTGTCTTTTTACAGCAATATGTATCTGATTATGGACTGAGTTTAATTAAATTCAAATGCATATCTAGTAATTAGTCTACTAAGTTTATGTAGCCTAGTAGTAGAATCTAGATCATACCAGCCAACAACAATTAACCACATTATTATTATTTGGTTAGTGATTAGGCTAATTTTTTTTTTAAATCCCCTGTTTATAAAAGAAACAAATCAAGCTAGAAACATTATAAGTGAGACGGTTTAGATTAATAACAATGGACCCAGTCTACAATGGATACAATTGCAGGTCTACATAGGGCCTACAGTCTAGTAGTTTACAGTAGGCACCTAGTGTGTAGCTAGTATACTAGTGTGTAGCTGTCCAGAGTTAAAATTCTTGGATGTAAAAAGGGCTGGTACTAACTAATCTGCTTTAATGCTTCCCCTGATAAGCCACGTGTGCTATAAATGACATAACATGACATCGAGGTGAGAAATGTTGAGTGGAGAGCAGTGGGACTTTCCCCTTTGTTCTCCCTGCTGGGCCCTGAGGGTCAAAATTATATAAGAGATACTATCTCTGTGGGGCTGGGTATCACGGAGGTGAGAAATTTTCAGGGGAGGGCAGTGGTACTGACTCCTCTTTGGTTTTATTGTGGGCTAGAAAAAGGTGGGGGCTGGCCATCATGAGGGTTAAACATCAGTATTAATGTGTCTGATCACTTCCCTGCTGGATTATAAGGGTCTTAAATTGTAGAACTATAACATGCTACCCAGATTGGCTGTGGTTTATTACCCATGAATTATATTAGTCGTTGTAGTGTGGGTTTTGTAGGAGTTAAGTGGTCTCACGTTTGCTACAGTAGATAACCTATAATATATTACTGCATTTGATCAGATTCGTCTATTTAAACTTTAAACGCAAACAATATTACTAACAGTATTTTTATTTAGAAATTTCGGCCACATATTTATATTATCCACGAAACTGTCAATAACAGTATAAGGATCTTCAATTCCTAAGAGTTTTTTAACGTATTGTTCCTTTTCCGCGGGTGCGGTTCTTTACATACAGTGAACACGTCCAGCGCTGGTGAACAAAAAATAATGACTTGGAAATTGAGAAGTGAAGTAACAAAACACTTGAGGTGCTGATTGAATGGTGATGTAAAAAAAAAAACCACGAACGAAATGGAATTTATATAGAAAACATACTTTTAACAGTGTCCCCCCCCCCCCAAAAGAAAATCTAATGCACTTCCTGAGAAATAAACCGGGATGATCTCCCATAAACTTTCTCGAATATCTATATATAGATCTATATGAAGACCATAGAAAATGCCACGCAGCTTAGCCACCACCCTAATCCCCACCTGTCAGGTGAGCTGTGGTTCATTCCGAATGTTTACAATCGTAGAGCCGGGTTAGTGACGGCTATTAGGGGCAGATAATTTAGTATTAAACGATTTGAAACGAAGGGGAGGTAACAATTTCTGATTGATCTTTTCTTTGTCTGTCAACGGCTGCTTTCACTGCACGGGAGGGAAGGGGTGGAAGGGCGGGAGGGGATAGTGTTGAGTTGACAAATTATGAATTGCTGATAGGCAGAAAATAAAAAAAAAACTAGATGGCGGCGTATACTACGTCGCGGGTCAGCTCGTTCTTATATAAAACAACAGGGAATGGTAAATCGGGATATAGACATTATTTTAATCCATTTTTAATTACTTAAACTTTTTAAAATGGAAAAGAATCTCGTAGAAAAAAGAATTGCACACCAAGTGAACGCCAAACAAAATGTGCTTAATAGTGCGCAATATTATTAGTACTTTATAATTTGACATGCGTTTTTTGAGAAATCGGAAATAGCATAAATTATTACTTTCGTTCAACGGAAATTATTCAAAATTGGTCAGAAGGCAGAGAATTAGATCTTTTACTTACATGTGAAATTTCATTTATCTATCTGAAATAGCACTCAAGGTATAGGCTTTTGAAAAATTGAAAGTAGAAAAGGTTCCACTTTCGGTTATCGGAGATCGCTCAAAAGTTGATACGGATCTACGATTTTTGATATAAGACTTATATATGAAATTTCGATTGTAGGAAAAAAAGTCACAGGAAAAAAAAAACACAGGAAAAAAAAAAACACAGAAAAAAAGTCACAGGAAAAAAAGTCACAAATATATATTTGCATGATATTTGTTAATACTTGTATGTATTAAATATTTAGAGAGTGCAAATTAACTTAGGATTAATTAAATGTAATGTAATGTGTGTAGGCTGTATACGCATAGTAATTTTTATAATTCATCTAAAAATATTTATTATGAAGTATGTAGATTGTAATTATTTTAAAGTTAAGATTAGTAGCATTTAGAATGCTCCTAAGTCCACGTTTTTCATCGTGTTTTTTTTAAAAATACCAATATTAAATTACCGTGAAATGGTAAGTTTATCTGACTTGCTGCCCTCAACTCATCGCAACAATTGTTATAATTAGTTCAACCACCTTTACTGCCCACATTTATCATGCTCATTACATAACAAAACTTAGGATCAAAACAGAAAGCCGACAAGGTTCAAAGGCTGTCATTGACGCATAACGTCAACAACACAGAATATGTTGGACAATGCCTACTGAGGAGAGGCCGACCAGAGAATAGCCTGCGGCAAAATGTGCCTAAATTTCTTTTATAATTAACTTTTCTACCGCGTATTTAACTAAATAGGCCTACGCAATAAAAGTTGAGATTGTTGTGTTAATTATCTTAGAGTATTTTTACTTACAATTGTTATAAATCATAATGCTTTTAACGTCTATAAATAATTTATGCTATCAAAAAATACAAACCACAACAATAAACATACAAAATTTTACAATTCTTAACAAATTAATAAAAATATTTCTAAAAGATTTTTGTGCCTTTTTTTCTGTGACTTTATTTCTGTGACTTTTTTTCCGATAAAATTTTTCCACTGTGACTTTTTTTCTGTGACTTTTTTTCCTAGCAAAAACTGTGACTTTTTTTCTGTGTTTTTTTTTCCTGTGACTTTTTTTCCGTTTACCGAAATTTCACCAACCTAGCTGTAACGGTACTCAAGTTATCGTGTTTACACACACACTCACACACACACACACACACTTTATTTTAGACTAACCGTATGTTTTTGCAGAGGCTATAATTGAAGATTCTTTTTCTTACCTTTTATAAGATTTATTGATTTCGTACTATAACGCGTCAGTCGAGCTCTTGAAATCAGGAAATGATAAGCCCTGCGTCAGTCGAGGTTATAATACCATTTCTGTCAGCACATTTTATTTAGACTTTTAAGAAAATTGTTCAACCCATGTGGGCTGGTGAAATAAAAGATGGAATGGTAACTAAAGACATGTAATACTTAGAGCAGGGGTTCCCAAACCTGTGCCCGCGGGCACCGTGGCGCCTGCTGAGCGATTCGTATGTGCCCGCCTCTCACTATTCGACAGAGACAGAATTTTTTTCATAAAAATTATTTTAAAATATGATTTATTTGTATTCATTTGTTACAGTTTTAATTTTTTTGACTGCCTATAGGTTTATTAAATATGTTCGATACTTGTCCCAACTTGTTTAGCGGCGAGCCAGACTGTGCTATTTACGTTTTGTAAATACATTTCTCAGTGTGTGAATGCAATTTGAAAAAAATGCCAAATATTTTTATTATTTTGAAACATTTTTGTTTAATACATTATGACTATAAGAAAATAAGAAAATAAATTATGGGAAAATGACAAGTTATGGAAGGAGTTTGTCGATTTAAAATAGGTGGTGCCCGCCACCCTACCGATATTTTAGAATGTGCTCTAGATTAAAAAAAAAAAAGTTGGGAACCCCTGACTTAGAGGATACAATTATTATTTAACACTTTCCAGATTTCAAACCTATTTGCTCGAGATGAAATTGATGAGATTTCGGGTGAACTTATAGCTCCTATGAAAAAAGAATTTCCGAAGCGTCCGCCAACTCAAGAAAATTTGTACGAGTATTTTATGTCGCGAGCTCGATCCAATCTGCACACTGTGTTGTGCTTTTCTCCCGTAAGTTAATTAACTAGACCAGTTAGCTGATTAAAAAACAGAGACGTTTTGTAGCTTATGATCATTAGATTATTGATAAAACAATACCACGTTTTTAAGTTTCATGATCATTAGATTATTGAAAACAAAACAATATACCTTCTTTTTGTTTATGGTAATTAGAATATAGTTTTGTCTCTAAAGAACTAATGTTCATGCACAGGTGGGAAACAAATTCCGCATGCGCTCGCTCAAGTTCCCAGGACTGATATCCGGCTGTACAATGGACTGGTTTAGCAAATGGCCTCGTGAGGCCCTAGTAGCTGTGGCCACCCACTTCCTAGGGCCGTACAACATGGAGGCAACCAATGATGTCAAAGGGAATCTAATCGAGATCATGGGCACGGTGCACGATGGCGTCGCTCTTGTCTGTATAGAATACTTTGATAGGTACGTTAGACGTAACGCATGTTTGTGCAAACACTTACAGGTATTTGACAAGGAGTATGATCAATGAATGCACATCACACTTTTGCACTACGTGAAATTGTTTGTTCAATGATTATAGACAGTACCTTAAATTGATTTACTGGTTTCTTCAATACGAATGTAGTAGAATTTAAAAACAAAAACAAGTTCAAACCTCCTCTCGGACAAAATATATTTTTAAAAAGATCAACAATTAGGTTTATACGAAGAAAAAACATTGAAAATAAAAATTACATTATAAAATAAACAAACACTAATTTAAATGTGTCCCAAAACATGTTGGCCTATCAGCCTACCGCCACTTTACAAACTAACCCCTTCACAGCTTATACGGAAATTTGCTATATACATGTAAGCTAGCCGTACCGGCAAGATTCTGCACTGGCATTTGAGTTCGACTTCAACTTGTGCTCATTAAGCAGCCTATGCTATGCGCTGCCTCAGGTTTAAGAATATACAATTTTTCCAATTAAAGGTCTATATATAATTATATACGTTTGAGTAAATATAAACGCAAGTATAAACACAAACGCAAATACTTTAAAAATAACGCAAACAAAAAACAAACGCAAACATAAACGCAAAATAAAAAAAAAAATGGTAATACAAATACACACAACGGGGTAGACTGGACTAAACTAGACTGGACCAGACTGGACTAAACTGGACTGGTCAGGACTAGACTAGACTAGATTAGACTAGATAGAAGTAAAAATGGGAATCCCATTAATGTGTCTTAAATTAACATATTTTCATAATATTAAAACGAAAACAAATTCACTGTTAAAAAAGACGTGTTTACATTCAACTTAAAGCATAACCGAAACACGATACTTAAATATAGCCTAGTCATAAAGCTGACCTAAAGCTCTGATGGAAAACAATTAACCTATGTTTCAAACGTGTTTCAAATCTATATATATATATATATATATATATATATATATATATATATATATATATATATATATATATATATATATATATATATATATATATAATTCTCTTCTGGGAGCCGCTAGAAAACAAGCTGTAAACGCGATCCCTACCTCCCCACCCCTACATGATCTTAGTGAGCTGTGTTCACTCTAAATGTTTACAAGCAGAGCCAACGATTTTAAACGTAAGGGGGGGGGGAGAGGGGGGAAGGAAGAGGGGGGGTTATGGTCCTTAACGAGCTACTTATAGTATTTTTTTAAAGAAATATTTTCAGTGGCAGCATTGGTACTGTCGAATTCACAAATTATGAATTACTGAAAAGTAGAAAATAAAACAAATAAATAGCGGCGTATGGTATGCCGCGGGCCGGCTCGTATATATATAATTCTCTTCTTAGATACCCTAGAAAACACCAAGCTGTAGGCGCGCCTAGCAGTCCCCTGTCTTCCTCTCTAAGCATATCCCTACCACCCCCACCCCCACATGGTCTGGTGAGCTGTGGTTCACGCTAAATGTTTACAGTCGTAGAGCCGGGTTTAGTGACGGCTATTAGGGGCAGTCAATTTAGTTTGAAACGATTTTAAACTTAAGGGAGGTAACTAAGAGGAGGCTGCTTTCACGGGGGGGGGGGGTGTAGGGTAGGGGGTTGGGGGATAGGAGGGTGGGGGGGGGGGTATAGTCCTTAACGACCTACTGATAGTGTTTTAAAGCAAATATTTTCAGTGGCAGCATTGGTACTGTCGAATTCACAAATTATGAATTACTGAAAAGTAGAAAATAAAACAACTAAATAGCGGCATATGATACGCCGCGGGTCGGCTCGTTAATTATATTGACCCTGCCGCATCTCCTATTTATCCGCAGTATATCCTACTTCCCTTATCGTAAATACAACTACTATGAACACCCAAATCTTTCGAATACCCGACTAAAAACTCATTGTGATAATGTTTAATAATTGCTTATTTTAGTATTAAAATAAACCGGGAGTGATCTCCCCTAAACTTTCTCGAATATCTATATATATAATTCTCTTCTGGGATCCGTTAGAAAACAAGCTGCAAGCGCCTCCTTGCAGTCCCCTTTCTTTCTCTCTATCACCATCACTACCACCCAACCCCACCCCCACATTGTCTGGTGAGCTGTGGTCATGCTATTTACATTTTACAATCATAGAGACGGGTTAGGTGACGGCTATTAGGGGCAGATAATTTAGTTTGAAACGATTTTAAACTTAGAGGAGGTAACTAAGAGGAGGCTGCTTTCACGTGGGGGGGGGGGGGGGAGGGGGTTTAGTGTTTTTAAGCAAATATTTTCAGTGGCAGCATTGGTACTGTCGAATTCACAAATTATAAATTACTGAAAAGTAGAAACAAAAATAGCGGCGTATGATACGCAGCGGGTCTGCTCGTTCTTATATAAAACAACAGGGGATGGGAACTCGGGCTATAGACATGATTTTTAATCCATTTTAAATACTTAAGTTTTAAAAACAGAATAAAATCTCGTAGAAAAAAGATTGCACACCAAGTGAACGCCAAATAAAAAAGTGCATAATAGTGCGCAATATTATTAGTACTTTAAAAATTTACATTAGTTTTTTGAGAAATCGGAAGTAGCGTAAATTAGTACTTCCGGGCAACGGAAATTACTCAAAATTTGACAGAAGGTAGAGAATTAGATCTTATACTTACATGTGAAATTTAATTTATCTATCTGAAATAGTACTCAAGTTATAGGCTTTTGAAAAATTCAAAGTAGGAAAAGTACCACTTCCGGTTATCGGAAATCGCTCAAAAGTTGATACGGATCTACGATTTTGATAAAATACTTATATATGAAATTTCATCAACCTAGCTGTAACGGTACTCAAGTTATCGTGTTTACACACGGACAGACACACACACACACAGACATACGGACAGAATTGCAAAGCCCAGTTTTTCAGACTGGATTACGCATAAAACCTCTTAATTTTGATAAATCTGGATTGATAATTTTTGCCCGATTAAAATAAGTCCTCTATACTTCGGATGTGATGAAGGACTGAGGTGTAATACGGTGAAAATTGTTAAAATTTCAATTGATTTTTGTGCACGATTACAATACTTTCTCTATACTTCGTATATACGAGAAAGTAAAAAAAGTGTAATAATTGATTTCAAAATCTTGTAATCTTATATGTCTTTGTTTTAAGGTTTCGGCGTCAAGCTAACGTAACCCCTAAATCATATTTGTCTTTTTTGGATGGCTACAAACAACTTTATACAGCAAAGGTAGCAGTGGCGCAGCGAGGGGGTGGGGGTGCGGACCACACCGGTTGACACCATTTAGGGGGGTGACACCAAGGCAAAACATAGCAAAATATATAGAGAAAAATTATAATTCCACTTAATTAAGTGATTAATTCGAGTGTTAAAAAGTCTTTTAAGAGCAAAGTTGACAAATCCCAACAAGGGTGGAGGGTGGGGGGGTGCAAATCGAAAGTTTGAGGGGGGATGCAAATCGAAAATTGATAGATTGTCCCAGGGCGCCGGGAAGGATCGCTACTTGTCTGGGGGGTGACACCATTAAGTGCCGCACCGGTTGACACCCGACCTCGCTTCGCCACTGAAAGTTAGTCAGTCAATCATACTCATACACACTCAGAGAGCCGCATATTATTCCCGTTTTTTAATTTGTCTTGACAAACAGTAAAAGGGTGACTTATTAAAATGGAACACAATAAAACAACTTACCCTTTATAAACTAATGGGATATCCCTTTAATTTCCAAACACTTTTTGTCTTTAGTCTTCTAGTTTTGAGAAAAATGATATTTTCTTTTTGAGATTATTTTATGCTTATCTATCGTGACATGATTTTAAAATCCTAAATATAAGGGGAATTGAGGTGGATTAAAGCTTTCATATTGTTATACGTGATAATAGCAGTAACTCAAAAATTTCAAACGTTGGACATTTGTGGTTTATCACGTGTTCTTTATTTATTAAACTCATAATTTTATCTTTAATAAATTAAAAATATAGTAAAAAGAAAGCAATGATTAATTGAAGTAGTACACACTTATCTGATTGACTATTCTAATATAGCTGTAAGATAACTTAGCATCGCGGTATGCTCTAATGACACTTATACATGGACCATCCTAAGGTTGAAGAGTTGAAAGAACTAGAAAGAAAAATGAATGTTGGCCTTGAAAAATTAGCAGAGGCCGCCGAATCTGTGGATTCATTAAGTAAAGAGCTGATTGTAAAAGAGAAGGACTTGGAAGTGGCAAATAAAGCTGCAGACAAGGTATGAACTAGGACAAGAGACATGCAACCACTTCATTCACATAAACACTAGCGTTAACTCAAGTTACTCAACCTTTTAAACATTCATTCACCCCATTTTCAATTTCATAATGCAGTATTATTTATAACGAGTATAATTTCTAAATATGAACATAATTAAAAAGATTTTAGTTAGGTCACAAATGATATAAGTCTGTGGATTTGTTTCTGGTCAGCTTTTGTACCATCAACTTTGTTTAAACTTTCAAGATACATTTTGTTTTCGTAAAACCAGCAGTTTCATTTTAATAGTTTGACGAGACGGGTTATTTTTATTACAAGCTTTTATTTAACTCACTTCCTCGTCAGTCTGTCGTCAGTCTAGATAGAAACGCAGGAGTGAAAATTCGGACAGTTCTACTTGACCGATACGATTCACAGTTGGCACGTGGGTCAAGACATGAAGACAATGCAATCTGAAACTAAATTTGACTTAATTGGATGCCTAATTAATTTTTTATGAATTAATTAAAATTATCACCGAATTAGTAGGCATGTCTATCCAACCACACCACACGCGTCATCACGTTCAATAGGTGCGCCATCAGGATCAATAGCTGCGCCATCACGTTCAATAGACGCGCAATGGTTTTTAGTCATGTAACACTATTGTAAATAATACATGTAAAGTACTGAAAAAAATTTCATTAAAAAAAACGTTTTAATAACATGCTTTTATGTACTAATGCACTAAAAAGTAGAAAATAAATTATACACTACTATTTAAATTACTATAAAGAAAAGCGTGGGTCTCTTCTCAAGTATTAGTAAAGGTATCCAATAGGTACTAAAGTACCAAAGTGACCCGTGCATACGCCGACACCCCGACATGGTGCGATTTGGTGCCCCGTGCTATCATATATGCGGAATGGCACCTGCGTTCGTCTAAAAGAGCACCCTACATTATTGACACGTTGACACACGAAATTCGATGATTAAATCGAGGGCGCCCTTGTAGTAATGTAACCGGGGCTGTCGAGAGCGCCCCTCTTTGTCCCTGACACTTGGGCGGTCGCCGAAGTGTATTCTACCTCATTATTACGGCGAGTGATCAAAGTACACTATAGGCTTTCATACAGCACGCCCTAGGGGTTGTAGTGTGGACGAACCCGTGCCCCGACAAATATGATCCAAGAAATATAGCGCAGGCTTTGTTTACATCTTAAAAAACTCAGTTTTAGAAAACATGATCATACGTCTAAGAATATAGGATTGGTAACTCACTTTCTTCTCAGATTGCAGCGCGAGGACGGGCACGCTAGCAGAATATAAAAACACTATTTAAAAATTAAATCGCTGTTTTTATTGCACTGCAGAGAAAGAACAAACTTTCTTTACATTCGTTCTTAAAATTGGGTCAGATATTTTATGAGCCACATTCGCGACAATTAAAGAAAGGAAAAGTCATGTCATTTTAATTTTTAATGCAATTTATAGCTAATTGATTATTTAATTTTATTTTTAAAATTAGTACTGGATATACATAGATATTTTTTTTTAAATTGCGTAATGGTTATTTTCCATTTTAATCACATTTAAAAAACTATTTGTTCTGCATTTGAGGTAAGATGGCTTGGATTTTGCAAACATACATTTATCTCATAAACATAGTTTCGAGGTCGTATGGTCAAGCGAATTTTCGTTGAGGAGAATTTGCCCTCTTCTTCAAACCGATAATGTTTAGGGCGTTTTTGTTAAATGCCCTATTAATGATGACTGTATTGTTTTGTAGGTTTCGTTGCGAAATGTAGATGAGAACAATATAATCCCCATCTTTTGGCTTTTTGAACTGCTTGTCTATTAGTCATTTAATCCACATCGTTTACTTTTTGAACTGCTTGACTATTTGGAGTAATATAATACCCTTCGTTTGACTTTTGAATAGCTTGTCTATTTGGAGTAATATAATCCCCATCGTTTGACTTTTTGAATTGCTTGACTATTTGGTGTAATATAATCCCCCATCGTTTGACTTTTTGAATTGCTTGACTATTTGGTGTAATATAATCCCCCATCGTTTGACTTTTTGAACTGCTCGACTATTTGGAGTAATTTAATCCCCCATCGTTTGACTTTTTGAATTGCTTGACTATTTGGAGTAATATAATCCCCCATCGTTTGACTAATACTCCAATTAGATCGTTGCCGAAGTTGCAGTTATGGCAGAAGCTGCAGAAAAAGTAAAGGCCTCTGTTCAAAAAGTAAAAGACAGAGCTCAATCCATTGTGGATGAAATAGCAGCAGATAAAGCTGTGGCTGAGGTCAAATTGGAGGCTGCTAAACCTGCACTACAGGCGGCTGAGGATGCTCTCAAGGTGAGATTTTTCTCTCAACATAGCGATTGATACCTCAGTACTAAAATTTGGTTGGATTTTTATTGTTTTCGTTCAGCTGCTCGCCCGAAAGTCTAGAGTTCGCATCTCTCAATCTCACCTTTGGGAAAGTTATGGCGGCTAGGCATAGTGCTTACCACACTATCCTTACATATACCGAGGTCAAGAAACTTATAACTCTACTTCATCCGCAGTAGTAATCGTCAGGTCTGTAACAGACAACTCTTCAGAAATTTTTATTTTTTTTATTTTCAAAATTTAGTATGGTGAAGTACCATTAAAATTATTGGTAAATTTAATGGTATTTTACCATAGAAAATTTTGAAAGTTCGAAAAAAAAAATTTCTCGAGTGTTTTTTGTTACAAAAACTAGCTAGCTGACTCTATTAGAGTTATTTAAATAAGGATCAATGATTATATGATCAATATATATGTTGGTTGTTAAACCGTGGGACCTCCACAAAAGGTCGTTTTTCGATATGGCCACCGTTTCCATGGCAACCATATGTTAAAAAGAGTCCCTGATATGTTCCCATAAATACCTTAACTTAGATACACGCAAATAATTTAAAAAAAAATGCTTATTAATTAAAACGCATTTTTCGCGTGTTTTTTTCTCCGGAGCCTTCCCTTAATTAAAAGCTAAAATTCTATATACCCAGACAATCAAGCCGTCGGATATTGCCACTGTGAAGAAACTGGGCAAACCACCGCATTTGATAATGAGGATTATGGACTGCTGTCTCTTCTTGTTCAGAAAAAGAATTGATAATTTGGAACCTGACCCAGAGCGACCGTGTCCAAAACCAGCATGGCAGGAAGCACTTAAGGTTTCAATTGTTTTGTAACATACTAGCACTCATGCCATGCAGCCATTTCAAACATCTGTGTTACCAGTGTGGGTGCTACAGTATAGCAAGGGCAAACTCAAAATTATTGTAAACCTAGAACGTTTTGCAGTCGCCTAACGACGGACATAGATAACATTTAGAAATACATTTTCGAAATTGTATTTGCATACATCTTTGCCTTCAATTTGGTAGTAAGACAATTCTAGAGTTTTGGTTGCAATTAAAAAAAACAATATAGAAATGAACTGAGTAGATTTACAAACTACTTCCACGTCATTTAGCGCTACATAACACAATATTTCTGTGGTGTTTGAGTACGATATACTGTGCGATATAAAGTTATCTGATAATCATGTTGAAATCATTCGTTTATCATGTAACAGTTTTAAAACTACGGATGTCAATAGATCTTTTTTATCATTAATTTTAGCTCATGGGCCAGATGAGTTTTTTGCAACAGCTAATGGACTTCCCGAAAGATACAATTACAGGAGAAACAGTTGAACTAATGGAGCCTTACATGCGGATGGAAGATTACACATATGAATCAGCCCTCAAAGTAAGACCACACAAATGCTAAGACCAAGAGAGAAAACATTCGAATAGACAACGAAATATATCATTTTAAGAAAATGCACGAGATGTAGTGTAGTGGTTATTATGGATTTGTATGCTTCAATAATGTAAGATGCACTGTAGTGGTTGTTGTGGATTTGTATGCTCCCTTAATGGACGAGATGTACTGTAGTGGTTATTATGGATTTGTATGCTTCAATAATGTAAGATGTACTGTAGTGGTTGTTGTAGATTTGTATGCTGCCTTAATGTACGAGATGTAGTGTAGTGGTTATTGTGGATTTGTATGCTTCCATAATGTAAGATGTACTGTAGTGGTTATTGTGGATGTGTATGCTCCCATAATGTACGAGATGTAGTGTAATGGTTATTATGGATTTGTATGCTTCCATAATGTAAGATATACTGTAGTGGTTAATCTGGATGTGTATGCTCCCTTAATGGACGAGATGTACTGTAATAATTATTATGGATTTGTATGCTCCCATAATGTAAGATATACTCTAGTGGTTATTATGGATTTGTATGCTCCCATAATGTAAGATATACTCTAGTGGTTATTATGGATTTGTATGCTCCCATAATGTAAGATATACTCTAGTGGTTATTATGGATTTGTATGCTCCCATAATGTAAGATATACTCTAGTGGTTATTATGGATTTGTACGCTCCCATAATGTAAGATATGGTTTCTTAAATTCTTATCATGAGTATTGCTGATATTATTGTATGACATAGAAATATCTTTGTCTAAACTAACTCTTTAAATAATACTTAATTTCTACCACGGACCACGAAACCTATATAAATGACATTTTAAACGCATGATTTATTTACGTAGTTGCGATTGTTATAGAAAATTCTTTGGTACAAAATGTTCGCTTTTAAAACATGTTTAACAGAGATTGAATTTTCGAGTCGTTTAATGCAGCTAGTACACATTGTGTAAATAGATTAACATTATTAAAATAATTCCATTAACAATTTATTGTTTGAATATCACATACTGGCTACTTAAGAGTCCTAAATTTCTGTCAGAAGAAAGAATGTCAACTGGATCATAAACAAAGGCTCACTAAGTATAATTTGTGAAAGAATGTCTATCCTACTTTGTGCAGGTTTGTGGTAATGTCGCTGGTCTTCTGTCTTGGACAAACGCAATGGCGTTTTTTTATGGCATCAACAAGGAAGTGTTGCCATTAAAGGTAATCCTGCTAGTTGTGTCGCAGCCTTTTTCTCCTACCTATTTCATGGCACACACTCAAAACAAAAATCAACCCTTGTTCTGTTCATTTCCATAATTTTATTGGTTCATAAGAACATTACCTTCACTCCCAAATATCGCCATGTTGTTTCCGCGCTATCTACCTCTCGCTTCCTTTCCTTCGCGCATGCGCACACCCACCTTACATTTTAGATCCATATCGCCTTTTTAAGATACACACTCGAAACATAGTACATACATTCATCTACATTTAACTGTTACAAGTTGTTTGATGCCATTAAAGGTAATCATGTTAGTTGGTTATTATGTTAAGCTTCTAAGAATAGATTAAAGGTTTTAATTATAGTTGCAAATGTTTATATATAAATATAAATAAATAAATATATATATATATATATATATATATATATATATATATATATATATATATATATATATATATATATATAATTTACGGTCAAAGCCCCAAGTGCGACCAAAGCCCGCATTGGCCGGCCCATGCGCGCACTGGCTGGGACAAACTGGCCATAGTCCGAAAACTTTTCACTTGATAGCGTATTTCCTACATTGCCCGGCCAATGCGCGCACTGGTCAGGACGTGATGGCCCAAGTTCGAAAAGTTTAAAATGGACAAAGTATTTCATACATTGGCCAGCCAATGCGCGCTGGCCGGGACGTGGTGGCACAAGTTCGAAAAGTTTAAAATGGACAAAGTATTTCATACATTGGCCAGCCAATGCGTGAACTGGCCGGGATGTCCTATCTAGACTAAGTTGTGATCGAGTTTTCATTATTCTGGGTGCGGTTTCATTGTGAGTAATGTATTGTTTGTATGGCATTCTATATGCAATGCGACATGGACCAAAAAGGCCGTCAGACCAAGTGACAGACATACTAGATGGCTGCCAAAATAAATAATCCAAATCTTAATAGAAGAGAATTTGTGAATCAAGTTATTTCTCAACTAAAGAACATGTTGCCTGAACTGACACTAGTTCACGGAAATCCTAGGCATAGCTAAAGCCAAGGTTCTTTTCATCAAAGAATCTAACAATGGCCAAACGAAGTCTTGTTTGGATGCAAAAAAAAGTGGGACTTAGCACTTCTAATCTACAAAGTGAGGCTCTCGATAATTTAGTTACTGATGAAGATCTTGAGAACACTGAACAAGAAATGGAGGTTGCCATAAATGCAACTATATCCTCAGCTAACACATATGCTGTAGTGCAGCCCATACTTGTAGATCCTGTGGCAACGATGTCCAACGATGCAATTCTAAATGCCATAAAAGTTCAACTTGTTGTAACAAGCGATAATATTGATTGGGACTATAGTACAATAAAGTAATTTAAAATGTTTCTGTCATTTACTTTAATTATCAAAAAAGACTTAATTTCGTGATCCTTACGGTATGAAAAAAAATCTAAATCTGCTCATGATCCTCTGATTCGGAATTTGGCAGTTCGTCCCTAGCCAGATGATCTTCTAATTAGGACTTTGGCCGGTCCACCATGGTCAGTCAATATTGGCCAATACGTGCATTGGCCGGCCAATGCGTACTTTGGCTGACTTTGGGCGTTGACCGTAACATATATATATATATATATATATATATATATATATATATATATATATATATATATATATATATATATATATATATATATATATATATATATATATATATGGTTCCATGACAAATGATCTCAAGGACCAATGATCTCACGTTCAAAAGATCAAAAGATACCAGGACAAAATATATCAGGACAAATGATATCATAGACAATTGATCTCAGACAAAATATCCTCACAACAAAATATTTATAGTATTTAGGATTATTTTTAGTCGATTTTACATTTTTTAATTGAATGTCATATTATGCAAGTATATATATATATATATATATATATATATATATATATTAGGGGCGTCAAATCGGTAGAGATAATGCAGGAAGCTTAGTGCGATATAATGCTTTTACAATCCCACTTATAGAATTAACACTTTTGGGTTGTAATTGTGTATGAATTTGTGAATTAATTCGAACTAATTTAGGTCTATTTTGTAATTCCTATATTAGGCAAATTTGGTCAAGCAAGAGGCGCGTCTAAAAACAGCAAGCAAAGAATTGTCGGAAGCTCAAGCGACACTTGACGAGAAGCAGGCAGAACTTAATATAGTTCAGGCCAAATATGATGGAGCCATGGCGAAAAAAAAGGTGGGCTTTTAAAAAAAAAAAATTTGTTAACAAGAATCGCTTTAAAATTTTGGATTTTTTTGTTATCATTTATTTAATTTATAAAACTCCCTTCAAAAAGGTAAAATTTAACAATGCCGTACAGACGGAATGACTAACACTTAAGACAGCCCGCTATGGTACCCCAATGTGTTCAATATGTTTCAGGCATTATTGGAAGACGCGGAGTCTTGTCGAAGGAAAATGGATGCTGCAACTAATCTGATTGGTGGTCTTGCCGGTGAGCAAGTCAGATGGTCAGCTCAAAGCCTCGAGTTCAGAGATCAAATCACGCGGTATGTTTTATTATTGAAAGGACAGATTTTTAAAACATATATGCGTCTGTGAGAGAGTACTTTCGTCGTGCGACCAAGTATGCTTGTATGTGTCTATGTAAATGTACACTGGACACAAAAGCAACAAAAAAGCAAGATGTGTCCCTTTCGTTTGTTTCGACAAAAAATGTCATCAATTACTGACAAGAATCCCTTTACAATTCTGTAAAGGGTAGAGTGGCTGAAAACATGGTAGACCCATGCACTGAATAAAGTCAGTGTAGTTACAGAAGAGTCTGGCCAACTTTCCGCACAGTAGCAAAAATCACATCTTTTTGTCACCTGCTTAAGTTTCCCTCACAACATAGAGAAATATGAACATTGCATATACAATACATATGCGCAGATATTCGCAGAAACATACACACATGTAGGCGATGTATGCATATTTCTGTAGCAGAGGCGTCGCGACATGGGTCGGGGTGCGGACCACACAGGGTGAAACAATTTAACGGGAAGGGGGGGGGGTGACACCAAGAGAAAATATTGCAAATATTGCCATTTCAATTAATGATTGATTAGAATTAAAAAGTCTTTTAAGTGAATATACCGAGTTGATGATGGGTGTGTGTGTGTGTGTGTGCATAATTTGACGCCAACTGCAAAATTTACAAAAGAAAAAAATGTTTAAATGAAAATTTTGAATAATCGATATTTCAATCAACAGCTTGGGGGTGGGGAGGGGGTGACGCCATTCTAATAATTTACTACAACAACTATTCTTGTTTTGACTTGAATGGATAGGTGAATTAATATAAACGAGCTCCCATACGCCGCTATTTAGTTCTTTTATTTTCTACTTTTTAGTAATTCATAATTTTTTGAATTCGACACTACCAATTCTGCGACAGTAGCTCGTGAAAGACGATTATCCTGACCCCTACCCCTCTCCCTTCCCCGTGAAAAAAGCAGCTGTCCGTGACGACAGTTTACAGACGACAATGAAAAGATCAAGCAGAACTTGTTACCTATTCTTAGTTTCAAATCGTTTAAAAACTAAATTATCTGTCCCTAATAGCCGTCACTAATTCGATTCCGCTCTACGATTGTAAATATTCGGCGTGAACCACAGCTGAGCAGACTGGTAGGGGTAGGGGTGATAGCGATATGGTCTGTTGCGCATGCCTGGAAGCGTGGTGGTGTCCCGCATGATTGGGCGACGTAGATAATTATATAGATTGTGCACAAATTCTCGCCCTTGGGCAAAATGGGAGGGATTGATACCAATTGCTTTTTATTAGTTTGTTTCGGTGTTGGAAAAAAATAATTTATGATCATAGTTTCGCTATTATGTCTGTCTGTCTGTCTATCTATAGAGGATAACATAAGGAAGAGAAAAACATTCACAGTCAAACGAAAAACGAAACGTGACGTTACATGGAACATATAGTAGGAAATATTCAAAGCAAAATAAAAACTTTCAGTCCAACAAAAACGAAACGTGACGTCACATGGAACATATAGGAAATATTCTAAAACTGGAAAAGTGCTCACAATAATATGATGTCATTGATTCTAGAGTAAATATTTAAAAAAGGCCATTGCCCAAAACAAAATAGACAATAATAATGACGCCATCGATTATTGATAATAAAAACTTTGAATTAGGCACTTGAAATTTTCGGTGGTGGGGGTGGACTAAATTTTCTGGGCGGAAACTGGCAGAAGTATATCTATATATATAAAGAAAAGTGGTCAAATGCCCGACAGGGCACTTTCCGGCGCCGCAGGCGCTTCAAATTTGGCATGAGTCTGCCTTGGGGCGATAGAACACGAGAGCCGGTGCCGGTCGGCCACCAAGTCCACGTAGAGGGGGTCAAAATTGACCTCGACTGACCGGCGCCTTATATGGGCTCTATTACGAAAAAAAAACTTTTGCCCGACGGCCCGGCTTGAAATTTTGTGAGGTGGTAGGAGAACGCCTTGGGGTGTCACAAAAAACTCGCCATGTCCGGGAAAAATCGGGAAATGGGTCAAAACTGACCAGTCGCATTTCCCTATAATCTTTGTATTTTATGGGAAAAACAGAGGGTAATTTCAAAACGAATTTTAAGGCACTTACCGTCTTTACATCTGGCTAATTTTTGGCATGCTTATAGGTAAATGGCTTGGCCGTAGGGCAAATCTGTCGGTTTCACTCAACGCCCTCGACGAGGGCTAAAAAGTGACCGCGAGTGAAATTCTCTTTATATGGGCTCTATTAGGAAAATAACTTTCGTCCGACGACCCTCCTTGAAATTTTGTGAGGTGGTAGGAGAACGCCTTGGGGTGTCACGAAAAACTCGCCATGTCCGGGAAAAATCGGGAAATGGGTCAAAACTGACCAGTCGTGATTCCCTATATAATCTTTGTATTTTATGGGAAAAACAGGGTAATTTCAACATAAAATTTAGGATACTCAACCTCTATTTATCTGGCCATATTTTTGAATGCACCTCTATAGATGACTAGGCCGTATGGAAAAACTGTTGGTCAGACTCAAAGCACTCGACGAGGGCTAAAAAGTGACCGCGAGTGAAATTCTCATTATATAAGATATCTATAAATAAATTGACGAACGATCTCCCTAATATTTTGTGAGGTCGTAGACCGACCCCAGAGGATAACAAAAAAAAACATTATTCCCGTCGAAAAAGCCCCTAGGGTCGTTAGATTTGTCCAGATGATGTATTTTCTTATAACTAATTGTTTGTAAAAAAAGTAAACAAAGACATCCTTCATTCGTTCAATTTTCAAGGGAGGTAACTTTTAAAATAATTATTTTTCAAACAACTGTATGCTATTTTAAACATAAACAGAAAATGACGAAGTATAGCATTTGCTTTAGTAAAACATTCAGTTGTTAAACAAGGTACGTATCCTAATTAAATAAGATAATTAATTTTAAAAGTCAATGTAATATAAATTAAGAGATATACTGTTCATGGAACCTCTGTAGTTCTAATTCCATTTTAGTCATACATTTCGAACTTTCCAATAACTTCTCTGAAACTGGACTTTAAACAACAAAGAACAGCAACAACATTTTCTCTGAAATTAGCACTATTGTTTAAGTTTAAGCCCTCCACACCTCAGCCGTCACTAAATAATGAAGTATTTAAATTCTCTTGAAAACCTAAGCGAAGCTAGGCAGTATGCCTAGTTTTCTAAATAAATTATATTTCCACTACTTATTGAACCGCAGGGACAGGGCAAAATGTGGGATAATATATTCCGTAACAGACTACTTTGTCAACTCTGTCTTGCCTGGAGTATTCCAGAATTAAATTTAAAACAAAAAAATCCCCAGTATACTGAATTCATTCTTATTTTGCCTGTTTTTAAATTGATTGAGGAAATGTGTGAAAACAAGTAAGTCTCACATTAAACAAAGGATCAAAGCCATCAGTTTATATGTAAATGTATGTTTATCTCTATACTACTAAAACTCAAATTTGTTTACATGTTTGAATAATTATTTGTTTTTTTGTTTGTCTGATTGACTACTGGAGAGAATCTGCTCTATGTGGAGAGCTGTAAAATAGTATGTAGGTAGAGAAAAATTTTTGTTTTCAGACAGACTGTTAATCACAATTTTATTTAAAGACGTTAATTAATTAATTGATTTATTCATAGGTAGATTAACCACATTTATTTTAAAAGTTTAAAACATTGACCTTACTTTGTGGGAATAGTGACGTCACATTATTTGTTTACTTTTTAATACAATAAATGGCGGCTTCAATCCAAGATTTAGTTGCCGATTCAGATATTTAACGCGTTCTTAAACTAATTTTCTGTCGGCTATAACTTTAACAATACGTCCGTTTGCTATTTTTATAGATCTAGATCTAGACTCAACGATTTAACGTACATTCTACATCTAGAATCTAGAACTAGAATCATAATATACTAAACTATTTCAGGCCTTAATTATTTTATATAAATCTTTGTTTGCTTAAATATGCAATTGGCTAATTTAAGATAAAATTTAATTTGAAATAATTCTAGTTCTAATTCTAGGGCTTATTCGCGTAGATTCTTACGCCGCTTATCAGTAAATAAAAACTTTTTTTTTTTAAATCAGAAATCACAACTAAATGAAAACTTTACATTGTCAGCATTTTTCTAACTTTGATGACTATTTACTGTAATGCCAACATTTTAGCAACGTTATTTGTACATAGTTCGGTTATGTACTTGCTTTGATTTACGTCTAAATTAAATTCTATCCCAAAATTGGCCAATTCCATAGCTAAACAAAGATTAATATAAAATAATTAAGGCCTGAAATAGTTTACTATATAGATTCTAGATCTAGATTCAAGATGTAGAATTTACGTTGTCTAGATCTAGATCTAAATGTAGAATTCACCTTAAATCTAGTTTTTGCCGTAACTCTAGATCTAGAACCTAGATAGATAAATCTTATGAATTCTCGAATTAGATGATCATTAAAGCTAAAAAGCAAAGATTTATATTAAATATTTAAGGACTAATATTGTCTAATAAAGAAACTAAATAATTTATTGTGGTTTTATAATGGATTTTATTTTGACCTAGATTCTAGATTTTAGATCTAGGTTTGACTTTCTCTGCATCCGATAGCTGATCTCGAGATCTAGAGAAATTAACTGTATATTCTTATTAGAAGAGCCATTGAATATCGATAATAGTGTTGGAACCTAATACAAATAGCAAACGGACACATCATTAAAGCTATAGTCGACAGAAAATTAGCTTTATAATGCGTTAAACTTCTGAATGGGCAACGAAATCTTCGATGGAAGCCGCCATTATTGTTATAAAAAGTAAATACATCATATGACGTCACTATAGGTAAAGTCATTATTCTGAACTTTTAGAATTGATGTTGTTAATCTACCAATGAATGTATGAAATAATTATTTTAATTTGTGATTAACAGTTTGGTCTTCTTCTTCTTCTTCGTTCTTAATTATTAGTGTTGAAGGGGATCGAGATTTATCTGCCAGTGGATTTGAACTCGAGACTTGTTCGAATTTATCAACCATGAGCTTTTTGCCGACTCGACCACGCCTCCAACACAATTAAGCGTTACGTGTCAACTGGTTATGCGCCATTGAGGCCATTGACTCCGATTTCATCCTGCTTTTCTTTTTGGATTTGCTTCCATAGCCTTTGTCCAACCAAGAACAAACTACAAGGCAGCAGTTGTTTAATTTTGGAGTTGTCTCTCCTAGAAGAGTGGCTGTCCCCAGCTAACGAGCCTCATCTGCCCGGGGGTTCGAACTCGAGACTTTACGGTTTAGCAACCATGAGCTTTACCGACTCGACCACGCCGACCCCTAACAGTTTGGTTAAAAAAGATAATTGTTCGCTACCTAAGTACGTATTGTACAGCGCTACAAACATTGCAGATACTCTCGCGTAACCAAACAGACAAACAAAAAAAACAACAACAAAAAAACAAATAAATATGCAAACATGTAAACAAACTTGAGTTTTAGTATATATATATATATATATATATATATATATATATATATATATATATATATATATATATATATATATATATATATATATATATATATATATATATATATATATATATAGTCGACCTAGCTACCCCACTGTTCTGTAGTCTTTCATAATGCTTTCTACTCACAAGTTGTGCTTTCTTTTTGGTTTGTTCAAGTCTGACAGGGGATGTTTTAACATGTACTGGATTTTTATCCTACTCTGGCCCCTTTAACCAAGAATTTCGAACTAAGCTTATCAACAACTGGTCCTTCGAGCTGGCCAACCGTAAAATTCCGTATACAAAGAACATGAATATAGTTGAGACTTTAGTTGACACAACAACGGTAGGTATACGTATTATCTCTATTTTAATGTGACAGTATTGGAAGCAATAGTACGTTAAGTGCAGTAGTAATCAAAATGTTAGTTATAGATAATAATATAACAGAAGTTATAATGGCTAGATCAGGGATGCTTGGTAAAATAAATGTAAGAAATTATTGAATTATTGTCAATTTTACATTACGGGTATAATAAATATTCGTTAGGCTATTATTATTTTAGAAATCTGATTACCAAATGATTCCAGATTGGAGAATGGAATATTGAAGGACTTCCAAGTGACGAACTATCAGTTCAAAATGGGATTATAACCACTAAAGCATCGCGATATCCACTACTTATTGATCCGCAGGGACAGGGGAAAACCTGGATTAAAAGCCGCGAAAAGAAAAGACAATTACAAGTAAATTAAACAAACTATAAGTACTTTAAATTATAAGTACTTTAATATTTGGAATTATAAATGTCACTTACTTATCTTTTTGTGCAAATTTCAAATGGTGCGAATATTTGGCTACAGGATATATATTCCGTAAGCCATCAGTTTATATGTAAATGTATGTTTATAATATCTATAAATAAAAACATTTTTAAAAAAATCAGAAATCACAACTAAATGAAAACCTTACATTGCCAGTATTTTTCTAACTTTGATGACTATTTACTGTAATGCCAACATTTAAGCAACCTTGTTTGTACATAGTTTGGTTATGTACTTGCTTTGGTTTATGTCTAAGGATATTTGTGTTTATTTAAAACTCATACTTTTCTCAATGTGAAGGTTACATCATTAAATCATAAATACTTCCGGCAACACCTAGAAGATGCCTTATCCCTTGGAAGACCTCTCCTGATTGAAGATATAGAAGAAGACCTTGATCCTTCCCTAGATAATGTTTTAGAAAAAAATTTCATCAAATCAGGATCCATGTATAAGGTAAAATGATGTACATAACATTGACAGTTTATAGCTTGTGACATTGTTTAGATTAGCTGTGGCTTCTTTAGATTTAGGAAGATAGCAAGAATAATAGTAAAGAAACGCATGGAAAGTTAACTGTACTATACATGGGGCTGCAGACAGCTAGGAATAGTTCTTCTTTTGAACATATTATTTTACTTATTGATTCTACTTTTCATAATTAACGACTTAATGGAATTTTTTAATTACCTCAGCAAATTAGCAATGTAAAAAGGGAACTCCTATCCCGTTCTAGAGATCATTTTAATATTAAAAATACTATTGTGTATTGAAATTTACTTAGACGAATAATGTATTAGTTAATACTTGATCAGAATTTGCAACAACAAAAAATCGACTTTTACGAATTTTTAATAAATAAAATAAAATATTCGTGAGCCGTAGATGACCTTAAAGTAAAATGCACTCTGCGATTATTATGTGTAAAAAATAAGTAAAAACCGTTTGACAATATATTTTTTAAATTGTTAAAATCGCTTAAAACATCCCAAATGCTTTAAATATTGTGCTATATTTTTTCTGAGATCATTTGTCTATATCAACTGTGTGGATGTATTTCGTCCTGATATCTTTTGTTCGTGATATCGTTTGTCCTTGAGATCTTTTTTTCTGAGATCATTTGTCCTGGGATCATTTGTCCGTGAGATATTTTGTCTCCGATATTTAGTCTGAGATAATTTGTCCTGAGAATATTTATCATGGAACCCATTGGAGGGTACTGTTTACGTACACACTAAGATCCTCTGTTGACGTACACTTGAAATCGTATTCTGTTAATGTAAAGATTGAATTGTATTAATGCATTCCAATGTTTTTTTTTAATGTTTGTTTCAAAACTAAACATTACAGTTCACAAATTTCTCACCTTCTCATGGTGTACCACCCTCACTTTTAATTAGCCGGCCAAGAGTTTAAAATTATCCGTGTTATTTCATAATCCTGTTTGGACATATTCATAATTTCTCTACATTTGCCCACGTGAGTTATAGCAGTGCATACTATCACTAAACTATCCTTTTTTTCCTACATAGGTTAAAGTTGGAGACAAAGAATGTGACGTTATGAAAACTTTTTACCTGTACATCACATCCAAACTGGCTAACCCATCATACACTCCCGAGGTAAGTGACGTGCAAGTCACATTTAAATTAGCTAATTCATCGTACACTTACGAGGTAAGTGACGCGCTGAGTTTACTAGTCATTTGCGAATCTGGGATATCCACCGACCCCTCCTCCTTTCCAACGTACATAGCCTTATTGTGGTATTTGTTGCTGGATCGAATGGATCTTTACTTAATTGACACGATCTTCACGACTGACATAAATACTCAACGGAATAGAAAATTCGTTTTCAATTTTTTTTATATATGCAAAGATTATAATTCGCATTTTTAAAAACCCTTTATCTATTGAATTAAGTTCTGAGTGAAATTTTTCCTTAAACAATGTTTTATGATTTTGCTTTTAGCAATAAGTTAACAACGGTCAAATTATATATTGGCACTTATAAGAGCCGTTAGGAATGTAAGACATTTTTTATCCAAAAAATTTTAAAAATTACAAAACTGGAACAAAATGTAAAATTTGTTACTTAAACCATGGTAATCATTATAACAATCATTTTTGTTATTTTCGAACATAAACACAGGACAAAAAAATTATTTTGAGTATAAGTTTGACTAGATTTTTCTATCGGAACACAGCTTAGACCTTCTGACTGTACCAAACACGGGAAAATATGCCATCATGTCCTGCTTCCTATTTTCTTAGTGACACATTCTTGTTCAGATTCATTTGGAACAAAATTGTTCTATGGTTTGATGAGGCATTACGGTCAACAATATTTCAGCTGCATAGTTATCACAGATCAAATGTCTGTGACAGAGGCGTAACGAGGTGGGGGGGGGGGGGGTGTGAACTGCACCGGGTGACACCATTTGGGGGGGGTGACACCTAGGCAAAAAATAGCAAAATATATAGAGAAAAACTTGAGGGGGGGGGGGTGCAAATCGAAAACTTGAGGGGGGTGCAAATCGAAAGTTTGAAAGTTTGTCCCCGGGAAGGGTCGCTACGCCTCTGGGGGGGGGGGGGTGACACCATTAAGTGCCGCACAGAGTGACACCCGACCTCGCTACGCCAAGGGTCTGTGATAACACGCTTTTGTGTAAAAGTGCACTAGAAAGGATAAAATATTTTTTGAACCACATCTCCTATTTGTCATTTTCTGTGATAACAAGTAAACAAGCAAATAGTGTTTGCCTTTTTTACTTAGTCGTATACGAAGTAGGCCTTATAAAGTAAGTATTGTAATCGTGCAAAAAGTCGAAATCGAGATTTTTCACAAATCTCGATGTTTTACACCTCCCTGAGTCGGAAAAACATAGTTTTGCAATTTTGTCCGTATATCCACATGTGTTCGTATGTATCTGTGAACACGATAACTTGAGTACTGTTACAGCTAGGTTGATGAAATTTTATATATAAGAATTATTTCAAATTTGTAGTTCTATTTCACCTCTTCAGCGATTTCCGGTAACCTGAAGTGTAACTTATTTCTAGTTTTGGTTTTTCAAAAGCCTGTAACTTGAGTACGATATTAGGTAGATAAAAGAAATTTCACACATAAGTGAAAGGTCTAATTTACTGCCTTCTTTCAAATTTTTAGTAACTTCCGTTGAACGGAAGTAGTACTGCACGCAATTTCCGATTTTTCAAAAAAAAAACAACGCATATGAACTTATAATATTCCGTACTATTACACACACACATTGTTTGCTTTTCACTTCGTGCGCAATTCTTTTTTCTACAAGATTCTATTCTATTTTAAAAAGTTTAAGTAATTAAAAATTGATTAAAATCATGTCTATATCCCGAGTTGCATTCCCCGTAGTGTAATATAAGAATATTCGAGAAGGTTTGGGAGATCTCTCCCGCTTTATTAAAATTGTGTTTAATACCAAAACCATATTAATTTTAGTTACACCGTGCATGATTTTAAAAATATTTAATGGGCCTCTAGAATAACTTATAGACTATTCCCGCTAGTGTCCATTATTGATTTACTGTAACTCAGAATGTTGCAACAATGATGTTTTTTGTTATAGATCAGTGCCCGAACATCAATCATTGACTTTACAGTAACTCAGAAGGGGTTGGAAGATCAGCTTCTTGGACGAGTTATTGTAACTGAAAAATCGGTGAGAACTCATTAGTAGGCCTACTATTCTAATACACCCACGTATAAATGTAGGCTACATGAATGCGCATTTATTGAACAGAAAGCTTAACTCACAGAGGGGTTAGCTACCAAAAAGAAAGACATTTTTCAAATG